AGTCTTAAAGACTTAATAATCAAGACCAGCTAGGATTGAGAAATGATTGTATCTCCATGAGCTTGTTAAAAATCTTCAGACTGTTGTAAGCATTGTAATTTCGTTTTTCATAATATTAGATTTTCAAGTAGCAAGTAACAAGAAAGTAAAACTGTAGCTCTGACGATCATAAGTTGATTTCAATGAGGCACGATCACATCTGCTACATTTTTAATCTCGTCAAAAAGTTGAAAATTTGTTCGATTGATTCAAATCATATTTATACATAATCTTCTTCTTCCCCCGCCATTCCACATTCAAATCACAATGATGAGGACCAATTCATCGTTTGAATGACGGATATCCGCAAAGCGACGGCGGATTTTGCCGAAACTAGTGGAATAACGATTTATCCGTGGCGGGACCGCTTCGGGCCGGGGTGACGTCACCGTAGTAACAAGATTGTACAGTTAGGGAGCCGGAGCGTGGCAGAGCTGCATCCGCAAGCCGCAGCACCCCTCCCCCCAACCTCCCGTTTGCTCCCCCCTCCTCTTCCCGCCACAGCTATTTCCCTCGGCCCAGTGACCCGGCGCGCTGTGTCGCCACAATTGTCGTCTAATATCGGACTTCAACATAGTCAGATTCTGTGTTCCCAATTATTTATTTATTTAAAAACTTTTTTCAAAATATCGTACAATGGCGGACTTAACACCATTAGGCGTACTCTACTAGTCAACCGACAAATATTTGTGTTCTAGCTGCTGCCCGCGACTAGGTCTGCGTAGAATAGGCTGACGGCGTAACTTTCGGACAGAAAGACAGATATTCGTAAAAGTATGTATATAAATTATAGCCTATGTGTTATTCTGATTTATAAGCTATATTATTGTAAAGTTTCATTAAAATAAATTCAGTAGTATTTGCGTGAAGGAGCAACAAACATCCATCCATACACACAAACTTTCGCGTTTATAATATTAGTAACGATAGTTAGGATATTCATGTTATGGAAAGTTTTTAGCACTCAATCATTCCCGTACGATTCTATACCACCAGTTCTAGATCAGTGCCCGTACTTGTCTGTAACATAACTATGACTAATATTTTAAAGTTAAAATTGCTTAGTTTGGGACTAGATGTGAAAATATGTCCTGAAATATAAAAAAAACGAATAATTTTATAGTACCACTGTGATAGGATTAAGCAACAGTGTTCGCTGTTGCACGAATGGGCAGGTCGGTCCGGGTAAGAACCACATCACAGAAGACCGGCGTGAGGTGGAAGTGTTAGTAAGTACCGCATCTGCGTTTCGTCTGGTGAGTGTGGTAGCCGGGGCCCACTTTATTATATTGTACGGTACCAAAGCACCTGTAACCGGGTGCTGCAAATGTCAATGGGCGGCGGTTATCGCTTAACTTCAGGTGAACCGCCAGCTCGTTTCCTCCTTCTCACGTAAAAATAATGTCCCAGGACTAGCGAAACGCGTGGCCAACGCGACCTGAGCTGGGCTGATATCAATGAAGCCGCGAGGCCTTTGCCGTTGCGCGCATTCCCTCCTCTCGCACTCGTGAATGGAGGTGAGCCGTGTTCGCGAATCCAGGGTTCTAACACTAACGCAAACCACGCAGGCGGTGACATAGAGGGATTTTCAATTCATGTTTACTCCAAATCCCGTCTCACGCACCAATTACGATTCAAACATAAGTTAATTTACGTGTTTATGTGTTTGCTTTCAGTCAGTTGACTATTAAAGCTTCTCAGAACGCAGAACTGGGGGCTATCCAGCACCGTTTTTGCCCTCCGCATTCGCTAAGTTCTTAATACAGGATACAGTTTGCTACATAATCTAATGCACGAATGGGCAGGCTCATCCAGGAAACTACCACGGCCTCACAGAAGACCAGCTTAAAGTTGAAGTATTACTTTCGCGTATCGTCGGGTGTGATATCCGTAGCCCACTTTTAAAAGGTAGGTAAAAGGCCTTTTGTAAAACCTTTTACAAACTTTTTAGATGCGTGGTGCCTTTTGTAAAACCTTTTACAAACCGCATCAACAACTACACAGGTTTTGTAGATATCCATGAAGCACTTGTCACTTAACATCAGTTGAACAGCCCCCTCGATTGACAACTTTACACGTAACTGAACAAGGTAAAACACTTTACTAACAAAAAACAAAATCGACTTCAAATATCACACTCACTATACGCTTTCTATTTGATTTTTGAGTAGTTTAATGCCTACAAAATTATTTCGGGACCACATGTCCCGAAATAATGCTTCTTAGCAGAACGCAATACAAAAACAATTGTTTAAACCGGTTCATAAATGACGGATTTTTGAATTAACAGACATAAAAAACATGCAGTCAGCAAACCGACGTAAATCTCAACGTATTTTATCTACATTTTTACCCAGGTCGGGTACGATATGTTTTGCGGTCAGCCGTGGTCAGCGGTAATCTCAAACTATTGGATAAAACATATCCTCAATCGCTTTGACTTTGTTTCATAACTATTTTTTAAAACCGTTTATATAGCATTTATACTTCGAGTTGTGAATATAATGTCATTGTAGATTTGAAACTGAAACTAATTAATCTAATCCTGACATATCTACGGTACTAAATTTAAAGATGATATGTAAAGTGGAGTTTAGCGCGAAGCCAGACTAAAAATAGACTACTTCGTGTTGTCTACATAAAATTGCAGTAATATCTGGATAGACGGCTATACATTTTATTACTTGGTTATTCCATAATAATTGCAGCAAGGGACACAAGTAAAAAAAAAAAATACTTTTGCCTTTCTTTCTCTACAATAGATGGCTATAAGCTGGTGTAGCAAATCTTATATTTTTTGTATCTCCTTATGGCTGTTGTAGGTTGAAATAAAACACAATTAGGTTCGTAATTGTATCGGAGACAACATGATATAAGAAGATAAAGAAAAACTCATATTTTATGTTTTACAAATGAATACTTTTTTATTATTATTACAGTGGCTCCGTCAAGGACTGTTATTGATAAAATTTCTTAGTAGTGATGGCTTTTGTACGGTATTTAGAACAAAACTTTATTGGTTGACATTTGAAGGAAGGATATCGTATAGGAGGACGTTAAGATTTGGACATGAAAAAAAACAAGTGATCCAGAGTACCATCTTCTAAGCCGTTTAGCTAGAAACACTGAGGAGCAAACATGTCCTAGACGCAGGCGAATTATTATATAGAAGTAATCATTTACTAAAAGAGTTGTATTTGGAAAACCTTGAAGGAATATTAGGCTGGATACTAGCATAGAATCTCCCTTTCACGGTTAATGAATACGTGAATGAATAGAATCATAGATGATATAAATAGAAGGATAGAATTATGACGAGATGTGGACGTAGTCAGTCACGTAAATAACAGATGGCGCCAAAAAGTCAATCGCGTAAATAATAGATGGCGCCAAAAAATCAATCGCGTAAATAAGAGATGGCGCCGCTAATGAGCGATTTTCCCTACTTTTTGCGATTTTTTGCTATCGTAGGTACCTCACATCCCACATCACATTTATATTTAGCGAATGATTGTCAATCGGTCTACATATAGCAAGTTGTGTCGTTAAACAAATAAGTGAAGATGCTATTTTAATTTGATAATTCACGAATCACGTAAAAGGTAGACGGAGTTAGAGGTTTTTTTTTCGATATGTAAATTTCAATAGATTGACACCCTGTTTGTTAAACTATGATCATCGTAGAAATTAACTAATCAGCTGTCAACTGGCTTTTCAAATGTCATTTGACGTGTCAAAATGATGTTTAAACTCTCTGAATTGATCAGAATGATCTTCTTAATGATCACATCGATCAGTGCCTCAGAAACCGGGAGTACCTTATATTGAAACAAGTTTTACTCTGATAGGAAACAGCGCCACCTACCGCAAGGTGCCAGAACATGAGCGGTTATAACCAGTTCATATAATTTGGTACGATAGCAATGATTCTTGTTGTGTTCACATTTTCGTCTTTAAAACTCGTCAAAAAACTTACGGTTAGTAGAATGAGACTGTATAATGAGACTGGGAATAGACTTATCAATCTGAATTTTTTTTACATATATTGGACTTGGACACGTATCAAAAAAATCTTATTAGTTACGTGACCCTTTTAAATAAATAATGTAAGTAATACTAGCGACATGATAATGATATGAATAGATTACAACTGTGTTTCTCAAAATGCGAGTCAAAATAATCCTAGGCAGATATGATACGGAAATGAATCAGCGTTCCTTACTGTCCGTGCATAATTAATATCAATGTATATAATCAATAAGACTGCAACAAACTGATAACAAACTTCCAAGACTTTGATAACGTCGCTAACCGAAAAATTTCAGTATTCATTGGTTCAATCACAACGTTAAATATTAGTTGACAGTTGACGTTTTAACAGTCGAGTATGGAAACCGTTTATCGTGTACGATAAATGAGTTTAAAAAACGGTGTACGCTCCTTAGGTTTACATCGTCGGTAAAACAGCATGGAATTTATCTTCATCCAATTATCGTAGATTAAACACGTCTTCAAAAGCAAAAAGTTCACACATGAAAACAGCCTAGTCAAAGCTCGTCTTATGTGATTTAAGGGCCAGACAGCGATTTTATACTACCGAATTTGTCTGGCTCATCCGAGAAATTGCACAAACAAATGGTGTGAAAAAAATATAACAGAATATGTTTAGTAGGTAGACTGCTCGTTGTAAATGAGGCTGCCGAGAGAATTGAACTGTTTTCATGCCACTGAAACGATCTTACCATAGTATAGCATTGTGTTGTTGTTAGGTTGGAATAATAAATTTTGAATAAATTTTGGTAACATTATCGCATTGGCATTATTGCATTAGATAGTTACCAGTAATAATAGTTGTGTGCGTTTATGTCATAAAGAAATAAAATCAATAGGCGGAAATTATGATCACAACATGGACCGCCTGCCCGTTTGACATTTTGTATACATAAAAAAAAACCGGATTAGTCAGCCAGTGTTTCTTGAGCCTCGGGCACGCACGCATACATACGTGTCAAATGATAGAATGAGTGTGGCACCTTGAGTTTGCAGGGAAAGACCGCGATGTGCTTAAACTCCTCGCGTTTCCTCTGCTTCAGTTCCTCCCTATAGGCGGTGAACTTGTCGAACAGGTGGTAGATGATGTCGGCCGCGAAGATCTTCACGCCCAGCTGGTCGGCCAGCTCTTGGGCGTCGCGCTCGATCTGCCAAAGGAAAGCGAATCTTATTCCAAACGTAATACGACATCATTCAATCAGCGGAAAAGCAATGGAGGCTTTTTACGCTAGTGTTATCATCTATGGCACCTTAATCTAAATTTTTAAATTTAAAAAAAGAACTGCATTAAAAATACTTAACATTGTACTACTTTTTTTTAGTAAAATATAGAATACATAATATAATCCTTTAGCAGTCGGGTACATTTTTACGGTTAAGAGACTACATAAATTTTACGCTAACTCACTCCATGTTTGACCTGACAGTCATCAATCTCTTCAGAATCGAATTCGAGAACCCAAATCGCGATTCAACGGTCCCATCCAAAAGAACGATTTTGTGGGGATAAACATATGCATAAAAGGAACCGACGATAAAATAAGAAATTGATAATCATACAGTCGCGTTTCATCTTGTTGATTCGTTGTTCATCGTTGGTTGGTCGAGAGTCATGTTTTTGGTACAATGATGTTACTTTCTTACTTATTCACAAAAAACGTTAACGGAATTTATATACATAGATAAATAAATAGATTAACAACATAGATAAATTAATTCTAATATTTTTGTCCGCATGATTATAATATTCTTGTTTCCTGTCAATTGTCACCGTACCTTAACATCGAAAGCCAGGATTGTCGCGAACTGCGAGTCGTGCTCCAACATGGCGGAGGCTTTCATGACGTCACGTTTCACCACGGGACCTATCCTGATGGCGGAGTACTGCGGAGGAGTTGCATTGTATTACAATAACAGACAGACTATAGAGTAGCATTGTATTACCGTAAAAAGACCAGAATAGCTGCGTCTTTACGGTATTTGGAATGTTTGGGTATAGGTGTTTGGGGATATCCAAAGAGTATAAGATATAAAAAAAAGTATAAGTTAATCATAAAAAATATGCAAAAATGTAACAATTATCTTAACTATGTTGTGACGGACGCGATCGCGACTCTATAGCCTAAGGCCGTAGCAACTGTGCCACATTGGTTGTATTGTTGCATGTACAAGATAATATTATGATGTACGGTAAGATTCCTTCATTGTACGGAAAAACTGCAAACAGTCACTATGCAAATGTTGATGCAATTGAAACGTCAGCGTGTCGAATGTCATTATGAGGTTAAATATTGCGATATTATTTCATAATTTAATTTATTAACATTAGGAAAAATTTTAACGTACGTTAAAGTATGCTTGCACTTGTTGGAAGTGCACATGTACTGTCAAGGGTAAAAGTTACCATTAAAATGCATTATGTAAGTCGTTGGAAACTGTACACCAACGCAAAATCATTCGTGACGGCGCAACGTGCAATGAGCAAGAGGAGGAAAGCTATTAAGCATACGGCGCGGACGAGAGAGCAATACACTATAATCGATAGTGAAGGGCAAAGCACTTGAAAATATGTATTCGATTGTGCAGTAATCGATTTTAAGGTCCTACCGGGGCTTCAAAGGCAAGCGACATTGACATCGCGAGCCAACGCGGTCGCTCGAAATTATCGGAATCGGACACGCGTAAACTTGTCCCCGTCTATGACGCTTCGTGCTAAAGTTGGTCACCGTTCAGTGACTCAGGCGGGTTTGTGAGGTGCTAAGGTTTTGTGTTCACCTCTTAGTTAGTGAAGTAGTAAGTATTAGAAGTAGTGGGGAATGGGTGGGGAATGGGTGGGCAGTGAGGGTCCGCTGACCGGGATCTTGCTGGTCCTGAGGAACTCGAGCAGCGCCTCGAGCGAGCCGAGCGTGGAGGCCTGCACGTACACGCCGCGCTCAGACAGCTTGATGCCCGACAGGGCGGACTTCAGCTCGCGGGCCACCTCCTCCCTGGAACGTCAAGTAAACGGTCTCACATACAGGCCTTGCCACCACAATCGCGGGGAGAGTGTGGTAGTTTCACTGTGGTAGGGCCACGCAACAGCTTCCGTTGCACGAATGGGCAGGTCCGTCCGGGTGAGGAGCACGACCTCATACTAAACCGGCGTTAAGAGGAAGTGTTATATTTGTGCGTTTTGTCTGCTAAACGAGGTAGCCGGGGCACCCTTTATTAAAAAATAACGTAGGATCGGCAACCCTACGGGTGTTGCAAATGTCCATGGGTGGCGGTTATCTCTTAACGTCAAGTGAACCACCTGCTCGCTTGCCATATATAAAAAAAGACCCCAGTGTGAAGGGAAATCCAGGTGGCGCTACAATTAAGGAATGTATCATCATAAATTAAAAAAAAATTGTAAATGAATAAAGATAAATTTATTTTTTCAATTGTAGCGACACCAGCGGCTTAACGCAAAAAGAGGCCAAATAAGACATTTTAAACATTACGTTCTGTAATGAAGAGGATATAAATATCTCGCAAGGTCATAATAACTTATTTTCTATAAATTGTTTATATTCCAACTCACTTCAAGACGTCAACTTCGTCCGGTTTCTGCGCCACGAGAAGATTGAGTCCAGCGATTGCTTTCTCTAGCTCCTTGGCCGCAATTTTGACCCCTTGCGCCCCCACCACCTCTTTGTGTTCGATATACGCATTCTGTAAGTATGAGGATGTTTATGTATGTACAATTTAAGAACTTTTGTATAAATACTGCTTAAGAAGCCGCTAAATCAATTTATAAGAAAAAGAATCAGCATGGTAAAAATTAACTTAGCTGTTTATATGATTATAGCATCTAACGCGCACCTATATCTACAATTGGGATATGCGACAATGTCTTATTCTATCCCTTTTTATTGAGTGTGTATGCTGCTCTCTCTTTATTATATTTGCCTTCTCCCTCATATAATGAAATGAGTCTAATCAATCGCCGAACTCCAAAACTTATGACGATCCATCGTATCGTCTCATTTACAGTGAATATACAGCTGGTAATACTGTTATATAAAAGAGTTTAATACCTTAACCCTCAATTCCTTCATGGGTTGGGGCATGAGCAAGGAGCGGATCTGCGTGACGATGGGCCCGTCAGTTCCCGCCAAGATCACCGTGTCCCCTTCCCGGAGGGTGCCGTTGATCAGGATCGTGTCTATGGTCGTGCCCAAGCCGGGGATAGCTTTCACCTGGAGAAAAATCATCCGTCAAAGCATCCGCCTCACTCTGTCGCCTCGACGACGGCGGCGACGCCAGCATTTCGAGCGGCATTCGCAGAACTGTATCCGTCTCGCTCACACTCACCTCGAGCACCGTGGCCAGCAGTTGGTGCGAGAAGACCAGCCTCTTGTGCAGCGGCCCCTCGCACGCCTGCACGATCATGGCGAGCAGGTTGCCCATGCCCTCGCCGGTCACGGCCGAAGTGGGCACCAGCGACACGTAGGTGCGCGGGTCCGGGTTGTCGTAGAATAGCGCCGCGTTCAAACCCTGACAGAATTGGACGCAGAAACTCGAATAAGCGCGCACGTTTCTTCTTCTTCTCTACTTTCTTTCTTTATGGTTTCTCTTTATACGATAGTTTACCACGGTAACGGATTACACGTATGCACATATACATATTTTCAATAAGAATTATTCGTCTGCCCGTCAAAATATGTCGCCATAATTATTAAAATTGAGACATTTAAAAATTCATACCTTTTTTTTAATAGATTACGGTACTAAACAAAAAAAATTGTACAGAATACACGTGTTAGAAGTGCAACTCCATTGGTTATTTACACTGATAAATTAATAATAAAGGATACATAGTCTCTGAGCAACCCCGTGACGCATGAGTGACGCAAGCGTCATGCATGACGGTTTTGCTTAACCGTGTCTCATGATGCGGCCTTGAAATTTTACTTTCATGCGAAAAAAAAGTTTCAATTCAAACAGGAAAAAAATTAGTTGGCACGTAGCTTTAAGCCTAGAATGTCGTATCGCAATACCGACACTGAGAGCCCCCTGCGGCCCTACCACTACTACATCAGCAGTGCAGCTTCGTCGAGTCGAGGAGATTAGGGAGAGTGACAATCGCTATACCAACACTCCTCTTGCCCCACGACTCCACCTAGTTCGCAGAGGACGGAGAGTGGCTCTACCGCCATCAAACTGTCCCCCAGACCACCTCAACGTCCAGCGTTCCACAACAGCGCGTTTCTCCAGGCATTTCCCGCCTCGAACTTTCCGAACCGTTACCACCTGGGAACCTTCAAGAAGAGAGCATACACTTTCCTAAAACGCCGGCAACGCATTTGCAAGCCCACCGACGTTGCAGATGTTTTTTTTATTTATTTATTTGCACGAATAAGGTACATAATGTTCTTAAATCTAATACATAAGTTCACTTATTCTGTTCACGGGCTGCGGTGGTCACTTAACATCAGGTGAGCCTCCTCGTTTGCACCTCATCTTGAATGGGCCCAACGGGCCCACGGAACCCACCTGCTCGGCGAACTGTAGGATGACGTCCTTGCACCGCTTGTCGAACTCCAACTGGGTGTTGGGCTGCTGCAGCTTGAGTATGTCGCGCACGTCCTTCCGCTGGGCGCTCTGCCAGTCGTACAAGCGGTCGATCTTGTTCAGGGCCACGATGAACGGCGTCTTCTTCTGCTTGAGCATGTTTATCGACTCGATCGTCTGCGGCTCCAGGCCGTGCATGATGTCGACCACCTGTGAACGGGAAACGTGGTCACGGGACAAACTTTAATCAAAGTATTAAAATTTGTAGGAAAAGTACGGAAAAATTGTCGCCGCAATCACGCTAAACGGCTTCGGTGTGTTCGATTCCCACAGCGGCGACAATCTTTTCGTACTTTTTCTACAAATTTTAATGTTTAATCTTAAGTGCGGAGATTAGCACTATAAAAAAATTAAATTTTTAATGAAAGTAGGTAATGTGGCAGCCTATATATTTCCCACTGCTGGGCATAGGCCTCTTCTGTATAGGAAGTATTAGGGCATGGTCCACCAAGCGACCCCGCTGCGGATTTGCGGAATTCACATATCTTCGAAATATTGTCCGGGAAAGTACCACGACCTCGCAGAAGGACAGGCGTGAATTGAAAGTGTTGTACTTTTGCGTTTCGTCTGATGAGTGAGGAAACCGAAGCCCACTGTTAATGAAAGGTGACATCGCATCTGCAACCCTAAGTGTGTTGTAAATTACCATGGGCGGTGGCTTGTTAACATCAAGTGAACCACCAGCTCGTTTGCCACCTTATTTATTTACTTATTTAATATTTATTGCCAAACTTCAGTAAAACAAGGTAATAAAGGGCGGACTTAATGCCCAAGGGCATTCTCTAACAGTCAACCCAGGATGTGGTGAGAGTTTATGGTAGGTGCAGCAAAAGATACAAGAATAATAAAATTTTAATTAAAGAGAAAACATATAAAAATAATATTATAATTGGATACAAATCATATCATCATCTTCTTTCATTAAAAGAAATACCAAATACACTAACTTAGATCAGTGATTGTTCTTCACCTATTTATTTCTTGTTTGCATAGCAAAACCTAATCAATGATTAAATTTATATATATCATAACTAAATTAGTGAAACTTACAAGAATAGCGATATCACACAGTGAAGACCCTCGATTTCTAAGATTGCTGAAGGATTCGTGACCAGGAGTATCGATAATGAGTAGACCTGGCAGCTTGAAGGCAATCTCATTTACCTGTAAATAACAACAAACTAATACTTATAATCTTCAGACTTTTCAACCAGGCGTACGGCGGGGCTCCACCCTTATGCTGTCGACGTTCCACGTACAAGAACAAAGCGATTCACTTCTTCATTTATCATCCGTACAGCTAAGGAATGGAATGCCATGCCGGCGTCCGTCTTTCCGTCCGAATACTACGTAGGCGTCTTCAAGGCGAGAGTGAATAGGTTTCTACTGAGCTAGCGCGCCTACCATCAACGGCTTCGCCACTTACCATCAGGTGGGATGGCAGTCAAGTGCTAGCCAGTTTTTAATTTAAAAAAAAAACTTAATAATATAAACTTAAAATTACTTGAAATTTTAAATTCAATTTGATAGCTTTATACGCCAAAGATTTATCTGATAAAATATATAGTTATTATAAATAAACATATCATTATAATATAATATACTAGTAGATCCTTCAAATGTTTTTTTGCCATTATTTTTCTGAAAAACGAAAAAAAATGTTTGTGTTGATGCCACCCTTACCACTTAGGGGTATAAAAATAGTTATAAACCTATTCTCATACCTACTGAATATACATATAAAATTTCATCAAAAGCGGTCAAACCGTTTCGGAGGAGTATAAAGATTAAAACAGTGATACAAGAATTTTACATATGAGACATATCTAATTTTACTTTATTACTCACCCCCTTGACATGTTTGGTCTGCTCCTTGATATTCTCAATGGGAACATTGGTGGCGCCGATCTGCTGAGTGATACCGCCAGCCTCGCCGTCCTGGACGTTGGTGCGGCGGAGTTTGTCCAGAATCTTCGTTTTCCCGGTGTCCACGTGGCCAAGAACGCACACGACGGCGGCGCGCAGTGGGTTTGTCCAGAATCTTCGTTCTCCTCCCGGTTTCTACGTGCCGCCAAGTTGTCTATAACATACGCACACGAATTAATTTTAAAGGGGCGTAACGCTGCGCAGTAAGTTCTTAAAGGTGCTTTTGGCTTTCATAGTGTTAAGTTACAAAAAACAAAAGTATAAAAGGGCTAGATAGTCGAGATAGCACGCATCCCACACGAACGAGTACTAAATCTTACACCAACATTTCGATATGACGAAGCCCCCCTAAATAGCTGGTGCATTTATAGAATTACGTACAAGTGTAAACTTATAAAACTAAATTTTAAGAGAAGGATAAAACGATTTTTGTCGAATATTATGCCAATTTACTGGACCGATTTAACAAAATTTTACCAGAAAAACGATGGTACTATACTAAGAAGAAAATCCTTTTCCATAAAGACAAGGCACGAAGTGTACACTTGCGCGAATGTCCAAAGATAGCCAAAGTTGTCCATGAAATGACATGCGACTGTTTTTGTTCACAACTCTTTCGAAGGGGCTAACTTTAAGTAATTAATTTTACAACTAGCTTAATTAACACAGTAAAGGTAAAAGCTTCTAATTAATTTCTTTGAACTATACATCACATTTAATTTATGGAAAATTGGCCAATGAGCAAACGGGCTGATGTTAAGCGATTGCCGCCGCCCATGGGCATCTAAAATACTTTACTATTAATAGTATAACAGGCATTCTTGAAGATCCCGAAGTCGTATCGGTCCGAAAATACCACCGGTGACAACTGATTCCACGACTTGGTTGTACTTGGCAGAAAGCTACGCAAAACCCGATGATATTTAACAGTATGACGCGTCGTACGGTGGCAAATTTCAGCAGCAGGTATTATTAATTAGTAATAATCCGAACAACTCCTTAGTGTCCCGTGATAGATTACATATTAAACGCAATGATATGAAACATCTATTCGCAAGGCCACAGAGTCGATATGATTGGAAAGGATTCGGTCACCGACGATTCGAGCAGCCCTAATTTGGATGCGGCCAAAAGGAAAGTGCTGGTATTGGGGCGCCCCGATCTAGAGATGAGAACAGTACTCGAAGTGGGGTCGAATTTGCGCTTTTTAACCTGCAGGCGATGCGAGCAGGTATTATAGCTTATATATACACACACAGTTTTAAGCGCTACACACAATTGAAGTTGTGATTATTTGCCAGTCTAAACACATCAATGTTTTAAATGGTATAATTATTTCCTAAGTTTTTACGACCCGCCGCCTGCTGGATGTCTAACCCCTTAGGGAACAAACACCCAGATCCGGAGCAATTATCTTTGCGTGTTCCTTAACAATTGCATCACCCAGTTATTACAATACCGTATGCACTTGAAACTAAATAGGTTTTTTTATGTGATTAGGTGCAACGAGCTGGCGGTTCACCTGATGTTGAATGATTACCACCGCCCATGAACATTTGCACCTTCCCATAGGATTTATAGATGCGACAAGCCTCTTAATAAAGTGGACCCCGGCTCCCTCACTCATCAGACGAAATGCAGAAGAATAACATTCCCACTACACACCGGTCTTCTGTGAGGTCGGCTTACTTCGTCGCATTCGTGTAACAGAAGGCTATAGCGTGGCCCTCCACTTTAGAGAATTTTAATGTAACAATATTAGTGCAGTTCATTTCAAGTGAGCTTTAGTGTTTTAAGTAGGCACTACATTTAGGTCTGCAGAATACACGCATAAGATATTCAATAATAATTTCCTGTGAGTTATAAAATATGAAAATTCACTATCCAAGCAAAACCATTGACATACTATAAATAGAAATTTAAATTGTTTATAGTGCTAATCTTTGCCTTTAAGATTGAACATTAAAATATGTAGAAAAAGTGCGAAAAGATTGTCGCCGCTGTGGGAATCGAACCCACGTCTTCGGCATTCGCGGCCTGACGCTCTAGCCACTGAGCTAAACGGCTGATTACCACACCGACGAAAATCTTAACGCATTCTTCTACATTGTTTTCTTAGCATTTGAAGCAATGCTTGGCGCCATCTATTGTTATATCCTTTCCGGCATACAAACAACTTCGAATATCGTTTTACAACGATAATTCGAACGAGAGATGTCGCTGTTGTTGTTGTCGTGGGTTCGATTCCCACAGCGGCGACAATCTTTTCGCACTTTTTCTACATATTTTAATACTATAAATATCAAGCAAAACATGTAGTATACAGTCGGCCAATAAGGAAGTAGTCCTGTTTATAATGGATATGCAGTGTTTCACTTGCAGCTAAACTTTTGTTTAGCTCTTTTATATAAATTTGCCTTTATTATACGGTCTCTGACTGGAGGATGAGAAAATAACTATTTTTTCATTTGTGAATTTGATGGCAGTGTAATACAATGACTTTACTCCCTGTTTATTGATTACACATAAAACCTGGCACTACATACAGATGAAGTTGCAGTAATTTTATCATGTGATAAAGAACATCTCTTAGTAAGCAGTGATTCTTAAAAAAGATCATAATGACACACAAAATAAAAAGTTATCATTATTTTGTTCCATTGTTTTTACCAAGATTTCTTTTAATTGCTCATAATTTACTAATATTTAAAACATTAAAATATTTAAAATTATATAATTAATATTTATTTTATAAAACCCCTTATATGACAAAAAAAATTGCAATCTTAATGTTCAATGTGCATAAAAATTATTAAAATAATATATAATGCAGTCTGATTAACATGTTGTATAAAATATTTCTTATCTCAATACATTACAATTACTGTTTTATTTCACTTTATTACCAAAAAAGTTAAAGTATTTACAGATTTTTTTTCAGGTAGTCTTTAGGTTCAGTAGTTTTTAGGTAAATTTACTCAAAAGGTTACTATTTACTACACAAAAAAGATTTAAAATTTGCAACAATGGTATGTTTTTACCTAATAGATATGGCAAATTGTCCACTCTCTAAAAAATTGGCAACACAACTAAAATCTCACAAATCTTACAGGTATCCATGAGCAACCTTCAACAAAAATAAACAAAATATTACCTCTAATCTCTTAAGGACAATTTCTCTCTTCTTTTGTGCATCAGTCATCTGATCATCCTCAGATTCTTCATCTGAACTTGTTTCTTCTTCAGAATCCCCATCATCTTCATCTGAACTCTCTTCATCTTCCTTCTATAAATCATTTTTTTTTTTGGATGAAAAATAAATCAATAACATTTTCTTGTCATTGAATGATAATAATTACTTCATAATGATAAATGAACTAAACAACAAATGTTACCGGTTTCTGCTTATCCTGGGCAGATTTTGCTTGTTCTTTTGCAGGAGTAGAACTAAGTAAGTCAGATGATTTGGTAACAGCATTAGATGGTTCCTCAGTCTCTTCTTCTGAAGATTCGGCATCCCATGAATCCTTTATTAATTCATTATCTTCATCTGCTTCCTTCTTTTGTTCTGTTTTCTGCGGTTCTACCTATAAATTGTTTGTTTCTATTATATTAATATGGTTAATATCAACGAATTCAACTATACGAGTAGTTCCAAGCACAAAATTAATCAACAGACAAAACATTTTGTAACATGAAAAACTCTGGTCTATGCCACTGGGATTTGATATTGCCGTCTCAAATGTAAACCTGTTTAATTAAAACAATGAATATTGACTTAAAAGAAGCAGGAAGTTAGTAGTATGTACAAAAAAACCAAATTACTTTTTTAGTTGTGATATCCAATTCTAACTTCTTTTCTTCTGCTGGAGTTGCAGGTGCTTCCTGAGATATTTGAGTCTTTAATTTATTTGGTTTAATTCTTGTTCCTAGCCTCGGGGGTCGCTTCTCGGTAGAGCCTATTTCAATTCCTTGTGCCTTTAAAGATTCTAACATTGCTTGGGCTCTAGCCTTTTCAGCTTTCTGTTTTGGTGTAAGCAGTTTACCTTCAGCTTTAAGTCTTTCTTTTCTCTCCTTTTCTTTTTGCTTTTTTCTTTCTTTTTTCTCTTTTTCTAATCTAATAGCTTCCAATCTTTGACGCTCACGTTCTTCTTCTTGTTTTATTCTCTCTTCTTCTTCCTTTTTTAACCTTTCTTCCTCTTCTTTTACCTTTTTAAGAGCTTCTTGCATAGCTGCAATAGTCTTTTTAGTTGGTCCTTTCTTACCTTTATCATCCTTATCACTCTTTTCCCCTTTTTTCTTTTTCTTACCCTCCGTTGCAGGAGTATCTCCTTCACCATCTTTGTCTTCGACTGGAACCTTTGGTTCATCTTTAGGAACCTGATTATCAGCAGTCTTAATATCTACTTGGTTTTCAGGAACTTTTACAGGTGCTTTACTACCATTTTCTTCTTTCTTAGGTTCTTGCTCTTTTTCCTTCTTTTTAGCTTCTTGTTTCTTCAACTTTTCTCTTTCTTTTTTTTCTTTTTTCTTCTGTGCTGCTGTTTTAATTGTTATGTCATTTTCATTGTCACTATCCTTTTCATCTACAACAGTTTCTGGGACTGATTTTGGTTCCTCTTTTGTGCTCTTTTTCTTTATTTTAGATTTATCTTCAACATCATCCTTTGGCTTATCTTCTACTGCAGCAGGTGTGGGTTCTTTTTTTATTCCTGAATATTCCATCTCAAGTTCAGCAAGAACCTTTTCTAAATCTTCATCACTGTCATCTTTCTTCCTTCTTGCCTTTTTACCTTTCTTACCAGCAGGTTCTTTTTTATCCTGCATAGATTTCTTTTGTGATTTTTGGACTGGTTTCTCATCTTCTGAAGATGGTGGCACCTCAGGTGCTGAGTCTCCAGCATCTTCAATTTCTAATAAGGAAAATGCACTTTTTTCTTCTTTCTTTTTATTTTTCTTGGGCTTATGCTCTGGCTCCTGCTCAATTTCTGATTCATCTGTAATAATGATTGAATACATTATTATTATGTACTTAATTATTTTATAATTAATAATAAATGAATAAGAATCTTACCTTCGCTACTAAGTTCTACTTTCTTCTTTTGAGACTTGTTTGAAATAGATACATTTTTAATACTCTTTGTGACTTCTTTGATATCTGTTCCCATTGATTTTATAGGCTTTGATTTGCTTTTCGGTTTTTCGTCTTCACTTTCATCTGTCTCTGTACTGATTCTGAAATATAAGCAAGTGTTACATTTTTTGAAATTATAATTAAATCATTCTGGAAATCAATGTAGAATAACACAAGGAACTTGATTTTCACTACTTTCTTTTAATTTTAAATATGCGTAATGGAACATATGCTACGAAAATATAATTCAAAATAAAAGGCCTTAGCAAGGTGTAAGTTCATTTGGATAATAGTAATGATATTAAGGAGATTCTAGGAACATACCTTTAATAACTTCATTCTAAATTAATGATATTCAGCATATACAAACATATATAACCTATAAATAACACTTACTTCTTGCCTTTATTGATTGCCGGCTTGATAGTATCGATGTTGGTAGTTTCGACATCGCTATCGCTAAAATTAATAATTGTATTTATATCATATTGATCTTTAATATACAAAGAAAATGAATTTGTAATTTTATTTTAACATATTTACCCTTCGTCTGCTGTCTGGTTCTTCTTTCCTTTTTTTGCTTTTCCCATCGTGTTATAGTATTGTATTAAGTCACAATGCCTGTATTATAATTTTTTGTTTCTGCGTATTTTATAATTTCTATCATGTGAAAAGCAGATTCCGCACAAATTTAACTTAGCAGAAATTTAACTAGTGAGAGTGACTCGTCGTCGTGTCCGTCCTCTCTTCACGTCAAAGCAAGTTCACAGAACCACACAGAAAACATACACAGATCATTTAGCCCATTAGCCTTACATTCTTACTATCAAGGGCACGTTAATGCTATTTTTCAAGCACTTTATTATTCTATCCATGTTCCTTTTGTCCTTCTGTTGTTGTATTTATTTTATCATATAGAGGATATTTTTGACTATAACATTTCTTAAACATCTAATGTAAAATATGTTAAATACTACAATTGTTCAAAATTACCAGGCAAATTAGTCATTAAAAAAATATATAAATTAGCAAAAAAAAGCACTTTTATGAAGAAATACATATTTGAACATTTAAAATGTTTTCTGTGCTAGAATAAGAACCAAACCATTCATATTATAATTTTAAGATTGGTTTTTGTATTTAAGGAAAAAACCAATTCAATTCCAAGGAAAGTAAGGCAAAATACCAAAGCCAATAAAGTTAAGTAAGAGCGTAAGTAAGAGTAAGCAATTATCCTATGCGATAACACGCTAAGCAATTCTCTCCTATTGTTGTTAACATTATGATAAAAACTCAAATTTTAGCATTTAAGCGGATTCTTATGTCACAAACGTGAGTCCCCCCTCTTAAACTGTTTAGGCTACAGGCAAGTATTCGCGTTCGTAGGTATCTCGAATCGTCTAAACACTGGTGTGCTTAGTTAAGATTCGCAAGTGGTCATGCGAGCCTCGGTCAAATCACTCTGTACTGATTTTGTATGGGGCTTGCCATTCGTGACCTACATTTTAGACAGTAAAAATGTCAAAAACGGTGCTAGAATTCAGTACGGAAGAATTTTCATGTGAGAAGGTGGCAAGCTAGCTGACGCGTCAGCTAGCTTGCTGTTCTGTTACTAGCGCTATATGACCGAAGCAAGAAAAAGAAAGGGCTTGTAACAGTGACAAATTGTTCGGTAACAACTGTGAAAAAGATGTAACAGTTTTTATCTCTTTCTAACAAACGTAAAAGTCTTAAGCATGAATAAATAAAGGTTGTGACAACGTGTTTAAGAACAATTTGCGTGGAACAGGAACTGTTATTTAAGTATGTTCGTAACAGGTACAATCTGTATCTCAAGATACCTGTTACGATAAATACACCTCACTCCTAGGTGGTACGTTACAAACTTATATATTAACTTTTATGTAAGATTCGACGTTTCAAAACATCCACCCGGATATTTGTTACTCTTTCACGCAAAAACTTAAAAGTTTGTATGTATGCGTATACATACAAACTTTTGCGTTTATGATATCATTAAGGATTTCAATCTAGACACAATACAAATACGAAGAGTACTCTGTGGTCAAATCCGCAAGGATAAAATTAATAGTGTATAGAATTAATTTTGTAATAAATTTTAAAATTAAGTTTAGTTATGCTGAAAAAGTTCACTTTGTTTTACATTTTAGTTATTACATTAATTTTTGTTTTGAAAGAAAATTGTAACTATATGAATCAATAATGTATGTGAATTTCGTTGCGTAAAATGAAATGAATTATACGTACAAGTTCAAAATGGATGACAGGTTGTAGAATAAGAACAATTGGTGGTATTTTGATGTGCCTCCCTATTATTCTGTTTTGTTAAACAATTTTGCTGAAATTTAAATAGCCAGCGAATGTTTCGGTTTACACAGTTGAAGTTGCTTAGTTTATTGATTAGGAATTATATAGTATTGGACATCATTAATTTCTATGAACTCAAAAAGCGAAACTGACGAAGCTTCAAGGTAATTTTATTTGTCATGATTTTGCGCTGTATTTTTTATTCATACTTCATTAAGTATGATATCCTAATTTGATGGAGTACGAATATTACATTTTGTAGTATTACACCTGTTTTTCAATGCGCAATAAAATGACAAAGATAAATTGTTGGAGGTTAAGCATTACTTGCTATTTTTGCTCTTTGTTTTGTTGACAATTTTCATAGAAATTTTGAGTAACAGTAACTGTATAATTAACCAATGCATAGGGGGAGCGAAGCAACATCGTCAAATAGTAATTCAACCCCAAACAACGCAGAGGATTTGTCCCAGCCAGTTTTATGCGTAAACCCAGTTTCGGGTAGCCCTCAGGACATTATGAAGCGAGCTGCAAAACAGCTGATAGAGAGATATTTCTATCAGCTTCTAGACGGTTGTGGAAATCCCAATTGTGGCAACCAATACTGTGCATCCAGTCAACAGGTAAATTGACAAGCAAAACAGAAAAAGGGAAAAAGAATCTAATAACTGTAGACATAGTTTGTCTTTTAACTTATTTTTTACTTTAATATTTAAAAAATATTTATTTTTAAGGCTAGACACTTAACCCCAAATGAAGCAGCTGCTGAAGCAATAAAGCTAGCAGAACATAAGGATGCACAACTTTGTGACAGTTATCCCAATAAAGTACCTCGCACTGAAACCAGCAACTGTGATTCAAATGCCAGGTTAGATATCTAGATACAAAGTTAGTGAACTTAATAACTTTTAAAATTAACCATGCATATTAATTATTTCAGTACAACCTGTAATTCAATTAAGAAAGAAAAAAATGGTGGTAACAAGGATAGATCAGAAACATCCACATCTGTTATAATACAAGAAGAGAGACCAGCTGAACAATTGGAACCAGAAACTAGTCAGAATGTATCTCAAAAAGATAATAATAAAGACATTAGTCATAACAGTAAGTGTTAAAGTATGAATAATTTAAAAATTATAATACATTTAAACACAATTTAGAACATAATACACTGTTAGCTAAGTAAATGTTACATAGATTAGTAACAAAAATCCATGTAAAATAATTTATAATACAGAATGTTATAGCCTATTTGTGTACAGAAGTGTAGATCAAATGTAATTGGTTGATTCAACGGTTAAATATTTTTTTAAAACTATTAAAGTATTAATAAAAATAAATACTGTGGTTATCAGATGGTGTTCCATTGACTGAGGACCGGATGCGTCAGCTCTGTGATGAATGTCTTCAGACCAAGATACCACAACCATTAATAAGGGCACTAGGGGAAGCATTCACGCAGCCTACTATTTTGGCCAGATCGTTTCAAAGCAAAGTCAGAGATAGGAAAATAGACTGTGAACAAGAGAAAAAAAAGGGTATGATGTTAAATTTTAATGGTCAAAACTAAAAAAAATGTTTTCATCGAGGTATAAAAAATAGAAAAGGAATAGTCTAATTCAGTGGTTCCCAAAGTTGACTGGGCTCCATCCCATCTAACAAAAATTTCTAATCTTGTGACCCACCTGGATTGACTTAGAGAGAAGATGGCATGAATATTATCAGGGCAGTCATATTCAGATTCCCTAGTGGCAAGACTTATTTGTTCTAGCACAAATGAATAAAAATAATTTAAGCATTACCAATATGTATGAAAATTTATGGAAATAAGACTCATTATACAGCGTGTCTTTACAATCGCGACAATATATGAACATGTCTAATGTTACTTACCAATAACAAATCATAAAAAAAAATTAAAACTAGTTAGATTCATAGAAATTAACAATATACGGCTTTAAGCTGGTTTATAAGATTTTTGTTTTTCGCCTTTTTTTGTTCCTGTTCCTTTTTTTTGTTCCTTTTTCTTTCTCTTTATTTATGTATGGCTGATGATGTAATGACCATATTACTAATTACTAATAAGGTGTTTTGTTCCTCTCTTTACAGGTATGCAACTGAAAGTGGTTAAATACAGTAGGTTATTATTGTCATGTCCTTAGCCTAATCGATATCCAAGTACCAAGTTGTTGGCAAAATAACTGACGTATCAGTAGAGCCATAAGAGGGAAAAAAAAAAAATTAAAAAAAATCCATATTTGAAAAAAAATTTTTTCAAACAAACTAATTAAGTAAAAAAGAAACAAAATTTGTAACATTCTATACAACTACAACTGACTGATTCATACATTCAGAGACTTTTTCATTTATTGCCACAGCGTCACATTACAAGTCTCTCCTTCGAACAGTATGTTTTGTCTAGTTCAAATTCATTCAACCCATTCATATGCTTTGTGAATAATAACTCCGTAAATATTGATGTTTAAAGAATTTAAATGTTTAATACAATTTTAAAAATTTATCTTCTATATGTGTTTTCATTTATTGTCGCGATTGTAAAGACACACTGTATATCTTTCAATGCCCTCTCAATATTCTCATGTGACCCCCCGGTCGGTCACAATCCATAGTTTGGGAAATGCTGGTCTAATTTGTTTAAATTTTTTTTTTTCAATACAAACTTTGTGTTTGAAATGTGCTTTACAGATAAGGAATTAAAGGCAATGTGTTCTAAAAGTGATCCAGACAAAGACATTGACAGTGTCACAGGACCTGGTTTAGATGTGGAGTCATGCCATAGAGCCTTTCAGTATCTTGCAAAAGTAAGCATTCTCCATTCTAGAATTTTTTTAATTAATTGTATTCTTGCCATGCAAAGTATTGACTTCTTGATTCTACACAAATATTATACATATTAAATGAAACTATTTTACAGATTTTATCGCCTTTTATGTTTGAGTTCCTGGAGGACCGGTTTGTTTTTTTTGGTAAATCGTGTATTTTGAAAATTACATTTAGATATAAATTACTGAGTAATGAAATATGCATAATATTTTTCGATCTTATCGACGTAATAATAAGAAAATATGAAATGGTGTTATTCACAAAAGAAGGATAGTTTAAAAAAAAAGGGAAAAAAGAACAAAATCATCTGGATCGACAAAAAATAAAAAATAAAGAAAGCAATGATCTGGAATCAAAAAAAGTGTGTAAATGATCGTGACACGAACCACGGCCTTCTGTTTCTGGGCCGCCCAATTACCGACGGAGCTATTATAACATTTTTTTTCGGTGAATTTTACTGTCGTATTCGAGTATTTTCATTCTCTGAAAACTGGGATAAAACGACATTTTCTAAAAATGAATCTACGCACATTCTTCTATGCACATCCACGCCGTTTTCGAGATTCCGATTATATATACAATAATTGCTCGTTTAAAGGATAACATTTTTAATTACCGACGTTTTGAACCCTTTCCAGTCTGTCTGTTCTGTCTGCCCCATGATTGCTGGAACGCTGGTTCGAAACGTCGGGAATTTAAAATTCAAAATTAAAACGCAATAAAATAAGGAAACTAGTTTCATTGAATAGGCAGTGTAACTTAATGAGCCTTTGGTTTTTGGCTAGTAAGGTAAGGAAGTTAATTTCCCTTTCATTTTTTTTATTCATTTTAAGGTGCCACCAGAATATTATAGTTCTGCACTAGTCACAGCTCTGACAACATTAGCAGAACATTTAAAGATTGACTTGAGGATAAACAAAAAAATGAGCATGGAGGATGTAGTAAACTGCTTTGTGATAGCATTTGAAGTTCCTGATCTCGGCTGCAGTGATTATCTAGAGATTGCATTGCCCTCATTGTGTAGTGCTGCTGAGCACTTGCCCATTAAAGGTACATATTTCTCAAGTTGTTTAAAGTTGAACGAATGAAAGTCATTTAATAGAATTATTGAATTTGTCTTATTGATTAATTAACATATTTGTGGTTCTCTGGTACTTAATTGATCTCTTGTAATGGGGACATTACGAAAACAGAAAACAAAAAAATATTTGGCCTTTTATTATTTTACAATGATTCATTGGTAATTTTTATATTAGCTCAAGCGAGACTTGCAAGGATGTGGGCACAGTATTGCAAGGAGAGTTTACGTCACATCTTAGAGACTTTACAGCAGCTAATTACTCTAAGAGTTATATCAACAAATTACACAAGGCATTTCCAAGTGCAGGACGATGACAGTGTGACAATGGCTACAAAGCTTATGAAAGTAAGCCATCTTCAGACATTATATTTAATTTATTAAACATGATCTAAATATAACTAGATCTAAATATTACTATAGATATGAGCTCAATATATTAAATACTTTACTGATCCTTAATTTAGAATTAGATTCATCCAAACAAACCTTCAAGTCTATGCATAATATGGTTTTGTATATATGTATTGATTTGGAATGCAAAAGATGAGCAATGTTTCTGAAAATTGGAAATCTGTAATCTCTACCTTCTCTCTTTCCTCTCTTACTGGATATCACATGTGAGTGTTTATTGATCATTGTGATTGGAATAAAATATTAAAGTACCCCAAATAAAATTTACAGATAGTGTATTATGCAAACATGCTAGCTGGAGTGGTAGAACAGAACATGCAACTAGAGGAGCCAGTGGTAATAGCGAATCAGTCAGATCCATTAGGTGATGCCTTGTATGACTTCCTACCGCTGTCTTCCATGAAGAGCTCTAAGACATCCCAACCTGACGACCCTTTAGGTAATTTGCTTTGAAGTAAAAAATATTTTTTGTCATAATTTATGTTTTAAATAATAATGTTTAATACACAATACCTCTAGTACATGTCTTGATTTACTCTTACGCCATGTATGGCGCTCGTGAAATTTAAGTGCGCTTGGATGAAATTGGGTACTCAAGTTTTTCATCTGTTAAGTTGAATGTTCGTAATGAACTACTAAATAAAAAAAATGTGCGTAATTATGTAAGCACAGTAGTAGAGCCATGTAACAACTTCTGTTGGACTTTTTGTTCTTCTGTTCACGAATGGACTGGGCCGTCTGGCTAAGTACCACAACCTCACAGAAACCGGAAATAAAGTGGTGTCTGGTGAGTGAGGTAGCCGGGGTTAACTTTATTTAGGTGGCAACGCATCTGCGACCCTACGGGTGTGGCAAATGTCCGTGGGTGGCGGATATCACTTAATAATATCATGGTGGCCGCCAGCTTGCTTGCCACCTTCTCACATAAAAGAAAAAAGTTATACTTTTATAAATTTTAAGCATAACAAAAGAAATATAAGTGAATATTTTATCCCATGAATCCGTACCCTTTGTTTGTGAAAAAAAAAACATTAAATGCAATTGATAACATTATATGTAATTAAATAACTTGGAATTATAGATAAATGTCAAAAAGTTTTAATTCGTTGCCATGGTAACACCGTGTAGTTGGTGTCGCTTTTAGTTCGCGCAACTTAAAAATTCACTCCCATAATTTTTGCCTAATATGCCAAAAGAAGTATAACTTCAAAAATATGTTATACACACATAACTGTACTGTTATAAATAACTGTATATAATTTTTCATAGCCGTTGTGTGTTGGCAATTCCTATAGTCTTATACAGCGTGTCGTTACCATCGCGACAATAAATGAACACACGTCTAACGCTACGAGCCAATAATCATAAAAAAATATTAACGTAAAACAAAATCCATAATTAAAAAAAAAATATTTTTCAAACAAACTAATTAAGTAAAAAAGAAACAAAATTTGTAACATCCTATACAACTCGCGCCACAGCGTCGTATTACAAGCCTCTCCTTCTAAAAGTATGTTTTGTCTCTTTTAAATTCATTCAACCCATTCATATGCTTTGTGACCTTCAGAAATGAACTTTACGTTACGCTTTTATAGGTAAGACTGTTCTAAAATTCTTTGTTTTGGAAAATTTAATAACTCTGTAAATATTGATGTTTAAAGAATTTAAACGTTTAATACAACTTTAAAAAGTTATCCCCTATATGTGTGTTCATTTATTGTCGCGATGGTAAACACACGCTGTATATGAAATGATTTGGCAAAACTAATTCAATCAGCCCCACTACTTTTCTTAAACCTATAAATAGAGTTTAATTAATACATTCCACATATAATGCTGCTGTGTTATTCTGTATTTCCAAATTTTATTTTTAATCAATGTACTTCAAATATTTAGCATAACTTCACTAAATGCAAAATACTTTTTTCAGCTGTTGAATTAGATTTAAATGTATTAGATGCTAGAAAGCCATACCTACCATTTGAAGAGTTTTACAATGAACCTCTAAGTGATAATATAGAAATGGACATAGACTTTGCTAGTTATAAAACTGAAATATCTAATGGTGAGTACAATTTAACCAATACGATTATCTATAAAACAGCAAAAAAATCATGTGTGTTGTATGGGAGCCCCACTTAAATATTATTTTTATTCTGTTTTTTAGTATTTGTTTTTATAGCAACAACAGAAGTACATCATCTGTGAAAATATCACCTGTCTATCTATCATGGTTCATGAGATACGGTCTGGTGACAAACGGACAGTCAGATAGAGAGATGATAAACAGCGGAGTCTTAGTAATTGGGTCCCGTTTTACTCTTCGGGTAGCCTAAAAAATGATTTCACTTATTTAAACAATTTTAATAATAATATTATTAGGTAAAATGTATTTACGAGGCAACTGTATTAATTTCTGATTTATTTAATAACATAAAGTAAAGTAAAGTAACAGCCTATACATGTCTCACTGCTGGGCAAAGGCCTCCTCTGTACAAGGGTATCAGGGCATAGTCCACCACGCGGCCCCACTGCGGATTGGCGGACTTCACATATCTTCGAAAAATATGTTTTTTTTTTGTTATTATTTCGAAAATATGCAGGTTTCCTCACGATGTTTTCCTTCACCGCGGAGCACGTGATAAGTCAGCACTTAAAGTTAAAAACTTCATTGGTGCCGGCACCGGGGATCGAACTCAGGTTGCTCGAGTATATTGAATTAAGGCGAGCGCCCGGACACTGAGCTATCACGGCTCTTAATAACATGATCTTTAATAACATGATCATCATCATTTCAGCCTGTTTAAGTCCACTGCTGAACCTAGGCCTCCCCCACAGACTGCTACGAAGCATGACTCTGAGCCATCTGCATTCATCGACTTCCCGCACATTTGCAAAGGTCACCACTCCATCTAGTGGGAGGTCGTCCTACACTGCGATAATCAGTACGAACTTTTCTTCCCCGTCGGTTATCGGTTCTACAAGCTATATGGCCGGCCCATCACAACTTGAGCTTAGTAATCTTCTGAGCTATGTTACTTATCTTCGTTGCGAACTCTATTACGCAGAGAATCACCGTTCATAGCTCGTTGAGCGACTTTGAGTTTCTTTAAATGGCCAGCAGTGAACGGACCACGTCTCGGTTTCGTAGGTATTCAATGGCAACACAAATTGATTTAAGCCTTTGGTAATTTAATTTTTTTTATAGTCCTAATCTCTGCACTCAAGATTGAACATTAAAATTTGTAGAAAAAGTACGAAAAGATTGTCGCCGCTGTGGGAATCGAACCCATGTCTTCGGCAATCGCGGTCTGACGCTCTAGCCACTGAGCTAAACAGTGCCACACCGACGAAAATCTTAACGTCTTTTATCTACATACTTTTTTTTAGCATTTGAAGCAAGCCTTTGATTTTTAAATATTGAGGGATATCAGACGAGATGATATGTCGAAGTTTCCTTTACATTTTACATATTTGTCCAATTACAAATATGATATATTTATGAAATATAGCTTGGAGGTCCTCATATTTTTATTAACAACTTAGAAGCTGAAGCGGCAATAGGTCAGTCATCTAGCGCTTAGAACCAGCCAGTCTCGTATTGGCCACCGCAGCGTAGGACGTACTGGGTGGACTGACCACCTGTGCAAATGTACCCCAAGTCTATGGATGCAGGTGGCTCATTATCGTACTTCGTGGTAGTCTCTCGTGGGGGCATATGTCCAGCAGTGGACTCAAAAAGGCTGAAATGATGACGATGACCAGCACCGCCCTCTCTTTCGCAAGCAGGCAAGAAGTTTGCGTTCCTGAAGTACCCGTTCATCCTGACCGCGGCGACCAAGTCGCTGGGGCTCTACTACGAGAACCGCATTCGGATGTACTCGGAGCGGCGCGTGTCGCTGCTGCACGCGGTGGTGGGGGCGGCGCCTCCGATGCCCTTCCTGCGCCTCAAAGTGCGCCGCACCCACATCATCGACGACGCCCTGGTCGAGGTAGGCCGTCGCCATACTGGTCAGTTGTTACCAGGCCATAAAATCTTAATTAAAAAAATATATAACGTGGAGTCCCGCGCGGAAGAAGTGAAACTTCGAGTGCCACGCATTCATTCTTGCTCCGTGTTTTTCTATTCCTCCCCAGGAGCCCAGAAGCGTTGAACGTTTAACGCAACCTTGTTGGGAGTCGCATTAGAAGTTTCACTTCCAAAAATCGTAATCCAGGGTCTACCTACATGTCGATGCTACATGTGCGATATCACGCCGGGGTTTGCTTGTTACCCTACTTTGGCGACTTCAGTGTCATAACTGGCTGCAACGAGGACAGCCATGTTAGGAAATGGTGACACCATGGCGTAGTGGTCAAGGTATTGGCTTTAGCGCCGGGGGTTGTGGGTTCGAGCCCCACACGGAACAATTGTTTGTGTGACCCACAGATAATTGTTTCGGATCTCGGTGAATTAGACCACGTGAATTTTATGTATGTAAAATGGTCTAACAACACAGAAAAATGTTATGCTACAGTTGGTTATAAAGTTGGCCCACAATACAGCTAATAATATTTATGAAAAAATGCAATATTCTTGTGGTGCGACGTTTTCCGTCGCTTTGTAAAATTTCATAAGTTTATAATTATGAACTTTCGCATTTCATAATGGCTAGACTATCCAGAAGCGGAATAATAAAACATTAACAATCAGCCAAAATATTTTTCTGAGTACAACGCACTGCTTTCCCTGCCAGGAATCTGTGGAAATTCTCTGAAAAATTTGGTTATTTGAAACCATTTGAAAATCTTTTGATTACTGCGGGTTCTCTGTAGTATTTAATGGTATAAACAGACAGAAAAGGCTTTTGAAGGTAAGTTTTATGTACAAACAAAATTGATAAAAATGCTGGAAAATTTTGTTTATTACAATAGTTTCCACCACCAGTGGTAGTAAGCTGATGATCTAAATTCTAAATGGATGATGATCAACAAATTAAGTATTTCTGATTAAAATAGGATATGAATGGTTGCAGAAGTAACATAATATCACATATGTTCTCATGTTTCTTTTTGTATTCTGAATAGTTCCCAGAATTTAGCTGAATTAAATCAGCAAATGTATTATTTCAGCTGGAAATGATAGCAATGGAGCGTTCACTAGATCTCAAAAAGCAGCTGGTGGTGGAGTTTGAGGGTGAGCAAGGTGTGGACGAGGGTGGTGTCAGTAAGGAGTTCTTCCAGCTCATTGTGGAGGAGATATTCAATCCTGACTATGGAATGTTCACGCAACAGCCTGACACGGAAACCGTGTGGTAGGTATACTTTATGTTGTTTATTGCTCCTTAGAACATCATTTTTCACATTATCATGACATACATAGCAACTGGATAAAATAACTTCATAAAATATGATTCCATTTTGGTTCCACCCATGGAGTGTACCATACAGTTGTATTATATATTCCAAGACGAAATCATGGCAAGATAAAAAGCTGTCTTTTAACTTAACATTAGGTTATGAAAAAGCTGAAGGGATTACTTTTAATTTGTCATAACTTCTGACTTAAAAATTATTTTAAAAAAATAAATGTTAAAACGGGTTGTAATAATAACAAAGGATCTTACCACAAGGGATAACAAATCCAGCACAGTTTCCCAGACAGCAATCACAAATAATACGACCAGGAACGTGTTCTGATTTCAACCTCTAGCTATGCACTGTAAAAAAAGCGAATTGATAAGAAAACGAAATACGTAAACAAAACAACCACTGGCATGAACAAAACCAAACAACTACTTACCAGTCGAAGATAATGGATCCACAAAAACTAATTTATCCAATGTCAATTCGATCCGGCGGCAATCTCAAATGACAAGTACGACCAAATGAAGTTAACTTTTACATTCGTCCTTTCGAAAAGGCAAAGGTTCATAGTACATGCAGCCTAGTCTTTAGAAAAACGACTATTTCGACAAAGTGATGAAATCACCCGTTACAATGTTCATATTCACATGATTATAGATTCATATTATGTTTCCGGTTATTCTCTGAAAAAGGTTTCATGATTAATTACATATATAATGAGTTTATAAAATTATATAAATATAAAATAGTCTGTAACAAAATTAACAGATTTATCTATGCACTATATAAATTAAGTAAAGTAGCAACAAGGACAGCCGCACTAACTGCATACTTTTCATATGTTGATTCAGTTCTAAGGTACGGATTACCGATTTGGGATAATAGCACAGAAGCTAACAATGTTTTTATGGTGCAGAAAAAATGTGTTCGTGCTATTTGCAATGCTGCGCCACACATGTCATGTAAACCACTTTATCGGACATTAGGTATTCTTCCTCTTCCTTGTCTATTCATTTTAGAAATGGCAAAATTCATTAAACAGCACCAGGCATGCCTTTATAACCAAAGTCGTGACATAGATCAAAGAATGAAAAGATACCCGGACAAAATTATTATTGACATTATACCAAGGACGGCAGGGTTTCAGAGGAATTGTTACTGGATGGGCAAAACAGTTTACAATAAATTGCCTCACTCAATAAAAAGCCAACGATATTATACTTTTAAAAAAAGTCTCAGACAATGGCTTCTAGAACATACGTTTTATTCAATTAGGGATTTTATGAACTACAAAGTGTTAATTAGTATTGTTATTGACATTGATATACTTATTTTGACTAATATATTATTACTTTGATATTAGCTGTAACTGATAATATTTGCATGCTATTTGTAATGGCTGAACTTGGAGTTCGAAACGCTATATTTTGTCATCTTGTTAAATACCCAGTTCAGTGGCAAATAAAGATATTATTATTATTATTATTATATAAAAGCCTAGAACTACTTGTTAACATAATAATAATAATGGCGACTTTGATATAGGTTTGTCTTTTTGTATTAGGTTTAACCCAACATCGTTTGAGACAGATGCACAGTTTACATTAATCGGTATTGTGCTTGGTCTAGCGATATACAACAATATTATACTGGCAGTCAACTTCCCAATGGTTGTATATAGGAAGCTAATGGGTAGGAAGGGCACCTTTGAGGACTTGGCAGACTGGAATCCGGTAAGTAGCAAATAATTCAGATAAGCTGCCATGTTTCAACATAAATTTTGAATAGAAAAATAACTTAGATTCTTTACATTTTCCTCTGTGCACATAATGATCAACCTATTTGACAATAATGTTACTGTTCCAAAAGCGGGCATATACCAAAAATATTTCTTGGATATTAGATACTCTAGATCCCCTAGAGTGTGCCACATTTTCAGATCTTCCTTATGATTATAATGAACTCTTTGATTGCAGACTTTGTATAATGGCCTAAAGGACATGCTAGAATACACAGGTGGCGATTTAGAAGAAGTGTATTATCAAACCTTCAGGATATGTTACCAAGATGTATTCGGAAATACCATATTCCAAGATCTTAGAGAAAATGGCGACGGCATATTTGTTACGCAAGAAAATAAAAAGGTATTAAACAGAAAACAAATTTTTTTGTTCACATTCGATTATAAAGACATTTTTTCTTATTTTTCTCAGAGATAAAAGATAATCTTTAGTACTTAACTAAAATAACTAAGTTTTAATTGAAGTTTGTTTTATATATGTTCTGTTTACCTGTTAAATTTAAATATGTACATAATATATTGTTACAACTTAATTAAGCTAAACCAATTTGTAGGTCAATGTACTGTTATGTATTTAGTTGGTAAGCCTTAATAAATGAATAAACTAAATTTTTGCTGATAAGTGGTTAAAATTTCAGGAATTTGTCGACCTGTATGCAGATTTCCTGCTCAACAAATCGGTGGAGACGCAGTTCAAGGCGTTCAGACGAGGCTTCGTGATGGTCACCGATGAAAGTCCTCTGGGCGCCCTGTTCCGGCCGGAGGAGGTTGAAACATTAGTTTGCGGTAGTAAGGTAACATTATCTGCCGCCCTTTAAAAGTTTTCTCATCATCAGCTGGACTTCGTGTTTGTTCCTGCGCCGCAGTGCTCGACTACAAACAAAATTTATTTCCTTTACTAGTCCAATACTGGACATTTAATTTTTACTTTAAAATCAGGCTCAAGAAGTAAAAAGAAATAAAAGTCGTTTTAAACGTTGGAATTTTAAAACTGAACGCGATATAATTCTACTGCGATAGTGCCACAGCCTGCTGTTGCAGGAACGGAAAAATCGAATAGAAGATCGATGTAAAGTTCATGTATTTGTACTTTAGGATATCGTCTTGCAAGTGAGGTAGCCGGGGCCCTCTCTAAAAGGTTAGCATTGCAACTTCAGCCCAACAGGTGTTTTATTTATAGCGCCTGCAAATTTGCTTTTCGTGTACCGTACCGTATGTGTGTACTTATGTACTCCAGTAAGAGGTTATATTTGTTTAGCGTAAAGACATTAAATGCAATAGAGATAATGGTTTATTTAAATAATTGAATTATTGGTAAATGTCAAAAAGTTGTTATCGGTTGTGAAGATTAAATTGGTTACCAAGCATCAAGTCGCTTTCTGAGGGTTCGGTGTAGCGCCCATCGTAAGCTTTTCTAAACGCCTCAAAAGAAGTATAACTTCTAAAATTAGCAAAGATATTTATTGATTATTTACAATGAGTGAGACGTGATAGCTGGGGCCGCATGGTGGACTATGTCCTGATACCTGCTGTATAGAGGAGGCCTTTGCACACTGCTGTGGGAAATGTATAGGCTGTTACTTTACTTAACATTTTTTATAGAATAGATATGACGCTAGCGCACCGATAATGAAGCGCTCAAATTTCGCTATAGACTGCTATCCATTTCCGTATCGTACGTTCTATATCATCTGTCACAACCACATGTATGTCATATAACGTGAAGCGCCGCGCAGTATGGGCGTGCGTCATCTATATTATTAAACATGATTGGTAGAACTTCGACTTCAACGAGCTGGAGAAGTCGACCGAGTACGACGGCGGCTACACGGCGGAGTCGCGCGCCGTGCGCGACTTCTGGTGCGTGGTGCACGAGCTGGACGCGGCGGCGAAGCGGCGGCTGCTGCGCTTCGCGACCGGCTCGGACCGCGCGCCCGTCGGCGGCCTCGGCCACCTGCGGCTCGTGGTGGCGCGCAACGGGCCCGACACCGAGCGGCTGCCCACCGCGCACACCTGCTTCAACGTGCTGCTGCTGCCCGAGTACGCCACGCGCGACAAGATGCGCGACCGCCTGCTCAAGGCCATCAGCTACGCGGAGGGCTTCGGCATGCTCTGAGCGCACCCTCTCCACCTCTCCACCTCTCCACCTAAACACCTCCCCCCGCCCCCGCCCCCGTACGCCCACGGTGAATAAACCCGGCTTTATTTATACGGAACCGCGCTGTTTCATTCTGTCCTCTGTTCTGACAGCTGTCCTCTTGCAGTTGTAAAATGATGTTATTCTCATGTACACTATGTCGGTTTCGGTAAATAAAAAAAAGCAACCTGACACTTGGTTGTTTACCGAGGTTGTACGATCGAAAACGACAGTTATGTAAGAAGTTACTCTCACAAAAAAAAAGCTAGACGATTTGGTCTCATCGTATATTTCGTTTCGTGCAAGTATTAAAAATTTCTTACAAAGTAAAAAATATATATATCATCATAACACAGTATAGTTTCTAAAAATACATCGTTGTTGCGTCGTTATCAGTGCATTGTGGAATTTCGATGAGCGTTTGCAAATCGTCTTCGAACGGGTGGACGGTTGGCTCGGTCAGGAGGCTGCTAGCTTGCGCTGCCTCGCGCTGAGCCTGAGCTCGTGCACCGCGAGGGGGAAGGGGCGGCGGCAAGCGCGCGGCGAATCCGAACCCGCCCCCGCCACCGCCCCCGCCACTGCCTCAGGCCCACCGCCATCGGCAGACGCGCACCCCTGCGAGCTTCTGACTCTGCGAATACAAACCCCGTTGACACCTTCGGCGATCCGATTGGCAAATGGACAGCGGATCTGAACTCTTTCACCCGAGGGTTCGAATCCAATTACTAGAAAAACTTTTGTGCGACCAACATACTGCTTTTCTAGTCTACGGTATTTATATGTATTAATTCACAAAATAAAAATAAATGTTTAAGTATATTTCTCAGACTCAAATAAATGGCCTCCAAAATGAGCGTGTACGTAGGCAGCGGCTTTAGCGAGGAGTAAATATAAAGAATGAATTTCGCCTAGAATCGCCTAGAATCAATGCGTATACGTAGTCGACCTGTGGCGCGCGTCGCAGACGCAGGCGGAGCGCGCGTGGTAGTCCGCGGCGGCGACGCGGCGCGCGTGCCTCGAGCACACGCGCAGCGGCTCCGGCGGCCGCTGATCGGAGGCGCCCGCCCGCCGCGCCGAGCGCACCGCCGACGCGTACGTGGGCGCCGCTATCCGCTCCACCTGCCCGCCCCGCTCTGCGTTCGTGACACACGCTCGGACACTGCGCCCGCGCCCTTACAACGGGCTCACACTCCGAAATGTCGAGATGTCGAAAGTGAAGAGATAATGTATCGATATTTGCAAAAATATCAATATCGGCCTCGATATATCAGATATAAGAAGAGAAAATCTCAATATATCGGATAGTGCAAAAAAAAAAGATGTAATATATCAAACATTTGACACATACGAACTCTGTGCCGGACTCGCATTTGAAAAAATATTGTTTTTGATACGATTTTCGATATTGAATATTTTATATCGATATATCGGATCCAAATATATCGGCTGAAGGTATCGGTATAGAATTTATTTATTAAAACCGTAACCTAATGATTACTTTAGCTATATCAGCACCGAACCATTATAACCATCATTTTATATATTAAAATTACTGCTATCTCGAAACCCAAACATACCATAAAATGTCAAAAACGTGTTTTGAAAACCAATACAAGTGTAAGAGGTTCAAAAAGAATGGCAAACGTTTCTATTCATAACTAGTCCATTTTTTTACTAACGAAAAACAAAATCGACATCAAATATCTCGATCTGTATTCATTTTATAATTGATTTTCAAGAGTTTCCTAAATATCTTCGGAGCCCAAGAACCAATACCAATGAAATTAATATGGGACTAATATGACACATGGACTCCCCACGTGGTCCCATTAATCGGTCCACTCAGTGAAAGTTCTGAAATAACAAACAAAAAAAAATACATTCGAATTGAGAACTTCCTATTTTTGAAGTCGGTTGTGCAGCAACGTTTGCAGCACTATTAAGTGCTTCAAGTCCTCAGACTCGCATCGTAGAAGCGTCCTCGAGGTCAATGAACTCTCGAGTGGTTTTACCCATACATCCTTGTGGTTACCAAGTTGAGGAGCGGGAGGAGTGTCTTGTTCCCATTCACATCCACCGTCTGCTTGGTTACCTCGAAACTGTGCTTGCGGCGGCGTCGTCTAGGCGCGGTGGCGGGCGTCTCGACTCGTTTGCGCCTGGCGCCGCTCGCCGCAGCGCCGAACAGGCCCCGCTCTTCCGCGACCCGGATCATGTACTTGGCGTCGAGGCGGGTCAACTCCTGTGCGAGGACGCTCAACAGTATTAAGTATATATAAGCTTGGTACAGAGTAAGCTATAGTAAGAGTCAGTGGTTCCACAGTATAAGTCTTGGTACAAAGTAAGGGTATAGTAGTAGTATAGCTGGCGGTGTTCGGTTCAATATTGAACAAAACAGCTTTGTTTGCACTTTTTACCTAAAGTCCATCAATACGTTGTAAGCATTAAAATATACCGCGACAATCAATCAGTTTACGTTCGGTCATCAAGCAAACCACGCGTTCTCAAAATATCATACCCAATTATCATAACTATCATAAATAACATATCATATTATAAGTATCATTTTAACTGTATTAATTTAGTAATAAAGTGTTTCATATCAGTATCTATTATCATTTATAACATCATATACGGTGTTAGGAGTTAGCCCCTACAGGCGGTTCACCTGATGCTAAGTGACGCCGCCCATGGACATTTGCAATACATGTGCGCTTGCAAATGCATTTCCACTTTTTAATAAAGTGGGCCCCTGCTAACTCGGTTACCATACGGAACGCAGAAGTATAACGCTTCCACCTCACGCCGGTCTTCTGAGAGATCGTGGTACTTCCCCGAAAGGACCTGCCCATTCGTGTCCTACCATAGTTGGTACGTAGATATATCCACAACAGTCGTTACATATACTATACGAGTACAAGCACGCATTTGTACAATCTTTTTTTTCTACTCGTATTTGTGTGAACTACAGATAATTGTTTCGGATCTGGGTTTTAGTCGCACGCGTTAGATTGAAAGCTGCAACATAAAATAAAACTATATACCTTCCTTTGGATTAGGCCAAGATAGCAACCATCCCTGTCTAGAATGTAGTTGATGTCCAATCCATTACCCAAGCTCGGCAAGGTCTGGACTTCAAAAAGGTCACAGTTTGGAACCTGAGTAATTAAACATAGGTATGTAATTTGTTTAGCTTCCACCATAATGAAAAAAAAACAGTCTAAAAGTTTTTAGACCGCACAGATGAATAGAAAACAAGTAAAAGTTAATTATATAACCAACCAACCAGCACTTAAAATTAACAATTTCATTGGTGCCGGCACAGGGGATCGAGCTCAGGTCGCTGGACTTTTTTTTTTTTTTTTTTTTTTGAGAATTAAAAGCTATCAAAGCTACTAGTTTAATAGAAGTTACATTTAAATGTACATACGTAAACGTCCGGGCTGTCTTTGTCTGGATCTCGCGGAAAGTCGTCATCTGTGTTGTGGACGTCTGGTATTGGTCTGCTCTTAGTTGTCCCCGGTCTGATAGCAACTTCAGAGTTCTCCGTTCGTTTGGTCAGAACTGTCCTTCCACTGTCTGGTCTCATTCCTTCTGTTGCTGGAGAGGAAACCGTATCAGATACTTCATTGGGAGTACAGTCGGTGAGGTCTTCTTGGTGTTCATCCGAATTTATATCAGATTCTGAAGAATCCGAGAGAGCTTCAGCCTCTTTTTTCGGTTTCTGCACCTGAATTACAGTTCGAAGTAAGTATTTTGAGTAAACTATTGTATGTTTATTTATTTTAACTTTCAATGAATATATTATGAGCATAACTGGGTTAAGTAATCTTTGTATTTTTACACTGTACTATTTGTGAAGTTAATAAGAATATAATGTGGGATTCATTGTTTGTAGTGTGAAGTTTATATTGTAAATAGACCTTTAACGTAAGTACAAAATGTTTACTTCAAATTCCAGGTAATTATAATCCCCATCTCTTATTATCGCATAAAGTTATTTCGCAAATCGCAAATGTAGAGTTTAGCATTGCAAAAGAATTAATCCTAGCCGATATCTGATAAGCGGGCATCTCCTTTTTCATAACAGATTACGACAGCTTCTAGCAAAATACATAGATTGCGTGTGACAACACTTAAACATTTCTGATTAAAAATCGATTCAACTTTTCACCTAAATTAGATAGGCTAAATTAGACAATGTTGGATTCTCCGCGCCGATTTTAAGGATTCCTTTTTGTTATAGCTCTACATTTTCTTTTTAGTATAAGGGATAGTAAGAAGCTTCACCGGACGAACGAAGTTTTGATGAAAAATATTGGTAGGCAGTCGTCCCCTACAAGCTTGGATTCGGGGGGAGCGTTATAGTTGTCATGACGTCCAAAACTGTATACAGCGTGTCTTTAAAATCGCGACTATAAATGAACACACATATAGGGGATAACTTTTTAAAACTGAATTAAACATTTACATTTTTTAAACATCAATATTTACAGAGTTATTAAATTTTTCAAAACAAAGAATATTCATTCATTCATTCATTTTTTTATGATTATTGGTAAGTAGCGTTAGACGTGTGTTCATTTATGGTCGCGATGGTAACGACACGCTGTATATGTCACCTATCAGGCACTTAATTAAATCTCATTACAGTAATCTGAACCCCTCCAAAATCTACACGGGGTTCCGTGCCAGGCCCCTTGTGTGACTCGGTGTTCAAATACCTTGTGCTTCCTCCTAAGTAGCGCGTGCCGCTCCCTCGCCAGACGATTCGCCTCCGCCACTGCGCGCGTCACCTGCGCCTCGTTCTCCGCCTGCAGCGCGGAGTGCGTCTCGTACAGAATCAACTGGATCTGTGACGAGGGACAAAATCGCTAGAGCCCGCTTCCTACATTCAACGAACGGCCGTTAGTTACATAGCTACGGTGCATAGCGAGCGTAGCAACGGTGGTAGGGCCACGCAGCAGCCTCGGCTGTTGCACGAATGGGCAGGCCCGTCCGGGTAAGTACCACGACCTCACAGAAGACCGGCGTAAAGTGGAAGTATGACAAATACTTTCGCGTTTCGTCTGGTGAGTGAGGTAGCCGGAGCCAATTTTCAAAAGGTTGTCAACGCATCTGTAACCCTCGGGTGTGGCAGATGTCCATGGGCGGCGGTATTCACTTAACATCGGGTGAACCGTCTGCTCGTTTGTCAACTTTTCGCATAAAATAATAATAAAAAAAAATATATAAGCTTCGTAACTTTCATAACGACTTGTATATGAAAGGCGTGTACGCCCGGTTCTTATATTAACAAAACGATGCGTTTTCCTTACGGGTCGTTGCATTACCTACGGAGAGTGATTTACTAGCGTTCCTTTAATCGACAACAGTTTTCGCCGGTGCATGAATGGGCAAGTCCGTCCGGGGGACATAGAAGACCGGCGTGAAATGTGTTACGCTGTTACTATTTATTGTGTTGCGGTTCGTCCGGTGAGTGAGGTAGCCGGGGTGCACTCTCCGACGGGCGATGCAAACGTCACCGGAGTACGGTTATCACTTAACATAAGGTGAACCGCCAGCTCGCATGCAATTTTTTCACAAATAAAAAAAAGACGTTAATTCAAATTGTTGAGTCGGGATCATGCATAAGCATGATCAATTAAAGAGCTTGATCTATCAAAAACATTGTAAAAAAAATACGTGTACGTCTAACTTTCTTAATTCGAGACGGAGCGGAAATTGTGGTTGGATTACAGACTTCTTTTATTGTTTACCTGTGGCTTTGACATAAGCGTTTTCAAAGTCCTCTTCTGTTCCTCGAGAATCGATTGCACGCGAGCTTTACCTTTGACGTCCATTTCTGACTCTGTAAGAATCTAAATAAATGACATCGGTATTATCGAGCATCGAAGTAAAGAAAACCGGATAATTTAATCATTTTATCTTTTAATCATTTCAATTTAATCAATAATAGCAAATAAATTAATTTAATTCTGTGGAATAATGAATCTTATGGAGTTTGAATAAAGTCCTGTTTGTTATTTAAGACATTAATACATTACAGGGATTGATAGTACTTGTTAAGATGCTATTTCAAATAGATGCTAGTTTTAATCCTGGTAACGTGGACCAAAAAGTATTTTAAACTTCTCGTTTGTGCATATACTATTGCCTGTCATTCGTTGTTAATTTTGAAACTAAATAAGCTTGAAGAGAGGGTCAAAAGACTTATTTATTCCAATATTGCTAGTGCACAAAAGTCCTATTATTATTAATGAAATAATCAACAAGCAGAATTCAGCGGTCAATCAAAATGGTGGATTTTTTAGTTAAAATAACAAGTTTCAAATATTTGTTTTCTCGAAAACTAAAAGCAACTACAATTGTTTGTTGATTATTACATTACAATTGTTTGTTGATTATTTACATTTTCTTTCTTTCTTTCTTTCTTTCGACCGTTCCGCTCCATGCAAAACGCTAAAGCAACGCGCAAGAGAGAGAGAGAGAGAGAGAGAGAGAGAGGGAGAGAGACACGAGTTCACCTCCAGCATGGCGAGGTCGCCGCCGCGGCCGCACACGAGGTCGATGGGGTCGGTGACCGCCGAGTAGGAGTTGGGCGGCGTGGCTAGGGCCGCCACCACGCCGTCCAGGGCGCTCGCCACCAGCGGCGAGTCGCCGTGCACCGGCTCGCTGAGCACGCGCACCGCCGCCTCCGACTCTGCGCCAGACGCCTCGATGCCCAGCTCGCGCAGCGAGCTCACGTAGCTGCCAACCCTGAGGCCCGTGGCTGCTTCTTTGATATGGGGAGTGGACCCGGGATAGCAGCATCGATGTATGTGGGATTCGAGTTGGAAGCAGGTCAGGTTTATGGGTTTCCTCTATCTGCGCGACACATATCACAGCGATTTCCTTTCGTCTGTATTATCAATCCAGTTAACACACGTTCACCATAGACATCTTGCTGATTGTCCCGTAATCATAATACTACGATACTTGTGTAATAAGTATCCCGTGTGTCAATTCAACATATTAAAAAAACTATTACCCTTTAAAATTTCGTTCAAATAAATTTATAATATGGAATATGGTGTCAATAGACCGGACGTAGATGGATGTCAAGATTTTCGCCTCGTGAGCTCATTTGCTAGCTTAGTTGGTAGAGCGTCTGGGCGCGAAACAAGAAGAGGCAGGTTTATTTATCTACAAAAAAATTACAATTTGTAATAAACGTATAAGTTCAATAGTGCCGTTACAAGCGCTCACTTGTCCCCGGCGCCGAAAACGACCAGCCGCCCGAGTTCGGGCGTGGCGGGCGCCGGCGGCCTGCTCGCCCGCACCACCGCCGCCAGGTCGCGCAGCTGCGCGGCCAAGTAGGCGGAGCAGCGCGGCGACGACGCGTGCGTCTGCGCCACCGCGCCCTGCAGCGAGTTCGCTCGCAGCGCGCGGCACAGCGTCGACGCGCCCTCGCAGAACTCGCGCTCCTGCACATTGGCGTTTTGACGCTCGCAAGAGGAACGCTAGACGTTGGGTTTGGCATTGGCTCAGTATGTGATTGTGGTTAGAGTGATGGGAATCTGATCACGCGTGCGTAAACGCATAGAGACTGGCGCTCCTGCACATTGGCGTTTTCACGCTCGCAAGAGGAACGCTAGACGTTCGGTTTGGCATTGGTTCAGTATGTGATTGTGGTTAGAGTCATGGAAATCTGATCACGCGTGCGTAAACGCATAGAGACTGGCGCTCCTGCACATTGGCGTTTTGACGCTCGCAAGAGGAACGCTAGACGTTGGGTTTGGCATTGGCTCAGTATGTGATTGTGGTTAGAGTGATGGGAATCTGATCACGCGTGCGTAAACGCATAGAGACTGGCGAATTTGACGGTCGCAAGAGGAATCGGTTTGGCATTGGTTCAGTATGTGATTGTGGTTAGAGTGATGGGAATCTGATCACGTGTGCGTAAACGCATAGAGACTGGCGCTCCTGCACATTGGCGTTTTGACGCTCGCAAGAGGAACGCTAGACGTTCGGTTTGGCATTGGTTCAGTATGTGATTGTGGTTAGAGTGATGGGAATCTGATCACGCGTGCGTAAACGCATAGAGACTGGCGCTCCTGCACATTGGCGTTTTGACGCTCGCAAGAGGAACGCTAGACGTTCGGTTTGGCATTGGTTCAGTATGTGATTGTGGTTAGAGTGATGGGAATCTGATCACGTGTGCGTAAACGCATAGAGACTGGCGCTCCTGCACATTGGCGTTTTGACGCTCGCAAGAGGAACGCTAGACGTTCGGTTTGGCATTGGTTCAGTATGTGATTGTAGATAGAATGATGGGAATCTGATCACGCGTGCGTAAACGCATAGAGACCGGCGCTCCTGCACATTGGCGTTTTGACGCTCGCAAGAGGAACGCTAGACGTTCGGTTTGGCATTGGTTCAGTATGTGATTGTGGTTAGAGTGATGGGAATCTGATCACCTGTGCGTAAACGGACTGAACTGCTGCCAAACTGTATAGCCTCATGGAGTCTCCCGTATTTCTTAGAAAAAAAGTATATGAAAAGAGAAATGTTATAAGAATGTGTTATAGCTATGATAAAGCCATCTATTCAAAATTTGTTTATGTGAATGATAGGAAAATTACCGTCATTCTTCAAAATACACCTTTAATTGATAAACATTTCATTATTATTATAATATTAGTTACCACTCGTGACTGACCCCGGATAAAGAAAAAACAGATGTTCATTAAAATCAGCAGATTTTAATTCAGCAGACAGTATGAAAACTACAGCTGGTTAATTCATTCATGTTTGGCACATCAGTAGAAATGATTCTGAAAGTATACCTGAAGAACTATGACGCCATTTTTGACTAATTCCAACTGTCCAATGCTTAGATTGTCAGGTGGGCGGAGAGTTATGAACCTGGAAATTTTAACAGCAATGTAAAAAAGACATAGTGCTGGACTCATGTTACCGATATCAAATTAGTAATTATTTAGTATTACCGTCGTAAGTATCGGGAAACACGACATAAATGAAAAAAGGATTTTTTTTTATTCAGTACTGTCGCAAACAGAACACTTGGACATTTTCTATAGAAATAAGTTTAAATAAATATATTACATAAGTGAATATTCCACTATTAGCGAACACATCAGTACACACATGAATTATAGTATAATGATCATGATGATCATCATCATCACATCACATAATTTCAGTCCGTTTTTGTTCACTGCTGACACTATTGTTGTGGTGGAGGCCTATGCCTCCAACACAGACTGCCACAAATCACAATCCTCAGCCACCTGCATCACTTCATTTTCCACAAACATCAAGTGGCCTCCGATAGATGGCGGGATAATAGTCTCGACTCTCCTGAAGCTAAATACTCAGGCCATTAATGGCGTTGCCAACCCGCTCGCCTGGCGAGGCGTGGCGTGGCACCTATGGCAAAACCCGCTATGATAAAAACTCAAGAAAGGATGGTGATTGTTAATAATCTTTTAAAATTTCCACATCACGCACGTACCTTGGGCACACACGATCGAACCTGTACTCCCCAGCACACAGTTGTCGCGAACAGCTGTAGGAATAACCGAGCTCGTGCAATCTTTGCACTAGCAGTGCCACTTTCCTATAAAAAAAAAAATATTTTTGAACGATGTTGTTCAATGTCTAATCGAATGAAAGATTAAAAAACAGGGCAAGTTAAATTAGCATTATTGTCTATTTAGACTAAAACGGACATTTTAAATGGTAGCTTTTATTTTGTGAAATTGTTTTATGTTGTATCTCCTCCAGGCTGCAATGGTTTGTGTGTTTTTATGTTAATTTGAGCCTTTGTGTTACTTCAACGCCTTCCTTTCTTTAGTTGACTTCTGATTGTTCAAAGCAGTTTAGGTATTGAAGCTTTTTCAATAAATAATTATAATAAATCAATAACGTACATTAATAAGTTTTATTTTTGTGGTTATAGTTGTATAACATTAGTTCTACCCGTGACGTGAAAGTTAATGCTAGTAATTCATGGTTCGTCTCGTTTCAAAAGGACTAAAAGAGGACACTAGGTTCACATATTTTATTTTCCGAAAGCGTAGTCATATGTAATGCAGAGGGGCGCTGATGCGTACTGAAGTACTGAGCCACCGATTAAAATTTTTGGGTGAGAACCTACATAACCCTTTCTCCAGTAGGCAGTTACGATCGCGAACGTTATCTTGTCCAAAACTAAACAAAGCTTTGTACTACTTTGTATAAATGTAAAAATTTCAATCAGACAATCTTTTTCCAGCGGTGGAAATCGAACCCGAAAAGAGGTATTGATTGGTTCACGATTCCGTTCAAAATTTAGTGTAGATTATAAAATCAATAACAGACTAACTTCGCTTTGAAAGTGTTGACCCAGCCGGTGACAGTATCCTTGTTAACACAGGCCGACACGCATTCATCGCGGAGGTGAGCAGGCAGGAGGTCTGATAACCTATGAAGTTCGATTAAATAAAATTTCATATCAAAATGTCTATACACACGGACCACTCGCCAATTTATTCCTATCATAACTTTTTCTTCCTAGTACTATTGTCATTTTTATACCTTTTTATTACGAAAGAGCTTTAGGCTTTAATATCATCCCATCTGTAAACAGTGATAATGTCTTAGCTTGTAATCCCATTAGCTCAGTTTTACCTAAGCTATTGCGTTTATTACCTCAGCAAAATCTAAGGTTGCCTTTTTGATCTTGCGTTAATTTAATACATTACTATTAATTGAAGACAGATTCTGGTAAATGATCCCACTTAAAATTTGAGCTCTTAATAGCAGAGCTAATCGGCCGATATCATCAAGTCACAAAAATCTATACATCCATGTACTTTATTGCACTATTAGCAATTTTTGCTAAAGCTAGTGCATCTTCACAGCAAGTCCATGTTTATGAATAAACATTTTTTGGAACGAATATTTGAAGTTTGAACGGTTAAGTAAAATAAATAATTCTATAATTCCACACAATGTTTTGCGGACGATATCTGTATTGTATGGCGTTTACTTGCTTTCGGTCTTAATCTTCAATCTTTTGCGGTTGGGTTTGGGGTTAAGGTTGAAAGCTCGTCAGTGGTGATGCATTACGTGTAGGCCCTATTCTTGATGCGGATCCTGGCGATGGCGGCCGCGAAGTGCACCCTCTGCTCCCAAATGCTGCTCTCAATGTCCTCGAAGGGGGCCCCCGCCGCGCCCAGGAGCGCCGTGGTCCGCTCCAACTCCTCCCTGGTCCGGGCGCCCCACTTGCGCCGCGCCAGCTCCATCAGGAACAGCCACGTCACGTGCCGGTGATCGGAGTACTGTAATGTTCACGTTCACGCGCGTGATAACGCAATGGTCGTGCAATGACCAAACACTATTTATATTAACGCATTTCCTTTTTAGGCACTGTGTGTATATGTATATGAGGAAAAGAATGATAAAAGGTATAATGTTAATAAAATAAGTGGCAAAGTTGGTGAAGGACACCGCAGAAGAACATTAATCGATCACATGGCAATGTATTTACAGAGAGCAGAGTATGTGAAAGAGGCAAAAGGGATTTGATGACTCCGTGGCGCAGTTGCCAAGGTATCGGATCGGCTTCGACGTCGAGGGTCGTGTGTTCGATTCACACATGGAACAACTATTTGTGTGACCCATACATAGTTAATTCGCATCCGGATGTTTGTCGACGTGAAATTTATGTTTGTAAAATGTCCTTACAACACAAGATATTATGTTATCCTAAATCAATAGTCCGCCAAGCCGCAGTGGGGCCGCGTGGTGGACTATGCCCTGATACCCTCTGTATAGAGGATCTATACAGAGGGTATCAGGGCATCTCTTTGCCCAGCTGTGGGACATGTATAGGCTGTTACTTTACTAAATCAATGATAATTAATGTTTATGTTGTATACATATAAGATACGGTAGCTGTAGTGATAAAACTGGAATGGAACGAGCATGCTTGCCCATATCATTAGAGACAGGAACTGTATAAAGATTGTAAGTTCAAATCCTTGCCATTAAAAAAAGAAACTAATTTAGGTACGGATTTTTTCCGTGACCATGAACTCTGTAGTGTTCTAAAAATCTGGAATTAAAACCGAAAATGAATGAATGAAACGTGAAAAAAATCCCTAAATTAGTTTTATTAAACAATGTGTTGTGTTCGGGTAGACAGGAAGTAATCATGAGTTAGTTACTAATTAAAACTTTTAACACAATCGTTGAACCACGTTCCTTCCGACGCCCGACACGACCATCCAAGAAACTCGGCCGTTATCAGATTGGAAAGGCCTATATACTTTCTTTCGGCTCGCAAAAGGCGACGGGTAAATCTATAGCTCATTTCGTGGGTGTCCTCGGCGCTCAGAAAGAAATGTCTTCGGTCACGGCATGGGCGTGATGCCCCTCAGACGCGGGTACTTACAAAGTATCTCATCGAACCTGCCCCAACTGTTTATCATTCTTCGCAATATATCCCAACGATAAAAGGGTTCGACCTTGACGAAAAAACACGAAAGTTTATCAAGATTTATGAGTAACGATGGAATTCGTACAATACTGGGTCGCCGATAATGCTCTTTAAACGACAGTTCGGCTGTATATAAATTACAACCACTTTTTGTTGAGGAAATACAGCAACCGAGTATTTAGCTTTAATGCTAGCGTATTGCGAACATTTAATTTAACAGACAATGGTTTTCATCCTATCAATTTTGATGTAAAATCTTAAATGTATAGTCTTCATTTTAAATGATCACCTATTCGTCCACAATAGTTTTGGAAGAGGCATAAAATCAAGATCATTGTTTAAGCAAAGCACTAAGAATAACAATATTTAAGATTGCCCATCAGTAACAATTCCGTATCTGTTAATGGCCAAGTACCCCATATTTTAACTGAAGCACAAACGTAGAAGTAACACCGTGTTCTGTTTCGGTCTGTTCCCGTAGGATTAATCTGGTAAAAGTGCCATTCAATGATTCATATATATGATACTAAGCTATTATTCGTATTGATGTAATGAGGTAAATTAATATGAATTGTATCGCAATATAGAATGTATTATCGTGTAATTATTGATGAATACATACATATTATACATGTAATAAGTAAACATACTTAGGAAAAACAGTCAACTTACCTGCGGGAAGTTGCCGAAAAAATCGATATCTTCTATAGCTTGGTCTAGAATCGATTTATCTGGAAAAATAATCATTCGTATCACTGTGGGTGTTCGTATGTTTGGCATGTGACCTCAGAAGTTCGAAGCGAATGCGCCAAATCGCGTGCCAGCCAATATTCCGCCCATAAAACCAAGGGCTGACGATAAAAGTGTCATGATGAACGTGAAACGTCAAACGTTTATGGTTTTATGAGTTTTTTATGCCTTGCCGTGTCTGCTATCATATGTCATAGCGCTATTGCACGAATATCGCAGTTTCGTGTTATACACATATGTTCGTAAACTATAGGATTTAGGACTGCTTTATCAAAAATGCCGTGACAGCTCAGGGACGCTCGCTTTTAATTCAACATACTGGAGCAAAACAAGCTCAGATCCCGGTGCTGGCACCGATGTAACTGTTACTTTTTTACTTTTTAATCCCACAAGAGTACTTTTGACGTCGGCTATCAGTCAAAACTGTACACTGATTGACTACTGGTAACTGGGGATCGGTAATGATTTACCGACCACATTAGACATAGTAGGTGAAGAAGAAAATGAGTAAAATAATAAATGAATATTTAAAAATTTAAATTGTTTATAGTGCTAATCTTTGCAATTTGGGAATCGAACCCACGCGAATGCCGAAGACGTGGGTTCGATTCCCACAGCGGCGACAATCTTTTCGCACTTTTTCTACATATTTTAATGTTCAATCTTAAGTGCAAAGATTAGCACTATAAACAATTTAAATTTCTAAAAAAGCAATGGCGACATCTCTCGTTCGAATTATCGTTGTAAAACGATAGTCGAAATTGTTTGTATGCTGGAAAGGATATAAAAATAGATGGCGCCAAGCATTGCTTCAAATGCTAAGAAAACAATGTAGAGGAATACGTTAAGATTTTCGTCGGTGTGGCAATCAGCCGTTTAGCTTAGTGGCTAGAGCGTCAGGCCGCGAATGCCGAAGACGTGGGTTCGATTCCCACAGCGGCGACAATATTTTCGCACTTTTTCTACATATTTTAATGAATATTTAAACCTTATTAAATGTAGTTATTAATCGTAAAGTACTTGAAAACCATTTTAATGTAGGTACAATAAATGGTATGTATATCACACATAAAAATCTGCAAATGTGCGCATAAAACTATCGTATAACAATTAATACGCTAGTGCATGATTTATATTTACACGTACGGGAATATCTGTTTACATTAATGGTCATCAATTTCATGAAAATGTAAATTCATCTACAAAACTACGAAATTCACCATCTGCTTGCTTCGATACCGATCTAAACATCACTTTACATTGGAAATAGTACAAAGTACAACGTACTTCAATAGCAACCAACAATGCAGTAACACTCATTACTCATTGTTACATCGCTAGAGTAACAACCATAGACTTTTTTCGGACGATAAACAATATAATCGAAAATAATGCGCTCCACACTTCCCGAGCGAAGTATAATTTCAGCGGCACGCAAATGTTTTATCGCCAATGGATCGTGCAAGTGTTCTGCGATAAAGTTGAATAACGCCCCGTAAACTAGTTTCTAACGTGGCGCGGTGTAATTTACAAGCTTCTGTTCATAGTTAAAGTCGCCACACTTTTGCAGTATTTGGAGGAAGTTTACAGATTTTGTGTTATAAGACTGATTACAAAGGAATAAAGACGTTCCATCTTAATTTTTAATTGGATTGTAAAATGGGATTGTAAAATAGGACCTGAATCCCGAACTTCTATGGATGCTGGAAACCATAATAATGGATATAAGAGCAGATACAAGATTTATTTATTCTTTATTTATTTAAGAGATAAGATTATATGTAATGTATTTTTGAATTCCTTAGTTATTTTTAATATCTACAAAGGACTGGTTTGTGGATCAGTGGTTGTGTTTTTACAAACATAGCTTTGTTGAGTTTATCGAACGTAAAAAAACAAGCCTGATGTGTCGCAAGTGTCAGTGTCTTAAAAAGTACACCCTCTTAAATTTATCTAATGCCCAGAATTTTTTTTAAAGTTAAAAACTTTTGTCCCAAAATAGGAATGTCCAATATGGATACCGTATATGGTATTATTAGACGCCAACTTATGCGATTTCGTGACACTTCACGTTAAATGCTTTTACAGTTTTGGGTGTCTTTAAAGCCCACTTTGTATTTATTAGGGACATCGAAAATAACAGGACACTTTCGATAATCATGATGGCAATGTAGGTAACAAGTATCAAAAGGATTTTTTCTAAATATTGATATCGAATGCGTCGACCCAGTGTCTTCTAACAACTGTTAAGTTTGTATCATTAATAAAATAGTCTTGTCTTGTATCTTGTATTAACTGATGTTTTTGCTTTCAGTCTCGAGATTATTAAAGCTTCATCTGACGCAGAACCGGTGGGCTAGCCAGAACCCACGGGTTTGGGCCCTCCGCTGTGGGTAGGGCCACGCATGTCCTCATGCGTTGCGTTTAAGTATGGTGTGTCATCTAAGAGCCATGGAGGTCGCGGTTCGGAACGAAACCCCGATGACCGTCGACTGTGCAATTAGCTAATCGGTGGCTAGGAGCGGTGGGAACCGCCCCGGAACGCGGTGCCAAAATAGTATTTCATGTTAGTACTGCCACTATAAGACCTATTAAACTACGCTATAATTTAAAATTAAACATTTAAAAATGGAACACATTTGCTGCAGAATAACACAAAAACTTAACTTAAAAAACTAACTTATAGCTGGTGGCAGTATATTAATTTTTATTAAATGGCCACTGGTAACATACATGACAGTTCCTACATTATACTTTATTGGAACAACAGAAGGTAACAAACTAACTAGCGACAGTTTTATACGCAGACAGGGAAAGAAGGAAGGGTTCCCAAATCCAATATCACCTAGAACTGTCTGCTTACTTTATGTTTATTGATTGCATATAATGAAATGACAAAAGACGATGGACTAAGCTGCAAAAGAGAAGGTGCTTTAGTTAAAATTGACCGTAAGAATATTTAATGTCGAAATTGCTTGGTTCGGCTTTTTATATAGTATATCGATATATCGATTTATATAGTATCTCGAAACATAAATGTGTTTGAATTAGACAAATTTCCCTCATAATAATCACGAAAATAATGCTCAAACGCATTTATGTTGTTTTATAAAAATACCTGTGAAAAACAGAAACATAGCAGAAAACATACGTATAATTGATACGTATGTTACTTACATCGAAATACATCGTAGATGAGTGAGTAAACGCAGCGCATTTCCTGCTCATCGGCAAAATCGACTTCCAATGGTGGTTTGTGAAGTAAACGGGCTGCCTTGAGAACCTGCGCAAGATTGATTTTGCTTTTATAAAACATATAGCAAAGACTTCTTTAATCAAGCTTTTGATGTCTATAGATGCAGGTAGTATCCATTATATTGTATACAATTACGAGTATGAATGCCATATCTACGGCATTCATCATGGTCATCATCATAATTTCAGTCTGTTTGAGTCCACTGCTGAACATAGGCCTCCCCCACAGACCGCCACGAAGCCCGATTCCGAGCCACCTGCATCCATCGACTTCCTGCAGAAGAACTCGATCTATTGGGGGGTCGTCCCACACTGCGATGGCCAGTTCGAGACTGCCACTCGACAACCTTTCTTCCCCAGCCAATTGGTGTAATTAGATTGAAATTCTATAGACTGCTATCTCTTTCCGTATCATATGTTCTATACCACTGTCACATTAACTTATGTATGTCATATAATGTAAAGCGATACAACTTTTAAACGCCGCGCAGTATGAGAATGCATCATCTTTATTAAAACATCGTTGAGAATTATGAATGAATATAATTCATTTCATTTAATTTTTGTGAATCAATTTCTAATTTGGTTGTCCATTGTATTTTACATGTACTATGTGTACGTCGTGTCAATCGTTTTTATCACCTGGCCAATGTCCCACGCTGGACCCGGAGTTGTTTTGATGGCCACAGGCGGTGGTGCGTTTGGATTTTTCGTGCAAACCACCAGGTTCCATGGCGCCCATTCTTCAGCGATGTCATCAGAGTTCTTTCTGATGCATTTGTTAACAGCATCATCCCTGAAATTAGATAGATTAAAATTCATTGTGGTCGATTAACCTCACTTGCAAAATTATACACACAATTATCCTCGTACCTTGGTGTGTATAACATTATAAATTTTTATGACATCGTAACTGCATTAATTACATATTCATCTAAAATTTAGGTAGATATAGGCAGGTACTCTTATGTGTAAATATTATAAAAAATACTGATGCCATCGTACTCGTGAACTATGAGCTCGACTGTCCGTGGCGGGCTCCAATGAGCTTTTCCTTATAATCTATTTCATAAACTTTTAAATTTACCATAGCTTGTAAAAATATATTATATATTGTTTTCTCATATTTTCTATTTTGTACTTGGCGGTGCCTTTCATTACTAGGATTTTTTCACCTAATGAATGAGTTTTACCGCCATCGGACATAGTCGTTGAAATTTTTATGATAACTAGTGTTCGCCCAGTGGTCGACCATAATCAATTATACATAGTAGTGTGTAATGTTCTTTTTATTGAATAAATGTATTTTTATGCAGTTTAAAGAAAATATTAGCATTCTGCACACCTCTATATAAACTAATTATAAGTGTGGGAAATTTCATACTACTCCGTCTGCGCAATTTTCGTAAAACGGGGTGCAAAGTTTTGCTTCACGAATTAATATATATATAGATAATTGAGTATTAGAAAAATACAGTTTTGATGGGAAGGTGAAAAACGTGACGGTTCCTGACTTACGTGATTATCGTCACAAATTGGAAATTCAGAACACCATGAATTTACACGAAACGATTAGACGACCCGTTTGCGTAATATATAGTGAAAAATGATAGTATGTATATACAACTACAATACATCATTGATAGTGAACCTATCTCTTACACTAGTTTGTGGGTTCGATTCCCACTTCTGGAAAATATTCAAAAATTTTCTATATGACAAGGTCTATTGATATCACACTAGGAACTGCTACAAAAATGCTCTATTAGTTTATATAAATATGTAAGTTTTTCTATTATCATAAGTGAACGTGAAATAAACATTGAATGCTCACGTATGAAATGATAAATTAGTGTGAACAGTCATCTCTTTCATCTATTTATGCACTATTCCACGTATCGAATGACAGGGATTGGAGTGTTCAACACTGATATCTTCCATTATCACAAGGATCACGTAACCAACATTAAAATTAAACTTTATTCAGTTCGCCATTTAAAATATAATCAAAATATAATAATAGTTCGATTAAAATTTGATGAGAAACAATTCAAAATATACTCGTCACAATTTTTTTCTTTTTATTGGTTTTTGTTTTGTTAGATTTGACAGTTATTGCTCATCTAATTAACTTACATTTGCGGTTATTGTTGGTGCCAAAAAGTTTGTGAAATTGAAAATGTATGATAAATAAATTCCTCATGCAACAACCTTTAATTGGAATTCCATTGAGATTTCGGAAGTAAATGCTATATAACGTTTTCACATAACTTATTCATATTTGGATTTAAATGAATGAATTTTTCTAGGTGCGACAGCAAGCCAAGAATTACTTGTTTATAGATTTTACTAATTTTCATGGTTCGCATGATGAATTTCTTTCGGTCTTGAACATAGTGCTAACTATGAATTGTTCTTCTTGTGTTAGACCTTGGCCTGTTATTTCCTGGTGTCTTAATGTTCATGCTGGTCTCTCGAAATTCTCCGACTCTTTGGACCGTAGATAAAGATATTCCTACTGTTCCAGGAGTATTACGCTAACTTTTTTTTACGTGAAAAGTTGCCAAGCGAGCAGACGGTTCACCTGATGTTACGTGAATACCGCTGCCCATGGACATCTGCTACACCCGAGGGATGCGTTCCAGATGCGTTGACAACCTGTTGAAAATTGGGCTCCAGCCACCTCACTCACCAGACGAAACGCGAAAGTATTTGTCATACTTCCACTTTACGACGGTCTTCTGTGAGGTCGTGCTACTTACCTGGACGAGCCTGTCCATTCGTGCAACGGCCGAGGCTGCTGCGTGGCCCTACCACCGTGACTCTACCGCCTTGTACCATAATAATAATCCGCGTACATTCCTTAGCTGATGATAGCGATATTATGCTGCACTGATTAGTGTGTCCAATCTCAGAAATTCTTTATAACAACAGCACGGTTTAAAATACAAGTGCAAGATATATTCTTATTCTAATTTTGCGTTAGGTTACTTTTCATTTTATTCTCAGTCAATAAATTTTTTAAATTTTACGAATGTTATCGCGGTTTCTTGTTATTTTAAGCTCCCAAATTTTCGAATAGTTTGTCCTGAAGTGAATTTTAACCCAGTCTATTTTTTTATATTTTAGTTCGATCCACGCAAGTGCTACTTGTGTCCTACAGGTCAGGCGAGCCCAGGTCTCTCGGATAAGAACGTTTCTAATGCAGTAAAACAAAAATCAATAACATAAAGAAAATAGAAGGCTGAAAATGGGATTTTTACCTATCCCGCATAAAGAATTGATTTCTTTACAAGAATAAAAGTAATATTTGAACCGACCTTGACTGGGAATAGAACATACGTGCCTTGTAAGTTGTATTCCGGTCAGCAATATCGAAGTCATTGCATTAACATGAAATGTATATTTATGAGTGAAATGTATGTATGAAAGGTCAGGGTCGCTTTACAATAAGCACACATATACACTAGTCCAACAAGACAATCAATTTCTGTTTACCTTCGACTTTCATGCGTGTATGGAGGGAATCAATCGATATCTTCAGTTATTTTTATTTTAAGTGCTCTTCTTTAGTTTTGTTCTTTCTTCGCTTTAGTTTTAATATATATACTAGTGTTTAAAGATGCTTGCTGATTAGATTTAAGAATAATCACCTCTTTAAATTATTAATATTATATTATTATTCTTTAAAGATGAGTGCAAATTATTTATAATTTTAATTAGAAAAGTATATATGTGCCTAGGTGTTGGCATTAAATTCGGAAAATATTGAGAATTCTATAGAATATCATGAGTTTTTGTGCGTACGAAGAGAAGACATGTCGAATATTGGGACCCGTTACGACCTGGGAACGTTCAAGAAGAGTGTATACTCTTTCCCAAAAAGGCCGACAACGCATCTGTTAGTCCTCAAGTTTGTCTAAGGTCTAACTAAGATATCCTAAGGGTGATGGGTGGCGGTAATCACTTACCATCAGGTGAGCCTCCTGCTCGTTTGCCCTTTTACCGTAATAAAAAAAACTAAAAAAAATACTTTTACTTTATTGCGTCCGTTTCGAGTGACTTCTGCATGGCGACGAGAAGAAAATATTGTTGGAGACGCCATTCTTTATCGCTGGGCAGCACAAGCTTCTCCGCCTCGCTGGTGTCTCCCTCCAGCCTGGCAGCATCCTCTTGCCGGAGCAGTTCCGCCAGGAGTTTGGGATACGCGTTAAACAAATTAGTACCATCGCTTTGCTCATTCAGCGCCAGCCAAAGCGCGTTAGGATCATGTTCACCCGGCATTGAGGAGTCCGATAAAATAATGTTTTTGAACCGCCACGATCAAAATAATGACACACAGTTCACATGTCTGATAAATTTTCCTCAGTATTTTTTTCTCACCATTAGATGTTTATTTTGCTATATACAACGTTACAAGTTTTATAAAAAATTATCACCCTTATAAAAATGGTTCAAAGTCTGGAGACTCATTGCTATTGGTTTGAGTGCCGCAAGAATACTGAGCGATTTCGTAGCGGGCGAAACGACGGATACGTGTTGCTTGCGTATTAAAAAAATCCCCACTAAAAGTTAGGCCTGTTATATTTATAGCGATACTAATATATGGGAAAGGTAAAATAATTAGAGCGAAGAATAAAAGCTATATAACTTCAAGATCCTGTTGAATATATGCTTCAAAATATGTAATTATATTACGTATCATTTTTTCAATGGTGAATGTTATGACTACATCTACAGTATTTTTAGAAAAATGTTTTCATGTAAAATATATGGGTCATTGTAATAAATACTATGCACGGCTGTTGCACAAATGGGCATCAGCCGTGCATAGTATTCAAACCTCAACCCTCATAGAAGACCGGCGTCAAGTGGACGTATAATACTTTCGCGTTTCGTCTGGTGACTAAGGTAGCCGGAGCCCAATTTTCAAAAGGTTGTCAACGAATCTGCAACCCTCGGATGTAGCAGATGTCAATGGCGGTATTCACTTAACATCAGGTAAACCGCATGCTCGTTTAGCGACTTTTCACATTAAAAAAAATCAAAACAATCTGTTTCAATCTGTTTAATGACAACCTCTTTTCTATAATGACATCTATAAAAATTTTAAAATGGTTTAATGTAAACTAGTTAAATCTCATAAAATATGATTCCGGCTAAAATTAATACTTCATGGCGGACTCAAATTATTCGTGATCAAAATGTGGAAAAATCAAATCATCGAAAAGTGTGGCAAATCAAAATGATAAAATAAAAAACCCGTGCTGCACCATGTGTCAAGATGGAGCAGTTCCCATCAATAGGAAGCTATGCCGCACGTCGAAAGCTCTTTAGAGACGTCTGGGAGACGTCAACAAATGGAGACGACAATAATTCCAATGTTTTACGAAAGCCTAAAGTCATTAGGTATTTCTATTCAGTTCTATTTCCTATTGATTATTTGTCAGTTTGAAGTATATTAACCTACAGTTGTACCTTTCGGGCTCCCTTAAAAATTATAGAAGTCCGTATCGTGACAATTAATGCTGGTGATGCTTTTTTATGTGAAAAGTTGTGAAGCGGGCTAAAGTCAAAGTTCGCCACATGTTATGTAAATATCGCTTTCTTTATCAAGATTGGGCCCCTGTTACCTCACTCACCAGGCGAAACGCGAAAGTATAATAATTTCACTTCACGCTGTTCTTCTGTGAGGCCGTGGTACTTCCCCGGATTAGCCTACCCATTTATGCAACAGTAGATGCAGTGTTGCACTACTACAGCTGTCATTGAATTAATTCTTAGCGGGACAAGACAAGTTAGCTTGCCTATTTAGGGTAGCGATTTCTATGCTTAATTACTATTTATATCGCAAATTTTTCGATACATAGGATTAGGATAGGATTACAAATTTGTACAAGTAAATATGCAAATATTATGGTAGGTACGTACGTCCTAATAGTAATTTTATCTTTTCTAAATTAGTTTACAACTATTATTAGATCTATATGTAGAACAGAAATACATATAATATCGTGTAGTTGAAATCTCTTAAAACTCTAATTAATACCTACTTTCTAATATTTTAGAACCTTGAAGTTGTCCGAGCTGAACAGATTTACGGTAACTTCTAAAAAGAAACGTTTGAAAAAGTTGAAAACAGCTTGCAAAAGATTATTACACTTTTATGATCATGAGAATATCAATGACTTGAACTACGCACAGGTGAGAGAACTTATTTTAATATTTATTAAGACGGCAATTAAGAATTGTACGAGGTAGTATTCGATTGCTACATACAAAGTGTCGCAACTGAGCTGAGGTCTGGTCGCGGGGCTGGAGAGGGGCTTCAAGAAGGCCTAACCTGCGAGCATACCATAAGTCGACATGGACATCTCAGTATATATGTCTTATCTATGATGGACATCTAAAATATCTGGCATCGCAAATCCAATCAGACCAAACGCAAAGGAATAATAATACTAGTTTACAACGATCGTCTGCGAGGTGGTACCTCCCCAGAAGTGTTTGTCCATTATTATACATTTTATAAATATATTATATTTTATATTCAAGCAACACTTCGATTTTGCAAAGTTTATAACTATGCATAATCTGATCATTGTTAGTGTATGTGTATGAAAGTAATGTTAGTGAATGTGTACTGAAATTATAATTATTTATGTAGTTATGGAAAAGTAGCAATTATACACAAACAAAAGTGTTATTTTGGATAATATATTTCTTTCTATTGTGATAATAAATGATGTAATTATTTTTTCTTTTTAGATTTGTCACAAAAAATGTCGAATTGGAAATTCAAAATTTGTCAAGCGCAAAAAACACAAGTTTCTTCATAAGAACATATTGATGAGAAATATAAATGCGTCTGAAGCACAATCTTCACCTTCAAAACTTTTTAATACGAGAGCGGAGACGTCATGGTCTGGAAGTACTGAATTTGATATACGAATCAATTCATCGAAGAATTGTTCAGCCGTGTCACTTAACAAATTAAGTGAAGCTAAGTCAAACCACCTGAAATTTCTACAACCAAACCATAGTAAAAATAAAAAAAGTGATTTACCTACAAAAGGTAAGTACAAGTGATACAGGCCTTAATTAATTTTATTAATTGTTATGACAATTTAAATACGTTATTACTTTCAGGTAGTAGGCGGGTGAAGTCAATAATGAAAAACCTACATAATGTTCGTAAAGAATTAGTTAAGATGCATGTTATAAACATACAATAGAAATTGAATTAAACTTTGTAAATGCTATTAAATATTATTTTATTAATTAAATAATTAATGGAGCAAATCTAGTGTATTTGTGTGCCTCGTAGAATATGCTTTAAAATGATTTTTACGGGGCCCATTTACTACCGTGTCTGAGAGTCCGCCGCTTTTTGTATGATTGTCAATGTTATCGCAGCCTGGACGTCTCCTGTAACACCGAGCAGGATGTACCTTGCATTCGGCAAGGGACCGGTCCACCGCGCAGGAGTGTTAGTTAAGACTTTAGAAGTGAGTTAGAATAGGTATCATCGAGTACCTGTTACTTTACAGTAACAGTGACAAATACCCGTACAAAATAACAGTCTCTTATTTCAATTTCTACCTAGGTTGTGACAATTTGTGTAACTGTTACCATAGCGTAACATGCTGTAAGACATTTAGAAATTTAAATTGTTTATAGTTGCATTAAAATATGTAGAAAAAGTGCGAAAAGATTGTCGCTGCTGTGGGAATCGCGGATGGCGCCATGAGTAAAATAATAAATGAATATTTAAAAATTTTAATTGTTTATAGTGCTAATCTTTGCAATTTGGGAATCGAACCCACGCGAATGCCGAAGACGTGGGTTCGATTCCCACAGCGGCGACAATCTTTTCGCACTTTTTCTACATATTTTAATGTTCAATCTTAAGTGCAAAGATTAGCACTATAAACAATTTAAATTTCTAAAAAAGCAATGGCGACATCTCTCGTTCGAATTATCGTTGTAAAACGATAGTCGAAATTGTTTGTATGCTGGAAAGGATATAACAATAGATGGCGCCAAGCATTGCTTCAAATGCTAAGAAAACAATGTAGAAGAATACGTTAAGATTTTCGTCGGTGTGGCATCGTCGGGTAATCAATAAACAGGGAGTAAAGTCATTGTATTACACTGCCATCAAATTCACAAATAAAAAAATGGTTATTTTCTCATCCTCCAGTCAGAGACCGTATAATAAAGGCAAGTTTATATAAAAGAGCTAAACAAAAGTTTAGCTGCAAGTGAAACACTGCATATCCATTATAAACAGGACTACTTCCTTATTGGCCGACTGTATACTACATGTTTTGCTTGATATTTATAGTATTAAAATATGTAGAAAAAGTGCGAAAAGATTGTCGCCGCTGTGGGAATCGAACCCACGACAACAACAACAGCGACATCTCTCGTTCGAATTATCGTTGTAAAACGATATTCGAAGTTGTTTGTATGCCGGAAAGGATATAACAATAGATGGCGACAGAGCATTGCTTCAAATGCTAAGAAAACAATGTAGAAGAATGCGTTAAGATTTTCGTCGGTGTGGTAATCAGCCGTTTAGCTCAGTGGCTTAAGCGTCAGACCGCGAATGCTGAAAACGTAGGTTCGATTCCCACAGCGGTGACAATCTTTTCGTATTTTTTCTACAAATTTTAATGTTTAATCTTAAGTGCAGAGATTAGCACTAAAAAAAATTAAATTTCTAAAAGCAATGGCGACATCTCTCGTTCGAATTGTTGTTGTAGAACGATATTCGAAATTGTTTGTTACTTGATTTATGTTCTTGTTCCAGTTTTATTTAACTAGATAAATCTAGTATATATTATATAACCAAAGTTAATCAAGATTAACTTTGGTTATATAATATATACTAGATAAGTATATTATCAAAGATGATTAACTCTACATTCTATAATGTCGCTTGTAACATTCAAAATTTTAAAATTTTTATGGTTGGTGTTTAAGGCGTTGAATACTTTATAGCGTTAACGATAATAACGAATAAACCAGTTTACGGTCAACACTAGTTGAAGATGACGTTTTTTGACGCAGTTTTTCGTTTTCTGATATCAAACGAAAAAAACACCAAATCGAACCGAATATGAATCGGTTTTTTTGATTAAGTGAATAATATATGTCTATTCTTATTATATATTAACCGTCTGAAATCTTTAAATATATTTGGAAGTAAAATCAAAAAATACCTTAACAAAATATTTTTCCAATATAATCGAAACTATCGATATTATATCGATTTTATTAAATTCTGTCTGAAGTTTAGCTCAACTCTACCAAAATTGTATCGTATAATGGTATTGAAAATTAAAATAAATAGAGCGTTATCGCAAGCTTTTTGGTAAGATAGTTACCCAAATGTATTATTGTCTGATAAGGGATTAGTTTGTTTATATGTGTACGCCGACGTAATTGTGTCATAAAATGTGGTTTGAAAAACATTATACATTTGTTATTCCCACGCTCATCTCCTGAAAATATCATTGTAGATGTTATTGAAATCCAACGCATAATGTCTGACTACGATCTACAGTTTCAAGCGGACCTGGAGAAGGCCCAGGCTTTGAGTCTAGAAAGTTTAGCTCTTGAACAATTTCGAAGACAGAAACTACATTGTAATGCAGGTAACTGACGTAACTTTGTTTACCCCTAATTTAAATTGAAGATTCAAGGTTTCTAACACACTCATTATGCTAATTATCATTTACGAACTAGTCTTAAAACATATCACCACATTCACTTTATCCAAAATATATTATATGGTATTGCAAAACCGATATAAATTATTAAGTATAAATTAAACTTAAACAAAACCAATTGAGTTCATACTTGATAAAATAGCTATCAATCAGAAAGGAAGTGGAGTTCATTTACCTTGCCATTAAATTGGCAAAGAGTTAATGGAAGTAGTCTAATGTAGTATGTATAAAATAATATTAGTATTTATTTATTTAAGCTTCATTGCTACACCTTAAGATAAGTGTATAGTATATAGTGTATCAGTCCTATTGTTTCCATGTGAATAACATTGGGTTTATGAAATAAAAATTTGTAAAATAATAAAAGTTAAGAAATAATATTTCACATCTAATTTTCCTCCGTTTTGTACAATATACTTTTCTTGCTATATAAACAATAAATGTGTTTTTGCCTACAGAATGATGTTTATAAGGTTGTAACCCATATAACTGTAAAAAATTAAACCTATCACAATTTTGTTATAGATTTAATATATTTCTCTTAAGTCACAACCAATCACTGCTAGTACTAAATAAGAGAATATTTATTCAAATATAAATGGTATAGAAAAAAATTTTAACTGTTGCTGAATACAAAACTATTAATAACGCTAATTGTCAATTAAAGAGGCACTACATCTAGCCTCTTATTACACTTACATCTAGCCTCTAGCTCTTATTTGGGAAAATAATAAATCCAGAAATTACCAATTTTATTAAGTTCTTAACATGGAATTTAGTGAGCCACTTATTGAAATCTATGAGTTTTCTATATCAGTAATCTGAAAAAAATCACAAATTCATTGGTGTAGGTCATTATGTTTAAACTTGACTACAAACTAGAAGACCTCATTAGTAGTCTGTAGTCAGGTTTCCTTATCCTTAGGTACTTGGTCATTACTGTAAACTTTGTATTGGCAGCAGACTAAGTGTTGCTGTGTACAGTAACTGACATTTTGGGCAAGTTTTTTAGGGTTCTGTGCCTAAAGGGTAAAACGGGACTTTATTACTAAGACTCCGCTGTCTGTCTGTCGGTCTGATTGTTTGTTTGTCTGTCTCTCTGTCACCAGGCAGTATCTGATGAACTGTGAGAGTTAGACAGTTGAAATTTTCACAGATGATGTATTTCTATATTATAACAACAAATACTAAAAAACAGAATAAAAAAATATTTAAGCGGGTCTCCCATACAACAGACATGATTTTTTTTTTTGCAGTTTTTATAGATAATGACGGAACCCTTTGTGCGCGAGTCCGACTCGCACTTGGCCGTATTTTTCTATTTGTTATGTCAGAACTTCATCATTTATGAACTAATTATAAAAATTATTTTTGCACTGTGTTTGGTTTAGCTCCCACTTAGTTCCATATCAATATCATTGGTATGCAGCCATGATCTTCGGAGTAGCTACTCGAAATGTTTCGGTGGTAGGCCCACACAGCATCCTCGGCTGTTGCACAAATGGGCAGGCTCGTCCGGGTGAGTACCATGACCTCACAGAAGACCGACGTGAAGTGAAAGTATAATGCTTTCGTATTTCGTCTGGCGAGTGAGGTGGCTGGAGCCCAATTTCAAAAGGTTGTCAACGGAATCCTCGGGTGTAGTAGATGTACATGGGCGGCGGTATTCACTTAACATCAGGTGAACCATCTGCCCGCTTGGCAACTTTTCACATTAAAAAAAAATAGAAAATGTATAGTGAGTGAGATATTTAAAGTCTATTTTGTTTTATGTTACCAAAAATATACTTGTCATGTCTTAGGTTTAGAGTGGCTCTTTTGTACTATATTTTAGAGGAGGCTGAAATTTTATTTTAATTTTTTTTTATTTAAACAACGTTTGCCGAATCAGCTAGTCCCAAACTAAGCAAAATTGCAAAAGAAGTCGCGGATATTATCTAGTTGTCGATATATTATCGATATCTTTCTACAGATACGGTCCGAGACAATACCAGTGCGCGTCGACGCGAAGAGGGCGAAGGACCGCCGCCCGCTCTGCCGCCGCCACCCAGGAAGCCCCCCCGGGTCAGGGCATCCGCCTCGGAAACTTCGAGGTACCAATTCGAAATTTAAAAGCTGTTAATGTTATTCGTTATCTGTGCCGCGCGGGAGTGAAAAGCGCTTTCGTAATCGCTATCACGCGATCAGATATGACCCGTGAAATATAAAAATGTTGCAAATGCGTTGTTTTCGTGACGATTAAAGTCTTGAGTCTTTTTAACGCATATTTGATTGCAGTGGATGTCTAAGAGAATCAATCACCTATATATTATTAAAGAGGGATAGAGACATATCTAAAGAGATAAAATATGAATTGGCGTCTGCTATCAACAAGTGTCCAGTCATCATTTTTCTCCTTGCAAGAATGTGCGACGCAAACCCTTGCGATGTGCATAGTATTATGTAATTAAATCGAAAAGTCTAAAAAAGCCATAGACAATTCAGAAGTTTATAAAAAAAGTACGAAACAAAAAACTACGAATTGTGAAAATTAAATGAAGCAAGATTTTGAAACTGCTTCCGTCTTCAAAATTGCGTAAATTTTTATTAATTTAGAACATTCGAGAACACAAACTGTAAATTCCGTGAAGGATTTTGGAATGTATGTACGCGGCAATAATTGTGAAACGTCTTTTTATCGTGTCGACATTGTAAAATGCTGCGAAATTGTTTATGGATTGAGCAAAGTTGTAAGTGCCGTTTGGCTGGTTTAAGGTTCAGTTCGACTTCATAATTAAGTCGATATTTAATATATAGTAATGTTGCCTCGAACGGTTGATGCATCTGTATGCTTCGGTTATGCAGTGGTCATGTCTGATCCTTTCTTCGTGTTATAAAATAGTGCCATGTAGTGTAAACAGAAATGGTCTATTTTTTCGAATTCAAAGGAAAGTTGTTTCAATCGATGTTGTATAATTTCAAGTTGAAATGAATTAATGGAATAGTCTCAGATTTATTATTTTTTGTACTAAATATTCTTAAATTTTACGGTGGTAGGGCCACGCAGCAGCCTCGGCTGCTGCACGAATGGGCAGTTTCGTCCGGGTTAGTATCACGACTTCATAGAAGACCGACGTAAAGTGGAAGATTAATACTTTCGCGTTTCGTCTGGTGAGTGCGGTGGCCGGAGCCCAATTTTCAAAAGGTTGTCAACGCATCTGGAACCCCTTGGGTGTAGCAGATGTCCATGGGCGGCGGTATTCATTTAACATCAGGTGAACCGTCTGCTCTTTTGGCAACTTTTCACATAACAAAAAAATACCTGTATTTGTTTTGTACACAAATTTGATTAATAAATTTCAGCGACAGATCAACGGGCACAAGTCCTACCAGAACTGATAGCAGCGACCTGATATCTTTCACGAGCCCCACCGGCAAAACTGCGTCCAAGGGTTCACATGCATCGCTTAAAGAGTACATCGATCAGATTAGCAAGTAAGCTAGATTTTCTTTTAAATTAATGATAATAAAAAAATAAGGATAATTTAATAAAATTAAAAGATTGTTGCGAATTTGATTGTTGTTGCCATTGTTTGAAGCAATGCTTGGCGCATCTATTTTTTTATTGTTATATCCTTTCCAGCATACAAACAATTTCGAATATCGTTTTACAACGATAATTCGAACGAGAGATGTCGCCATTGCTTTTTATAAATTTTTAAAGTTTTTTATAGTGCTAATTTCTGCACTTAAGTTTGAACATTAAAACATGCAGAAAAAGCTCAAATGCTAAATAATAATGTAGAAAGAATGCGTTAAGATTTTCGTCGCTGTGGCTATCAGCCGTTTAGCTCAGTGGCTAGAGCGTCAGGCCGCGAATGCCGAAGACGTGGGTTCGACTCCCACAGCGGTGACAATCTTTTCGTACTTTTTCTACATGTTTTAATGTTCAATCTTAAGTGCAGAGATTAGCACTATAAAAAACTTTAAAAATATAATAAATTTTTCAAAAATATGCATATACGCTGATCTGCAGCCTACACTTATATTGTCAGACCGCTTTTGAATTGTTAAGTTGATGTTGTTAATTCGTAATTCATTACAAAAGTTTGAGTTTACATAAATCAAATTTATTATGAATTTCTTATTTTCATGTATCTTTATCCTAATCGATTTCATCATCATCATCATCAGCAAGACTTTCACTGTTGAACATAGGCCTCTCCCTTAGAACGCCATAACGCGATCGATTTAACGTGTTAAAAGTCGTAAAGAAATAAAAAAATTATGAGAAAAGTTCAGACATAAAAAGAGTATGGTTTGCTTTAAAATTGCTTTTGTTATTATTCAACAAAATAATTAATCTCTATTTGTGCATATAATATTTAACTTATTATCACAATGTCACAGATTGGGCCAGCAGACAGAGGAGTTGAACCTCAACACGCAGCACGCTGACACCGCCCCAACTATGAACAACTACCCGTACAACCAGCCGCACCCTTACGGGCACTACGTCCACAGCTACCCGCCGCCGTACAACGCGCCGCCGTACCCGAGCGGGCCGCCGTACGGCATGCCCGCCCCGATGCCCGCTCCGAACGTGACCTACGCGTACTACGCGCCGCCCATCGCCGGCCCGCAAGAGCTCGCCGCGCCCTACGCGCCCGTCAACGCGCCGATGTACGCGCAAACGTACCCGTACACGCAGACGCGGCTGGCGGCGCCCGCTCCGTACGCGGGCTACCCGCCGCCCCCGAGCCACCCGCAACCGCCCCCGTACAACTACAACACGACGAACATGATAACCAGGCCGACGAGACCCGCCCTATACCCGCAGCTGGGCCAGGTGCACTCTTACCCGCCCCAGAACGCCGCCGCCAGCGCGAACCAACCGGCGGTCGGAAAGAACGAGCCGTCCAGGGACAGCGTCGAGAGCAACGGCTCCAGAAAGTCCTCCGAAGTCAGCATTGGGGTAGGTCGATTAATTGCCAAAGAAATTCGGTCAAATATAAGTCGTACAAATTAGATTCCGCTCTTGGATGGAATGACTCTTCGTGTTACTTGAGTACAGTCGCGTGCAATCGCTAAATCAGAGTATGTTTAAAGGTCAATAGAGTGCATTTAATACGTTTTAGATGACCCCAAAAAATGCTTATAAAGTTATAATAGCGATTTGTGTACAGTGGCGCACACTTGTACTATTATTAAAATGTGACCTTAAAAATGCTGATCGAGTTGTGTACAATCGCTCACATTTGTATTATTATTAAAATGTGATGTAACGATGAAAATGTGACTTAAAAGATGCTACAAATTGCCAACTTGCAGTCGAACGAGTCCAACGACACCGTGGGCAGTCTGCCGAAATCGCAGAACCTGATCGACTTCGGCGGGCGGAAGGGCGCAGGTAGCGTAAGAGTCAGTGTGCTAGAGGCCTTCGATCCGCTACTAACTGATCAGCCTCATGCCGGTGAGTGGTGCATTTGTGTCTCATTCGCTTCGTATCCCGAACCCAAGCCGACCCCGTAATGTGAACCTTAAGACCACTGTCACTAAGTTGACTTTGGTGTACACTAAATTTACAATACGATGGTCGTTGAGCAATACGTACGTACACCTAAGCCTACAGTGGTAAAATTTTATTTAGTGGTTGAATTTAGCTGGTTCCTCCAAAGAAGTTCAACTATATCGTCTATAAACTTTTACTTAAATTGATTGATGTCCTAGATATTCCTGGACGGAGGCAATCACTTAACATCGCGTGCACTGCATGCTTGAAGCCATCTCTTTGACACAAAAAAAATTAAAAATATTTCATCAGCATTTTCTTTAGTCCTATTGGATCAAACTAAAGGATTCTAAGGTTGTATCTTCTGTGGTGATCAGATCATGTTTAAAGTTATGTTATAGTATGTCACTTTGTGCGTTTGCCTTTTCTCTGGACAAGATGATCAATACGGTCAGAAACAATTACATCATCGACGATTACTGCGGTGCATTACAATCAGATATATGATAAACACTCTTCCTTTTTATCATACACTACTGATAGGTCATATGTGTCTGTGAGGTTTTTTCCTTAATAAAAGTGTTGTGCTAAAATCATTCATTTAGTAATCATTATATGTGGTCTGCTAAAAACTGTTTCAAGTTTTAATAATATCATTGGAATGGTTTGGTTTTTATTAATATTTAAAAAATACCATTATCATTTACATTTAATAAATTTTTGCAATAGTTAATAATTTCAAAACCAAGTTTTTCACTCATACTCTGTGTTAAGGATTCAATTGTTTACTTGCACAGAGCAGTTGATAACGTAATTGAGTAAATTTTAGTGCAAATTAAGTTTTAACACTCAACGCAAAGCCATGATAGCTCAGTGCTGGGGCGCTCGCCTTTAATTCAATATACTTGAGCAACCTGAGTTCGATCCCCGTGCCAGCACCAATGAAATTGTTAATTTTAAGTGCTGACTTTATCACGTGCTCAACGGTGAAGGAAAACATCGTGAGGAAACCTGCATATTTTCGAAATAATAACAAAAAAATATTTCGAAGATATGTGAAGTTCGCCAATCCGCAGTGGGGCCGCGTGGTGGACTATGCCCTGATACCCTCTGTAAAAGAGGAGGCCTTTGCCCAGCAGTGGGATATGTACAGGCTGTTACTTTACTTATGTACTCAACGCACAAGATTCAAATTGCAAATCCTAAATATGGTTTGTTTCAGAATATGTGGCGCCAAGCGAATGTTCCAGCAGCGTGTACGAAGAGTACGATCCATTGGACTTTTTGTACGGGGAGACGGAAATGCGAGACGCGCCCGTTTACGCGACCGTGAACAAGCGGGACAGCACCATGGTACCGTCTCCTCCGCCAAAGTCGATACCCACCGTACCGGCTGTTGCCAAAAGGCCTACGACCGTAAGAATTGTGTTTTATAATAAATATTTTAAAGGCTTTGCTGTGCACATATTCATATTAACAAATAATTTCTTTAAAATTTTTAGAAAAATAGAGTAAGTTAATTACAGCTGCGAGATTCGAACCCGCGTCTTCCTGTATCGCGCCCAGACGTTTTGACCACTAAGCTAAACCGCTGATTTCCACGCCTTAAGATAAAACATTAAAATTCATACATTTAATAGTACCTTTAGTAATTTCCGTTGTTATACATATTCAGCTATGAGTAGAATATTTTTAAAAACTCCTTTAGAAAAATAAATTTGTGTATTGAAATCTGTACTTTCAGAATAAATTGTACGACTGCATCGTGAAAACGAGAAGTAAAAATTACGACAGCGAGCACAGGGCTTTCCTAAAACTAGTATTGGATGTTAGAAGTAAGTATAAATTCAATATTGAAAAATATAATTTCAATATCAGTTTTTAGCATGTTTTCTTTATAAATACTACTGTTTTATTCTCAATACATACAACTATACTGTCAACTACTTGACTTTATAAAATAGCCTTCTCCACTCCGTTAGTAGTGCTCGATGCGTTCTTTAACTTAATCCGTCTTCAAAAAGGTGTTCTAACACGTAGCCGTAAGGTGTATAATACAAGAGCGCGTCTGCCGCAGAACGGTTCGCGCACACGGACGAGCGGACCAACCCGGGCCACGTGGTGGCCGCGCGCTCCGGCGGCCGCTACCCCCCCAACACCAGCATCAAGCTCCTGGTGCACCACCGCCACTCCGAGGAGCCCATCACCTTCACTTCAGACGGTAAGTCTTCACATCATTTGTTGCATTGAAGGGTGTAAGCTCACATTTACATTTAAATCTTGGTGTGTCTATAAATTTATGTGGTATGTTTTATATGTGTATATTCATTTATTAATTTTCATTGAAATCTGTCTGGACTCGGCCTTTCATTGCTGTTTTTTTTTTCTTTTCCGTTGGAATTAAAATTATATTAAAAAAATACTCATGTTTAATTTAAAAAAAATGCCTTATTGTGAATAATATCAATTCAATACAATGAAGTTCGTTTAAGGAAGCGAATTTTTTACATATAAATAGACTAAAATATTGTTACTTTATGAAATTGTAATATTTCTTTATTAACTATTGTATATTTTCACCGTTAAGCATTTACTTGTACTATTTTCACTTCCTCTGTATTTGATATTAACATAATATATTACGTTCCAGTGGAATCTACGGTGGAACATGTGATATTAACTGTCGTGTGTTCTCTCGACGAGGATATAAGAGACGATATGTCGGGATATATGTTACGCGTAAGTAATCGTTTAATATGTTGATTGTGTTATAACATAAAATATTACATACATAAAAGATTTTTTTTTTACAATAATTGTGCATAAAAAAATAATATGAAACAGTTCTATTATTAAAAGGTTTCTATTAATATTGACTAAAATTCTGCGAGTATGTTGTACTTACCCGGACGGACCTGACCATTCGTTGAAACGCGAAGACTATTACGTATAAGAATAAACGGCGGTTGGCAGGTGTGGGGCGCGCAGCAGTACCTGAGCGCGGGCAGCGCGCTGAGCGAGTACGAGTGCGTGCGCGAGTGCGTGCGCCTGGAGCGGGACGTGCGGCTGTGCCTGCAGGAGGGCGGCGGGCGCGCGCTGGCCCGCGCCGGCCAAGACGACGCGCGCGCCGCGCACCTCGCGCTCGACGACCTGCTGCCCGCCGCGCCGCCCGCGCCCGCCGCCGCCCTCACCTTCGACAACCTCTCCATCCTGCTCGGTCGGTCGCCCGGACACGCTCTCTGTCTCTTGTACACGCAGCCACCGCCCTCTCCTTCGACAACCTCTCCATCCTGCTCTATGGATCGCCCAGGCACGCTCTCCGTCTCACTCACAGTCGTCCGGCACTCACCCTCGACAACCTATCTATCCGTACTGGTCGCCCAGACACGCTCTTCGTCTCACTCACACACACAAATACATACAAAAATACATAGTATTTTATCTCGTACTTTGTACGATCGCAGAGTAGTTTTTGTTTGTCACCTCAGTAAATGTATCAACAAAAAATCTAGTTCAATTTGTCATTGTTCACTGCGTCACATTCAGTGATTATTGTATAAGTACCTATTTACATAAAAAAAGGTTTATATTCTTTACAAAACCAAACGTTGATTTCGAAAACCACTTAAAAATTGTGTGATTAAAAATATGATTGTATAATGTTATTTGAGTGTCTTCACACTAAAGTTGGTCACTAGTTGATGGCAACAAGTATTGCTAAAAATACAAAATAAAAAGTAGATAGTTCTCGAGATTTTCACGCGGTTAGCTAAGTTGACTAGAGCGTCTGGGCGCTTGACGCAGAAGTCGCAGATACAAATTCTGGAAGCACCGAAAGAAATTCGGTTATCTCTGCATAGGCCGCACTGTCTTCTCTCTCTTAGTCCTTAGTGTGACAGATAACCAGGGCGGTTCTCACCGCCCCCAGCCACCGATTAGCTAAAAACACAGTCGACGGCCATCGGGGTCTCGGTCCGCACCGCAACTTCGATGGCCCTTAGATGACAAGTCGTAGTTAAACGCACGCATGAGCAAATGCGAGGCCCTATCCACAGCGGAGGGCCCAAACCCGTGGGTTCTGGCTAGCCCACCGGTTCTGCGTCAGGTGAAGCTTTAATAGTCTCGGGACTGAAAGCAAAAACATCAGTTAATACAAGACATAAAAGTGACAGATATAACGCTTTAAGAAACCCAAACTAAGCAATTGTGTCTCCTAAGGTCGATGTGCAATATTTATCGCTGAGTACTATAATATGATGTAATATGCGGTACAGAAACGCTGGAGGGGGAGCTATCCCGCGCGGTGGGAGTGGTGGGGGCGGAGGGCACGTGCTCCCCCAAGGCGGTGTTCCAGGCCGTGAAGGCGATTTGCGCCCTGGCCGGTGGCGTGGAGACTCTGCACCTCACATACACCTTGAATGCATTCGCCCAAGCCTGCACGGCACAGGTTTTACATACAAGACGGATATAATGTTGATTATTATTTATTATTTATTTATTTAATTCCGATCGACTCCAAGGACTTAAGGTTATAAGACCTTGGGGTCTCCTCGATAACATGTATGCATGTATAAATCACATGATCCAATGCTGATTATTGTTTATTCACTCATATTTATCACATTCGAGTCGGGAATTCGAGAACAAATTGAGAACGTGATAAAATCCTTAAAACATTTTCATTTGTATACGCACAACTCCGCTCTCGTCTCGCATGTTATATCTACTGAACGCGCTTATTGTCCGCGCAGATCGACAATTCCTCACATAATTTTTGAACACGTCCGTCTGTTAGTGTGCGTATAAATAGGACGCGTCGTCCGCTTCGGCAGGGCGGCGGCGGCGCGGTGACGCCGCAGATCGTGGGCGAGCAGGGCCCCTACAGCTGCGTGTCGCTGCGCGCGGCCACGGCGCGCGAGGCGGTGGCGCAGCAGAGCGCGCGGCTGCGCGACGCCGTGCGCGCCCTCCTCGCGCTCTACACGCGCGCGCGCCTGCTCGACTTTTCCTTGGCCGACGCGCCCGACGCGCTCCCCGCCCAACCGCACAGTCAGTTCACGCCTACGCTCACGCCTACGCTCACGCCTACGCTCACGCCTACGCTCACGCCTACGCTCACGCCTACGCTCACGCCTACGCTCACGCCTACGCTCACGCCCCCCGCCTCCCGTTCACCCGAACAGTCAGTCCACCCTACGCCGCCCATCCACCAGCGCAGTCAGTACACCCTACGTCCCCCGCCCACCCGCACAGTTAGTACACGCTCACGCTCCCCACCCATCTACATAGTCAGTATGCGCTCACGCCCCCCTTCCACCCGTACAGTTAGTACACGCTCACGGCAAACGCAGTCAGTACACGCCTACGCTCATGCCCCCACCCGCCGACACAGTTAGTACATGTTCAAGACCCGTATGGGAATCGAACCCAAGGTCCAAGGTGCCGCCACGGAGTCTTCCTATGTTCGCGACAGGATACGGTTGGGGCATCAATAGACTTGAATTTCCCGTGTTAATTCGCTATGACACACGAGAAGCGACTTAACGCTGCGAGTATTATTTGCAGCAAATTCATTATTCGTTTAGTATAATCGTTGTTTGATGGTCATAGTTCTCGGACGGCCTGGCCCGCCCCCCGTCCATTAAGGATGCAAAGAATTAAAAGCCAAGTTTATAGTTAACAGTTGAAGATAGGCTGGACGAATAAAAATTATGTTGTTTTTCAATATTCAACATTTAAGATAAGTAATGCGAAACAAAATATCCTATGATACGATAATGTTAATCGATGATAATCGTTAGGAAAATCATTCTCTTTTCTGTTAAATATAAAGGGGCGACTCCGTTTAAGATAGTAGCATTATTTTACTTGAGCTATGTACATCACAGATTGTAGGTGTAGGACACTAAAAGAACTGCAATCGTTAAAAACACCACACTGCAACTAGTTAATACCCCAGAAGCGGTGCCAGCGCACACCATAACGGAGACGCTGCTGTTCTGCGTGGAGGCGGTGCACTGCCTGCCGCTGTGCTGGAGCCACGACGAGTACCTGTTCCACGCGCAGGTGTTCCACGGCACCAGGCCGCTCAGGGCCGTGCACGCCACCCACTCCTCCAAGGTCGAGTGCGCCGGCTTCTACCCCAGGATCATCTTCGACACTTGGTGAGTGGCGCCCAACCACCACCATCTGGGTGAACTGTATATAACATCGGGCACAGAGTAAAGTAAGTCGGGGACAAGTATAAGCTACGTACTTGATATTAGTATTAGTTTGAAAAGGGTTAAATTACGTTATCATTATTAGGCAATTAGCGGCTCACTCCTAAAAACTGAAAATCCATAAAAGATTTTCGAATGGCGAACATTTAACTGGAAGCGTGGTATGGAGCTTCTCACCACATGAATACACACACCCATGACCAGTTATAGTTCATTAAAGATTCGCTTCTCTCTGTTTTTTTTGTCGATATTGTTTTAATTATTCAATGTATTTTGAACTCGTTTGATGTTGCGAAGTTCCTTGGGCAGTGGCGATCGCCTCGAGCCGTTTTCGTGTTCGTGCCACCTGGGAAATTAAAAACGTTGCTTTGAATAATTTCTTTCTCCTGCAGGCTGAACCTGGAGGATATCTCGATAAGCACGCTGCCGCGAGAATCTCGGCTGGTGCTGACGCTGTACGGGCGCACGCAAAGAACGGACGACAGCCAGCACCAGAACGAGACCCAGCAGGAGCCCGAAGGGGGCGAGGACAGTGGCAACGTGCAGTACGAGCAGGTCGAGCTCGGCTGGACGGCGGTACAGCTGTTCGACTTCGATTGGTGAGTTACATTTTTTTTATGTGAAAAGTTGCCAAACGAAAAGCCGGCTCACCTGACGTTAAGTGAATACCGCCGCCCATGGATATCTGCTACAGCCGAGGTTTGCAGGTGCGTTGACAACCATTTGAAAATTGGGCCCCGGCCACCTCATTCGCCAGACGAAACGCGAAAGTATTATACTTCCACTTAGCGTCGGTCTTCTGTGACTCGTGTCGTGGTACGTACCCGGACGTGCCTGCCCATTCGTGAAACAGCCGAGACTGCTGCGAGGCCCTACCACCGTAAGCGTGTGATGTTAACAATTGTAAAGCTACATACGGACTATAATTAGCCAGCATGAAAGTGAAATTTGCAAGAGTGAAGTCGTTAAAATAGTGCAATGTTTTCAAAACTGAAAAGCAACATTAGTCGCAACTATGTACGTGTAATGAGAGAGGGACAGAGAGCTGCGCCGTATTTCACAATTTGGCCCTGATCATAAACGTTTTTGATTTGGCGATAAAAACACATTCCGTCAAAGTGATTCCACGATATTTTACTTTCTTCTCTAAAAGGAACAGTTTGCCGCATAAGTCTATTTTTATATATATATATATTAATCCATAGCCTCCTGAGGCATTTGATCAGGATGTGGTTGCAAATCTTAATCCCTATAATATAGAATATGTAATAAATATCATTAAAAGTGGGCGTTTGTACGACAACGTTTCACAAAGTACAGAGAGGAAGAGAGAGAGAGAGATAGGCTTGAGAGGGGGAGGGAAAAAGATCAAACATGTATTGTGTATTCTAGCATGCTGGCGTCTGGGCAGATGGTGGTGCCCCTGTGGCCGGCGCGCTGCGAACGGCGCACCGGTCCCGCGCCCCACCCAATGCACGCGCCCCCGGCGCCGCACCCCCTCATCAACATTGGTCGGTGTCTATCAGCTCTCGCTCTATAAGAGATATAAGATCAGATCACTGTCTCTTCATAACTTGTACGTGTGGAACCACACAACATCTGCTGTTGGACGAATGGCTAGAATCGTCCGGAAAAGTACCACGGCCTCACAGACTGGTTTGAAGTTATAGTCAATCTTTCACAATTCATCGGGTGAGTGACGTAACCGGCTACTTTTTTAAAGGTTGCCAACGCATCTGCAAGCCATTTTGTGTTGTAAATGACCATGGGCGGCGGTATTCACTTAACATCAGGTGAAATCAAACAAAAAACACTTCAATACCTTCAGATTTTTTACATTATATTTTTGGGTCTATGAGCCTAAAAAAATCACTGAACATTGAATTTATGCTGAACTATTTTTAAGAAAAATAAAACCTGCTCCCGGGTTTGATACAACCTTTTTCTTATAGCTACCCATATTGACTGTTCAAGTGTGTGTTGTTGTGAACTAGTATTCTTCTAAAGATGTAATAAATTTGTTTTAGAAATTCCACTCTACACGCGCACCGGAGTGAAGTGGACCAATGGCGACGAGGAGAAGCAAAGAAGTATTGCGCAAGAGCATTTGCCTTCGTTCGATTCGCTGGACGGGCACACGCAGTCGCAACTGTTGCATTTAATAGAACAGGGCCCCTACCAAAGGATGCCTACTGAGGCTAGGGAGGTACGTTAAAAAAAACTTGTGTTTTTTTTATTTTAATTTTAAAAAAAAATTATATATATGTACTAATATTAAAAATATACTAATATTATAATTATAAATATACTAATACTATATAAATTATAGTAATAACGAAAAAAAATATCCTGTGTGCCCAGTACTCTTCATTTGTGAAAAAGACAAATAGAATATAGGAAAAAATGAAGAAGGAAATATAGGTAAAATTCAAGTTGCTATTAGTTATTATGATAACACCATGAAGTTTTAGGTGTCGCGCATCGTAAAAATTTGTCATTCACACATTATTTTTCAAAAAGGAGTAAAACTTCAAAAAACTTAAAAATAAATTTGATTATAATGGTTTCTTTTTTCTTCAAATACCTCTCAAGGGTGGTTTCAAATTAACATTAAACGTTTTTCGTTTAAGAAATATTTATAATCCTAAATACAAGCCCTGATATTAAGTAATAAATTACAAAATTAAAGTCATAATCTCTCGTTTACATTCGTTTTGTATGTACGATAACTTTTTCCACGTGTTGAATGAAAATTGACTCCACAATTGCTAGATTAGCTCGAAGGGGTAAAGTATAATATAAGATAAGTCAGTAAGTATAAGATAAAAAAAGCTGTAAGGACTCCAACTCTCTCTGACTCTGACTCTAACTCTAAAAGATTTCGTGTCACGATGTATGTTCGCGATAAACTCCGAAACTACTGAACAAATTTTTATCAAATTTTGTAAGCATTTGTAAGTTGGTCCATTTTGGTTGATAGGGTATTTTCATCTCAATTATCGATCACAATATTTGTTATTGAAAATAATTTGTTTATTAGATGACAAAGCTATCTACGAAGTTGCGCGAGCCAGCTAGCATATATATAGATTGGACATTGAAGCTTAACGGTTGTGTGGGCGCAGGTCATGTGGGAGAAACGGCAGTACCTGGTGGAGCTGCCGGGCGCCTTACCGCTGGTGCTGCTGGCGGCGACCAACTGGTGCGGCGAGCAGAGGGCGCAGCTGGTGGCGCTGCTCGAACTGTGGGAGAGGCCCTCGCCCCTCAACGCCATGCATCTGCTGCTGCCCTGGTACGCACCAACCAGCCGAACGTCTCCTTTTTCGAATTTTTAATGATATTTTTCTTTTGTCACGCACACGCTTTTCTTTTTATTTTATGAAAAGGCTTTGACGATGTCAGGCCACATTGCCCTGAACAACCTGCGCGAGTTAGCTAGGTCAAACATCTTATCCGCATTAGAGATAGATATTTAGGTGCCACCAAAGAAATGTATTTAATCATGTAAATATTTCAAGTTTCCCGGACATGGCTGTGCGCGAGTTGGCGGCCAAGCTGATAGACGGAATGTCGGACGACGAGCTAATTCGGGTGTTGCCGCAGCTGACGCAGGCGTTGCGATACGAGACCTACGAGGCTAGCCCTCTGGCAGGTGAGTTTCATACGTTACCTTACGCAGAATGAATTTTCAAAATAAATGAATACGACATGAAAGACTTTACTCACAAAACTCTTACTAAATTTCGTTTTCTAACCCTAAGTAAAGGGTCAAAAGCTCTTTTATGATGCTATATACAGAGCTATATGCAGATGCTACAAAATTGAACAGAAAAGCTTTCGAGTGAACCTCGGAAAACCTAACGAATCACAGATTGTAATACTCTTTACTACCGCAACTAGTGCAGTGTTTTTCAGTTTGCATGCGTCGATTATTTTTTTTTTTGTTTAATTTAATATAATTTCAGAATTACTGCTGTCCCGAGCGCTCTCCGCGCCTGCCGTGGCACATAAGTTGTTTTGGTTGTTAGTCCATTCATTACCTAACGTGCCGCAGGTTAGTTGTTGTATTCATTCCCGATCACTCACTCTCTGTTAGTTTTTGCTTGCGAATGTGACATTTTGTGATATGGCTGCATTATGTAATATTTAAAAACTACATACACAATAATTCATTTATTACGCTAATGTATTATGACAGAATCTGGCTAGAAGGACCAATATTTATTCTAATTAGATTTTATTATTGCCAATTTTTCTTTTTCAGGCCCCGAACCAAGAGTTTCTAGGCATTACGCTTGAAGAGAATTCGAACGAATGCCCAGAGGCGGAAGCCTGTTTGACTGCTTCGTGGCGGTACAGGCTCGTGTTGCGCGCGCTGCTGGCTATATGTGGGGAGAACCTCAATCGCACTTTGTTGAGGCAGCAGCTCTTAGTCAAGGTGTGTACAGCCGTAACAAGGTGGTTACCGGTGAAAATTTCAGATGATACGATAAGTAGTTTGTTGACCGCGCTTGGCAATTTTTTCATTTTTTTTTTCAAAATCTTGTTCCCTTCGGAAATGTATTCAATGTTAACCTCTAATAGCAACCGTTAGGGATAAGCGAGCTGGCGGTTCACCTGATGTTAAGTGATAACAGCCGCCCATGGACATTTGCAACATCCGTAGAGCTGCAGATGCGTTGCCCCGGCTACCTCACCGGATGAAACGCACAAGTATAGCCCTTCCATTTTACGCCGTTCTTCTGTGATGTAGTTGTACTTCTCCGGACAGAGCGGTACATTCGTGCAACACTGGCGACTGGCAGGCCCTACCACAGTTCTATATAATTGTATATCTTTATTATTTCTTCGTAGTCGAATCGCTCCATTACCTTAAGTTTTCAAACTTCCCTATACATACGTGATAGCTTTATCACGTGTCGAATAAATATTGACTTGACTTTAAAAATCCGCAAAAAAAAAAATCACGCGAATGTGACATTGAAGGATTGATGCGATGCGCGCCCGCAGACGGTGTCCGAGGTGGCGCTGTCGGTGAAGTGCGCGAAGGAGCCGCTGCGGCAGCGCGCGCTGTACGTGGGCGGCGAGCGGCTGGCCGCGCTGCTGCGCCTCGAGCCCGTCTCGCTGCCGCTCGCGCTGCACCGCTACGTGCACGACGTCGACATCAAGTGCGCGCCACACGCCCACGCCCACGCCCACGCCCACCCTGGCCCACACGCCCACGCCCATGCCACACGTCGCGATATAAGCACACACGTACACCTCCACTCTCAACACTATGCCCGCTCCCAGCCACCCCTTTCCAAGCTCCAACTCCACCCCCGCGCCCACGCCCATTCCTAATGCAACGCACACCTCGCCATCTAAGCGTATGCGTTCACGCCCACACACAATACACGCCCACCCCCAAGCTCACCCACCACCCTCACCCTCATCCTCAATACTACGCCCACCCACAGCCATTCCACTCCAAGCGCCAACCTCACCCTTACGCTAAGCTCTAATCCCATCCCCACGCCCACCCCCGCCCACTCCCCGCCCATCTCACGCCCACGCCAACTTCCAATCCCACGCACACGTCGGCATCTACGCATACGCGTCCACGTGGACGTGGACCCAATACACGTCCCCACACAGGACACCTCATTGTGGTTGCATTATAATTCAACCACGACATTTCACACATGCACACGAAGCACTTAAATGCTTTGATAATTATCCATGCCCATCACCCATATCAACTCTTACTCTACCCCACTCATTCCATACCGAAATTATTAATTTTGCACACTCCATGCACATGTAATGCTTAGTGCTCCTGAGTTGTTACTAGTCTTTGAAGCTTAGTGTTTCTCAGTGCTCTTGAGTGCGCCATATTTTGTACTATATTACATAATCTGTTCTCTACAATAGCAATACAACATGCAACATATTGCAGTGTACTGTAGTGTTATAAACCTAGATATTTGTTGCATAGGACACTAATGTTCAATGAGAGTGGTACACACACAGTTTGTTCTTTTTTAGTTGATAATTATAAACGGGCAGACGATTCGGTGCGAATGACAAGGAAAACCTATAAAGCATAACTTCTTGTACCTTATAAGGTAGATTTTATAGGGTCAGGGTAAAAAGCTAAGTTTTATTATAGATTAAACCTAATTGTTCTCAGGTCTTGCTCATATTTCTCGTCGAACACTCTCCCTCTGAAAATAAACTTTATCGGCGTGGATAACGCCGTTGTACCAGCTATGTTCAAGGTAAATTGTTAAAATAATCGAGTGCAAGTAACCGTTTTCATTCTCATGATTTTACTGAGTTTTACATTTTAACAGCTGCATTCAGAAAGTTCAATTAGCGCCTTACTGTCATTAAATTCAGTTGTCTGTCTACTGAACTACAAATTAAGGAATTTGATTCGATATTAATTGCCAAAAGTCTCTGATTACTTTAAGAAACTGATTACAAATTTCCTTAGAAACAGTCTAACAATAGTGGTGGTAAGAATGTGGTATAATAATGACTATCATATTGATAATGTATTGTTGTAGGTGGGAGATGATTTAAGGCAGGACGCACTAGTGCTGCAAGTGATCAAAGTGATGGACAGTCTATGGCTGAAAGCAGGTTTGGATCTCCGGATAGTGACCTTCCAGGCGCTGCCAACTAGTAACCAGAGGGGTATGTACTAATTTCTGTTTTTATATTTTGAAAATGGGCTACTTTTCTAAATACCAAATAGTTTATGATATTTAATTGAATCTAAAATTTAAAAAAAATTACAACTCAAATCAATACTAGTGTGTGCAAGCCATTTCGCAGTACAGATTATTAATGCAACAGATAGACTCCATGTTGGGTACGAGAGAAGAATATTGTCTTCCCGTTCGTCCTGCAGTCTAAACCGCTTTTTGTCTCGCTCCCCCTACACATACGGCCTACAATGATCTTACTACCACTACATAATGGTCTTTCGGGCTGGATTAGAAATTATATTATATCTAGCGACACACCCGGCTTCGCATGGGGGCAATGTATTATACATATGAACCTTCCTCTTGAATCACGAGTAAAAAACCGCATCAAGATCCGTTGCGTAGTTTTAAAGATCTAAGCACACATTGGGACAGATAGACAGCGGGACGATGTTATTATATACTATGCAGTGATAGGGCGATAGTTTATTCTAGTGAATTGTTTGCAGGCATGATCGAGATCGTGTCGGAGGCGGAGACGCTGCGCGCCATCCAGACGGAGTGGGGGCTGACGGGGTCGTTCAAGGACAAGCCCATCGCCGAGTGGCTCGCCAAGCACAACCCTCCGAGCTCGAGTACCAGCGCGCGCGCGACAACTTCACAGGTGCTCTTTGTAATTCAATTTGTATTTTGCATGGAAGGGGTTGGACAGTAACTCCCAACGATGACTTTGATTTTGACTGCAACCTGGAAGATTAATTTAAAAAAACAAAAAAGAATTATTGAAGTCCTCTCTATGAAAACATTGCCCGATTACAGTTGGATAACATTATCCTGTGTTGTCAAAATATCAAACAAAAAGTTGTCCCTCTTAGGAATCGAACCCACGAACCCCGGAGTTATAGCCAAATACCTCGGCAACTGCGCCACGGAGTCATCTTCCTCACCTTGCTTTCCCTGATATTCTCTCAAACTAGTCTACCTCAATACACACACTTCTATCGGCCTTCTCCTGATTTTGGTATTTTGTTTTGGATGGTTGTTTCATATATCTGGAAAAAACTAAATGTAACCACTTTAAATGAGATCTTATGTGAGCAATTCATCTGATAATAAATGATTACCGACGCCCATGAATATCTACAACATCTGAGGGCATAACGATACGTTTCCAATGTTAGAAAACAGTGGGCTACGGTTCCTACTAACCAGACAAAATTAAAACACTAAACGCTGCGTAGTACTTTACTGTACATGCTGTTTGCTATTTCTACAGCGTCCTGCGCTGGCTACAGCGTGGCGACGTACTTGCTCGGAATTTGCGACCGGCACAACGACAACATTATGCTAAAGACGTCTGGACACCTGTTCCACATAGACTTTGGCAAGTTCCTGGGCGATGCGCAGATGTTTGGAAATTTCAAAAGGTAATGGCTGCTCCCTTCATTACCTTATATATAAAGCATGTCTAATATGTGACGCACCAGAAAAGCATATATGACTGACTTTCCATCAAATCTTGATTTTATCATTAGCTTACTTACAATTGGATTCCTCCAGATATATAGTATCTTATGAAAGTATTACACTTACCAGATAGTTGCTACTTTATTATTATTTGGGCTGCTTAAATACCTATTTCTTCCTCGAAGTGAGGATTCACTTACTAAACAATCTCGATATTAAACTATCAATCATCACGCACCCGCCGTGTTATTCTTCTTTTATCTGATTATGTTAAAAGTAAGGATTTAAAATTTCAATTATTTTTTGCTTCCGCTTCCGGCGTTAAAGTGTCGTAACAACAGACACCCTAACGGGCGAAAGTGAGAGGGACCTATTAATGAATTATTTAGGGACCGCGCTCCGTTCGTGCTCACTCACGACATGGCGTACGTGATCAACGGCGGGGAGCGGCCCACCCAGCGCTTCCAGCACTTCGTGGAGCTCTGCTGCATGGCCTTCAACGTGGTGCGCGCGCACCGGAACCACATCCTCGACCTCTTCGCACTCGTACGTATGAGGGCACGCGCACACGTGTGCGTGTGTGCGAGTGTGCGTTCACGTTCACGGATGCGAACACTAATTTACACTTACGCACGCATCGACGCACACGCGGACACAATTAACATTTACTCACGCTCGCATGAGCTGAATTCTGTTGATACGCAGATATACATATATCATCGGCGTGATATACGCGTCCACGGACACACAGTTAGTACACTGTTGGCTATTGTGTGCCACGCACATTATCTGGTAATAACTGTATTATCCAAATTTGTAGTATGACATAACTTAACTCACTTGTCCTGTACAGATGGCGATGTCGGGCGTGCCGGGCGTTTCTAGCGCGGCGGTGGGCTACGTGCGCGACGCGCTGCTGCCCGCCGCCACCAACGCCGAGGCGGCGGCCGCCTTCGCGCGCCTCATCCACTCCTCGCTCAAGAGCAAGTCGGTGGCCCACGCTCCTCATCTCCTACTTTACTCCTTTCTCTTTCCTTTGCGGTGGTAGGGCCACGCAGCGGCCTCGGCCGTTGCACGAATGGGCAGGCTCGTCCGGCTAAATGACACGTCACGTGTCACGGAAACCGGCGTCAAGTGGAAGTATAATACTTTCGCGTTTCGTCTGGTGAGGTGGCCGGGGCACAATTTTCAACAGGTTGTCAACGCACCTGCAACCCTCGGTTGTAGCGGATGTCCATGGGCGGTGGTGTTCACTTAACATCAGGTGAACCGCCTGCTCGCTTGGCAACTTTTCACATTAAAAAAAAACTCTCTACTGCTATCGAAATATTATTTCGATTTAATTATTAACACGCAAATGAAGTTTTAGGGTACTATCTTGTCTATGTGGAAATTATTTTAAACTTAAATGTTTCTGAAAAAAGTGGAATGTATTAATTCAAGATTCATATAAAAACTAAATTACCACCTTACACAAGTTTCTTTGAGAAGAAAGTTTACTACTCGCCATTAGACGTAATGGCCGGTTTGTGAGTAAAAAGGTTAACATAAAGTGGATTCTTAACCATACTTAAATTGGCTACTAATCTTATTTCTACTTTACTTTCATACTTGAATAAGCCTGATACGTAGCGGAGCTGTCCCGTCGATGACTATAAACAATGAATAAAGTTTAAGAGTGCAATGTGACTTACTCAGCTAGTGCCTTACAGTTTCTGATATGTATTGTTTTTTTTTTTTATAGATTTACTCCAATAAATTTCTTCCTGCACAACTTGGCGCAGCTTAGGGCGAGTGGAGACCAGAATAGCAGTTCTTCTGAATTGCTCTCCTTCATGCCAAGGACGTATACGTAAGTTACAATTTATGTATAATATATAATGTTTTGTGTATAATTATATGAAATATTATTTCAATACATATGTAATCACAGATTATAAACTAATGTAGGACAATTGTCATATCTTACTTAAATTCTAAGTTGCAACAGTTGGGACCTCCTTATTTAAATCCTTATCCTCTTTCATAAAAAAAAATTGAAAGAAATGGGTCAGCTATGTTCTATCATTTTCTTATAATACAAACATGCATTTTTTCTCTTGATACCTCTTCTACATTGTCGTAGATAAGGATAGTTTAAGTTATAAAGCGCCGAGATTCGAACTCAGTACATGACCTTAAAATCCTCCACCTGCATTGTATTAAAGTGTTTCTATCGTATGAGTAACTTTATAATAACACTAATAAAATTGTACCGAACGTGACGTAGCATGGCGCAGGAGGGCCGCTTGTCGCGCGTAGAGTGCGTCAGCTACGAGAAGCGCTACGACCCGGAGAAGCACTACGTCTACGCGCTACGCGTGTACCGACACGGGCAGGCCACGCCCTCCACCCTCTACCGCTCCTACAAGCACTTCACGGAGCTCTACCAGAAGATTTGTCTGCACTTCCCCTTGGCAAAAGTGCACAGGTGAGAATGTTGTATTAATTACTAGTTGCTGCCCGCGACTACGTCTACGTAGAATAGGCTGAAGGCGCTACATTCAGACAGAAGACAGATATACATAAAAATATGTCTATATATTGTAGCCTATGTGTTATTCTGATGTAGAAGCTATATTATTATAATGTTTCATTAAAATCCATTTAGTCGTATTTACAGGTAACAAACATTCTTCCATACATACAAACTTTCGCGTTTATAATATTAGTAAGGATTACAAATGAAATTTTAGGATAATATCTTGTCTGTGTGACAATAATTTTAATCATAAGTGTTTCTTAAAAAGGATGTATAAATTCCAGTTCCATATAATTATACACTATATATTAAACATAATTAAATATTATTGAAAAAAATATCATCTCACGCAAGTTTTTTTGAGAAGAAAGTTTCCTACTTGCCATTGGACAGAATGGTTGTCAAGCTCTGGCCAGTTTGTGACTAGAAAAAGTTTAGACTAAAGTCATAAGACTTCTTTCAATCTCGAGGGTGTTGGTACGCTCCTGACTATTGAACAAATATTGTGTGAATAGAGTGTATTGGTGTTTGGATATCTGAAATAAGTATGTTTATCAGTTGGTATCCATAGTAAGAGCTTTGCTTAGTTTGGGACTAGATCATTTGAGAGAATATATGTCCTAAAACATTTATACCTATATCATGTTATACTTGCTCATAATTTTGTGTTACATGATGACTGACATGACAATCTCGTCAGTCGATGTCAGTGAGAAATTATTGTTCCTATAGATTGTGACTATTATATTGTTCCTATAACTTTTAAAAATTGTCACATTCATCTAAAGAATTAAGATTGATGTGAACTGACTTATCTTTTGATTGATTGGCTTATGATTAATATTATTTAGTTGCTGTTAAAATCGATGATGTATTAAAAATCATTATTATTTCATGCAGTTATTTATTAACAAATTCTTGTTTTCCTAGAAACACTACATATGATTAAATGATCACCATGAAGGCTGTAATGTTTCATTTAGGAATTTAGTTACATCTTTTGGGAGATTCGCAATTCTTATTGCACTCTTAAGTATGCAAATCGTTGTCATTCTTTTCTGTGTAAGCGGATTATATATAGCGCAAATAAATAACTCTTATGTAAGTCTGCTTTCTCGCAGTGGTCCCGAAATAATTACGAGTTCTAAATTCATAAAAATAAACGGACATTAATGGACATTAAGACTGTGGTAAATTGACACTACTCGTGTAGAGTTTATTAAATGTCTATATGGTCTGTATAGTTTATAAAAAAAGTCTATACAGCCTTTAAAAAGACGTGAGGACGGAACAGAGGTCTGTATGTTAGATTTAAAAAGACAAGATACATCAAGGATCGAATATTTTAAACTGTACATAGGAAACAGAAAGAAACCACAATCAGAAGTTTTACTTATCGATTTAAATTTCAATGGAATTCGCTAATATAAATATCTCGATTAGATAAGGCTTAATAAATATTAAAAATAGCATAACTCCAAATCTCAATGATCGCAATGCTATACCACGCTGTCGTCCTTGCCACGAGCGGCCGTAGACCTGGTGTCAACGTGATAGCCCAGGTCGAGGACAGTGGCTGAAGTGCGGGGAACCGGCGCTTGGGGCTTTCTCAACTGCTGCCTGTGCTGTGACACTAAATCCCAGCTGTTGGGCGCCTCCACCTGCTTGCCGAAGCTGGTGTTGCCAGACCCATCGTTTGGGGTCGGCACCAGTTCCGCGGAGTACGGCGGCGGTCCGCTACTGCGGCTTATAGAACCTTCTAGAGTGTCGCTAGGGTAGTGTTTGGAAACGGGCGGTCGCGGCGCCGGCGTCTTCTTCTTTTCCCTTCTCGGTTGAACTTCTTTACTCCCTCTGTCTTGAGTAATACCGTCGTTCTCTTTCCTTCTCGACTTCTGCTCTGTTTCACTGTCGCGTGCCAGCTTGTCCTTCTTTTTCTGCTCCGTCGATGTCTGCTTGTCCAGTTTTCTTTGCCCCCCTTCACTGCTCCTTATTTCTTTTCCGTTCTTCAGTTCTAAACTGGAAGAGGGAAGGTCGCTCGTGCTCTTTCTCGTGTCTTTTGCCCTGTCGTTCTGTCTGGTCAGGTCGCTGGTGCTCTTCGAAGGTTTGATTCCTCGTGTCGGTTCCGACGTGTTCGATTTCGCCAAGGATGGAGTTGTCTGTTGCTTGTTCTGGTAGCTGTTAACTGTTCAAAAAGATATTTGTGGTGTTTTTGATACGTGGTGGTGATAAGTGGTTTTGATACCTACAGTTATATTCCATACAATAATTTTTAATTCATTGTTGGAGGGGGAGGCCTATGTTTACCAGTGGACTCAAACAGGCTGAAATGATGATGATGAATTGTTATGCGCAACAAGGTTATGTTGCGTTATACAACAAATTCGTATTTTGTATTTATTTCTCATAGTTAACATTTGCACGCAAATTTTACTTTAATCTAGGAACAATACATTTTTTATACTCTTTTCTCGGATAAACTATTTATATCAACAATGCTTTATTTAAAAAAAAATATTTATAATTACCAAAGTATTCCTCGCTGTACCCTCTATAGGCGCCTAGAACCGATGTGCCGCTGGGTTTCTCATACTGTTCTTTGCGGCTCTTCTTTCCCGATAATAAATTAAACGAAGCCTTGAATCCTCTAAATTTTAACATCATATAAATTGCCAAAAACAGTCTATCATATACGTCGTACGGACCTATAAATAGAATCAATTCATGTATATTCCAAGAAAACAGGTTATCTATAGCAGTAGTGTGTATAGTGTTATTTTACACTATTTATTTACAGCTAAGATTTATTTCGAAAAATTTCAGTTTAGACTTACCCTTTAATGGTTATTATTTGGTTTGGAACTAGGTATTTTTTTGTTTTGTTCGGTTATATTTTTTGTTATTGTAAGCTAAATGCGCTGCCTCCATTAGTGTTTAAATCGATACTCGCGATTTTCCCCGATAAGATTACACCGTGTGTCAGCCATGAGTGAATAACGTTATCTTATCGGCTACAAATTGTTTCTGTAACAAATTATTTCAAATTATCGCTACGAACGAACGGTGGCATGTAAGCGTAACGTAAGCCTCTATCTTGCTATTGATTAAAACATGTTTTAGCCTTATTTCAACGTTTAACCCTTAGCAGTGGACTGTTGAATACAGGATGGTTAGATATGGTAGTTCGATTATCGCTGGTGTAGTTTTGATTCTTCTTGAGAAAATTTAGTTCAATGAGAGTTACAAGCAAACGTTCTGTGTAACCAAGTATCAATTTGTGTGTTATTTATATTTTATATCTTAAATATACGAGATCCAAGATGACCTTTTTACGAGATCCTTGCATATCTTATCTCTAATATATCCTTGAAAATTCACAACAATTAGTGAAAAATTTAAACATTGCGAGCGACCAATGCTTAAAAGCAATAGATTCGCAACGGCACGGCTAATTTTGAATCGAAGCGTGCTTATAATACGGTACTGCAAGGAGGGTCATCGTCAAACGTTCGCACGTCAACATAGTCCGTGTAGGCTGACTCTAACGTGATGTGCGTCGGCGTTGCGTACGGACTAACGGACCGTTCGTTGGCGTTACCTGCGTGCGGGCGGAGTCTAACGGGCGCGTGTGTCCTTACCCTTTTTTCCATGGGAAATATCCAATAATACATATATAATATCCATAAAATATGGGAGGGAAGAAAGAAAGAAAGGAAATAGATTTACCAAATATTTATGGGATCCCCTGCCACTTGTTCGGAGGGGTGGCAGGGTATGCGGGGATCCCAGTAAGAACGGGTACCCACTAAAAACGTTGCGCCTGTCTCTATCGCAATCTACCGCGACCCCGGCGCGACTGTGGCCTTTTTAGGCCTCTACTAGATAGTGCTCTGCGTTTGGCCTCAGCCTGCCGTCGGGCCTGCACGTGGGCCGCTCCAACACGCGGCAGGTGGCCGAGCGGCGGCTGGGCGACGTGCAGGCCTTCCTCACGTCGCTGTTCGGCCTCGCCGACGAGATCGCCCACTCGGACCTCGTCTACACGTTCTTCCACCCGCTGCTGCGGGACCAGCAGGACGTCGAGCCGCAGAGGATGAAGCACCGAGGTACACCCCTCTTTACGGATTTCGGGATTTTCTGTGGACCCTAAACGAGCCTGCGCGTGTTTTGCCACCGTGATAGTGATACGCCGCAGCGTCTGTTGCTCGGTGAACGAGCTTCTCGTGCCGGGGAGCGTGAAAGTAGAAGTGCTTAAACTTTCTTCTATCATTTGTTCAACATTTTAAAATCAACTTACAGAACTCGGTGATACATGTTGCACAGGGACCTTTGGAAAGAGACAATCGTTGTCTGTTGCACAGTTGTAAAACGACTACGACAGAGATAACGCTCTATGAATGTCGAAGTTTCTTTCCAAAGGGAAATGTGCAATATTTATTGCTGAGTCCCACTGCATGCCCACTGGTGTGTTGTATGTTATAAACGGAAATAAGCGAGGAGAGCTGATTGTTACATTAATAATATAATTAAAGCTTATACCCGCAAAGCCGATGTACAAACTAAGGATTTTCTAGGGTTATCTGAAAGTGCAGTTAAATTAAAGATGTTTTGAAACTAAACAAAAAGAACCGGTACCTATATCTACATATAAGAAGGTTGTTCTCAATTATTATTCTCCTTGGCAGAAACTAGTACAATGTAAACATGTACTAAGTAATTGAACTGTACCCTGAAGGGATAAATAAGAATTCGCTATTTCTGAAGCAAAACAAAGCACCTTTTATGCAAATATCGCAAACACTATTTACCAAGAAAAGGTATCATTACATTATTAATAGCTGCGTTCACTAGACTACAATAGGACTCATAAATTGCAGCGGTCGTTGGGACCTGCCACCGAAGCCCTACCGCACAAATCGTACCGTGCTCCGATAGCGGGCTGTTTCTGTCTCACGTCACTGTCTTTTCATGACGTCACTGTCTTTCCAGGCGAGTCGCAGGAGGCGGAGAGCAGCGGCTCCGGCTCGCTGAAGCTGTCGGTGCAGTACGCGGGCGGGGTGCTGTCCGTGCTCATTCTGCACGCGCAGTCGCTGGCCGCCACGCCCCAGGGGCTGCCACCCAACCCCTACGTCAAGGTACTACCTACTCAGTAGGGTGTGGGGCCACGCAACGGTCTCCGCTGTGGCACGAATGGGCAGGTCCGGGCAAGTGCGACGGCCTCACAGGCTGACGAGCAGTGGAAGTATTAAACTTTTTCGTCTGGTGCGTGTGGTAACTGGGGGGCTTTTTGGGGTTCCGTGCCCAAAGGGTAAAACGGGACCCTATTACTGAGACTACGCTGTTTGTCTGTCCGTCTGTCCGTCCGTCTGACAGTTGAAATTATCACAGCTGGTGTGTTACTGTTACTGCTAAAGCTACAAATATTAAAAAATAGAATAAACAAATATTTAAATGGGCCCCCCATACAACAGACGTGATTTTTTTTGCCGTTTTTATAGATAGTTCTGAACCCTACTTGAACCGCACTTGGCCGGTTTTTTTTATTGTCCACGTATCCGCAAGTCCTCGGTTGTAGTAGATGCCCATCTAGGCGGCAGTATTCACTTAACATCAAGTGAACGGTCTACTCGCTGGTAAAATTTTAACATAAAAATTTCGTTGCCTCACCACAGTAATTATTAACACAGTTGTAACTTTTAAAATCAAACTAAACAACAATAAACATATAACCCCTACTAATCTTCTCGACTCTCTTTAGTAAATATCCTCTGTAGGCACGTACTCTTAGACTCGCTAAACGTATATTTTAAAGCACATTTCAACTACCTACGTAATTCCCAGGTGTACCTGGTGCCGGACCCCACCAAGGAGACGAAGCGCAAGACGCGCGTGCTGAAGCGCAACTCGCACCCGTCCTTCATGGAGATGCTGGAGTACCGGCTGCCGCTGGAGGTGGTGCAGGCCAGGAGCCTGCAGGCCACCGTGTGGCACTACGACTCGCTGCAGGAGAACCAGTTCCTCGGCGGCGTGGTGGTGCCGCTCGGCTCGATACCGCTCCGCGACGAGACCGTGGCCTGGTACCCGCTCGAGTACATCCCGCGGTAGCTGTTGCTGGCCCGCTCCGCCATGTGGAGCACCGGCCCGCGCACCGGATGAGTGCAGTTGATTTCGAACTTTATGCTAACGTCTTAAGGCTCAACTTACTCCTGTTAACGCTCGCACGTGCATCTGATTTTGAAACATATCCCCTCCGGTGTCGCTCGGCTCGATGCCGCTCCGCGAGGTGACCCTGCCCTGGTACTTGTTGGAGTATATATCGCGGTAGCATTTGCTTTTCCGCTCTCCCGTATGGCACATCGACCCGCGCGCCGATTGAGTGCAGTTGATTTCGAACTTTATCTCAACCTCTTAAGTCTCAACGTACTCCTGCTAACGCTCGCACGTGCATATGATTTTGAACCATATCGCCTCTGTGTAAGGGTCGTAAAAAATTCTAATTCTCAGTAATTTTCACGTGTGCAGTTGATTCTGAGCCTTATCACCGCCGTGTAAGTACCACTTATATTCCCAATAAATCGCCGGTTGATTTTGAACCTTACGACTATATTGCTATACTGCTATGCCCGCTAATGTGCTATATTATGGATTTTTTTATTCTATTTACTTGAATGTATAATATTTAGATCTAGAATATTTTTCGTGACATGAGATTCATATTAGCGCAAATAAGCCTTAAAGCTGAATTAGTAACGCCAAAGGCTACCTCAATTGATTTTCTATGTGGTTGCATTACATCACTTTTGTCTTCAAAGAGAGGGACTTTTATAAGTTTTTATAACTTGATATTATCGTAATTAGTCATTATTCTATGCATTATATGAATTGTGAACTTAGCCAAATAATCCTATTTAATTTCTAAAGCGGAAAGTTAATATTCCAAATTTAATTCGCATATGCATTGCTATGCTATATAATAGATGAATTATTATTCACTTGTAATATTACCCAATCGACTAAATCCTATAAAAGTGCCAAATTATTGCTTATATTACACATGGCTCTTACCAGTCATTGGTCACCGAATCCACACGTTGGCTTAATTATTGGCACCATAGTTGGCTAGAAGTTGCGGTATTCGTCCACACATTGGAGATGATATCAGTTTAGTATAGACAAAGCCAAAGAAACGGACACAGAACGGCCAACTCCCAACGTTGGATCGAATTTTGGTGCCAGTATATTCGGCCAACGTTGGAGCCAACGTCTGTAGCCGGCCTTAGGAACATATCAACTTTAGCTGTGTTAGCATTACAATAATTATGGGGCATTTAATATATTGGCCTCTATTGTGAGTTCAAATAATCACATTCCAAAATTATAATCTCAAATTTTCGCATAGCCTATGGAGCTTTAATGTAGCATGATTTCTTAATAGTGCATCACAACGATAATAAAATGTTGCTTTTTATTTTCTAGAATTTTATGAGAATATTTAATTCGATTGTTTCAAACTTGATATACTTGTATTGCGGTTATTTTCAACCACTTATAATTTTATAACATTTAATTAAGGAAAAAACATTTTGAAGTGACGACTAAAATTAACGATATATTAACACTTCTATTTATGAAATGTCCAATTATAAAAAAATGAGATTGATTTTTTTTTAGTTGAGAAAATGTTAGCCAATGGGTTTTTGTTTCATATGTACTATGTTTATCACACAAATGCATAATTTTTTTCACCAATACAGTTTACAATCGTGTATATAATTTTCGATTTATGTTTTACCAGTTTTAATTATTACTTTTATTTTTAAATTAATGAATTAATATTAACTGTAGAGTAAAGATCTGAAATCACGTTTTTGACGTGGCAGACTATGAACGTAGATTATAAATCGGTATTTGATTAAATGAAACTAATTTTACTACAAATATTTATTAATAAAATTTACTCCACATACTGCATTATGTTTTTATATTTAACGGCTTTTGATTATTTTTATGAAATGTTCACAGAAAGTAAAACGGCCTATTTGTATACCAGATTTTTTGAGGCATTTTTTTTTCTAATGTCAACACAAAGCTTCCACTACGAGCTCAAAGTGTCAACGGGCGGACGTTGTTCATTAACTGGACAGACTGTATCGCGTCCTCTGTATATACTTAGATAGTTTTTGTACGAGACTTATTTCTACACGTAACGTATACGTTAACAGTTTTGTGTATTTAACATTGTAACGTATTCCCGAATAAAACGCTGCGATGTGCCCCCTTGTTTCATTTCCGCTCACACAACGAGGTCTTCGTCGGGCGCGGCTTTTAACAGATAAGCGTTGGAGCCGTATGGTCGTCTCCTTAAAGCCTCTTCAGACAGGTGGTAGGGGTCGCCTTCGTTGGTGGGTAAGTAATAAATACCCGGGCGGGAGAAGTCGGTATTAAGGCCCAGCACGTTGATCTCCAAGTGCCCCTCGTAGCAGTCTCCGCGCCTCGCCCTCTCCACGGAGTCGCAGCGGACCGCCAGGAACCGGTCGGGGTTGTTTAGGGCGGCCGCCCAGTAGAGCCCGGCCCGGATATGGCTGCAGAGCGTCAGGCACGGCAGTATGAAGCCGTGAGCCATCGACTGCTGGTACTCGCCTGCAGGCGGGTTAAATAGGTGATACCGTCAGGGCCAGACTTAGAGGTCTGGAGGCCTCGAGGCAGCAAAGGAGAGGAGGCCCCATGGCCTTAAATTAATTTCCAAATAAAAAAAAATATTTGCAAAATAATTTCAGTCGAGTTTTCCAAATTAAATAATTTATTGTGAAACCAAGTATAGATTCTTTTATTATTTAACGAACATATAAATATAATCGGAAACGAGAATTATGAAAAAATATGAAAGGAAAAGTTGTTTACTAGCATTTAGTAGTCTGAATTTGAATTTTTTTCCGATGTCTTCCCTGTGCACATGTCCCTGCCCCTCTTTTGTGGATGGCCCGGGGCTGTAGCCCCGTGTGCCCTCCCCTAAATCCGGCCCTGGACACCGTGGTTGAACAGATGATAAACAAGCAGGTTGAAGAGACGGTACGAGGTTGAAGAGATGATACAAACAGGTTAAAGAGGTGATACGAGTTTGAGGAGATGATACAAGCAGGTTAAAGAGGTAATACGAGGTTGAAGAGATAATACAGGGAGGTTAAATAGATTTTGCCAGTCCTTAAAGTTGCACGAAAATTATGCGGAATTGTTGCTCGTGAAAAGTTATGAACGTGCCAGAATTTCAATCTTAAATTAACAAAAAGTAAACATTTTTATCGTTCAATATATGTATGATGAAAACTAATGAATTGCGTATTTGCGGATATTTTTAACCAATACAGTGTTTCATGTGACAAAATTGTATGTGGCATTCACTACGTTCACTTGAGTAACCACTTACCACCATTAGCGTAAAAGTCTATTTGGGCGACTGCGTCCGCGATGCCGAAACCGTCTATGTTTGTGTGCAGTGCGTCCACGTGGTGAGCGGCCTCTGGATTGAATCTGTCTTCAGCTGGTAAGTTTCTAAAGCAGGGCCCTGCTGGGTCGAGTCCTAAAAGAGGTATGAATATGTATATACCCAAGTCATGCTTTACACAAAAAATCTAAGCAACAGGATAAAATATTTACTAAAAATATGTCTCTTAATGATATATGAAGATTTTAATCCTTAAATTCGGATTGCTGTTAGCTGCCAAGGATAAATTCCTTGCAACATATTGTAGCAAGCAATGATGTTTAATAATAATAATTATTATTATTTCTATATTTGTATATAGTCGTAGGACCAAGCAACAGTCATCACTGTTGCACGAATGGGCAGGTCCGTCCGGGTAAGTACCACGACCTCACAGAAGACCGGCCTCAAGTGGAAGTGTTATACTTCTGCGTTTCGCCTGGTGAGTGAGGTAACTGGGGCTCACTTTATTTAAATGTGGCAAAGTATCTGCAAACCTACGGATGATGCAAATGTCCATGGGCGGCGGTTATCACTTAATATCAGGTGAACCACCAGCTCATTGCCACCTTCTCATATATATATGTTTGTATATAATATAACATATGTTTGTATACAATATCATTGATAGAAAGTTTGCCATTAGCTTTGCTAAATAATTGCAAACAGCATACTGTTTGTTGACAGCGCATTTAGCAACTGTGACGACTGCATAGAACATATTTTAACCTACGTATGATAATTAGAAAGTGAATCGACTTTTGAGACGGAATATAAATAATTAAAAAACCACAAATGTGTACTCGTAAGTTGTCGAAAAAAATTTTTTTTTCCGTTGCCAGGATCCGAACCTGCGCCTTCTGGATTACGCGTCCAGACACTAACTACTAAGCTAAGCGGTCGATATCCCCACAGCGGGAAAATATCTAATTATTATCAAATTGGATAAGAATTCAATTCTTTGTGCTACTATTTTACTGAATTTTTATTAATTCTTCCTTTACAGCAAACACTTTTTCAAATGACATTTTTACATCGAATATTTGAATACAAGAGATGTAGCTTTTGCGTAGGTAGGTGGATCCCGGTATTGTTCGTATAAATTACCTTCCATTGCCTTAGTTTTCAAATGTCTTTTCGAGTTTAGGATACACAAACAGTTAATAGAGTACAATTACTGAATGCGTGACGGGATTACTATTTCTCAGAGACTACTCGTGAATTAGAAATCAACATTATATACAAACCGAGCCGTGATAGCTCAGTGTCCGGGCGCTCGCCTTTAATTCAATATACTCGAGCAACCTGAGTTCGATCCCCGGTGCCGGCACCAATGAAGTTTTTGACTTTAAGTGCTGTCTTATCACGTGCTCCGCGGTGAAGGAAAACATCGTGAGGAAACCTGCATATTTTCGAAATAATAACAAAAAAAATGTAAAAATAAATAGGTGCCGCGTGGTGGACTATACCCTGATACCCTCTATATAGAGGAGGCCTTTGCCCAGCAGTGGGACATGTATAGGCTGTTACTTTACTTTACTTTTTGTATACAAACCAGTAAGTCTCATCGGTTTCCTTCCAGTCAGTTGGTGATACCTTACTGCGGCGTACGATGCTATATGAGCGCCTAGACTAGCGCCAAGCAGCTCAATGCGGTTTGGCGACAGCCCTTCGTAAGTCAGACTTGCTAGCAACTCACCCAGGTGGTATCCCAGGGGCTTTGTAAGGCGTGCTGATCTGAAAAGTACAACATAAACCTTAATGTCTTATATAATAGAATAATTAAAAAAGAAAAAATAAACATGAAGACTCGCTAATCCATAATAGACCTAAGTTATTGCTTGTCTACTGAAAACCAAAGCTTAAAGCACGTGCTGTTCAATCATATAGGATTAGATAGCATAAGGTGAAAGGTGCATCATACATAAGTTATGTCTTTAGCCTGCCACAAAAAGTAGTTTTTGATTTTGATTGAAATTATGATTACCATCCGAAGAGGTTGAAAGTTGAAGATGAAATAGAACGACTCACATAGGATAGCTGCGTATTAATACAGGAAAAATCTCCATCACTATAACGTTGCGACCGATCTTCAGATATGGGTCTGCGACCATTCGTACAAATGGAGAGAAGGATGCGTCCAAATAACCACTGACCATTATCTGCGCAGAAGAAACGTTTCATTTCCGGAAAAATATCAGACAAAGATTCATTATTATTTACCAATGTTTTCTCCCTAGAGATTACGAAAACTTAATAAATGGTACCGTGATTAATTTTAACGTTTTAGTTTAGAAGACTTGTAAATTATCAGCAAGCGTAATTGAGGAACGAATTTATTATAGGATCACCTGCGTTTTTCTCCTTTTGAAGTTTAAAACGCTTGCGATGCATGCGGCGCCTTCCGGGCCGAAATTACATTTTTTCTCGTTTGCTTCGAACTTGCTCGAAGTCGGCCAAAAGACAACGACCGAGAGAGATCGCTTCGTCTCGTCCGACAGCGTCGTGCTTCGGTTCATGCCTGGACCTGAAAGAAATTACATGAAATCCAAAAACATAGAAAATAAGAATTAAAATGCCTTGCTACGAATTGAACCGTGATAACAGTTATAAGTCTTATATTTTTTTATAAAGACCTGCGTAATACAATGTCAGTTTTACCTTACTATTTTTTTAATAATATGTTTGTACAAGCTGTTTCCTTCATACTATATCGGAGCCCAGAATACATGTCCATATTTTAAATGTGCTTTGATCACTTTACTTACTTTATTAATTGATTCAAGATACTTTATTCAGTTACTTTATTAATTGACTCAAGTTTATTCTGACTAGTCAGTGTCGTGACTACTATTGGTTGTGGAAAATTTATACTGTTGAAGTTAGTAAAGGAAAAACTGTAACTTCTAGACCCTCAGTAATGCCCGTGGTTACGATGTTCTAAGAACATTAAGAAATCACAATTAGATTTAATCGCAACGAAATTCGAATAACAGTTCGATTAGATACTTATATGTTTGCTGCGTTTTATTTTTTGCATTTTTTTGGAAATTTTATATAAATCCGTTTCAAATTTTCATGAATCAAACTTGTAATGTACTAGTATATATGGATGTTTAAATAAATCTTGTCGAGAAGTTGCATTTCTGCAAATTGTAGTATATTTACTTGGAAGAGCCTACATAAGGCCTTATATATTACTTGTAACTTGTTTGTAAGCCCGCTAATACATCGTATCATCTTTAGTTAACTTAATCAAGCATTAAGCGTGTTCTGAAACTTAACACTAGTGTTTTACTTACAGTCAGCAATTAAGCCAGCAGGATATCCAGTGTCTTGAGTGGCCATTGCCAATTCACAAGCAAAAATCAACCCAAAAATTAACCTCATATCCCACAAATTGCTCTGACGACTTTTTTTAGAAACGCATCGCAATTAACGCACGACTGAACGATGTTACTAATATCATAGAACTAAACTCAAGCATTAACTAAATTCGCGGCCAAAGAAGGTCGTATTATGTCCAAATAATGCATTTATGCCATTGTCAGTCGATTGGAACAAATCATATTGGTTATCAAATGCTATTAACTGGATGAAATTACAAAATATTGAATTACTAAATTAATCAGTATGCTTTAATTAATAAAAAAATGTTTTCCTTATGAAATGATAATAATAAATATTTTCATAATATTGGAAGTGCAATGGCCTGGTAAAGTGCATTTTTCAAAAAATATAGAAAATTCTTTTAAAATTTATTTTTACATACCTTACGAATTTATGGAAGCTAAACATAACATTTATATAGGTTAGCATGAAAGTCTCTCTATAGTCCGTTTTGTAAAACAACAAAATGAAGAGAATATAGGTATTTTTGTATTAAAATTTTAAATTATGTCGTCATGACATGAAATTCATGAGATTGACCGCTAAGCTACATAACAAATGTAAATACCGTGGCAGTTTTATCAATTTCATATTTCTAGGTCAAGAAAATAGTTACGTACAATGATACCTTGATTTAGAATTCTAGATAGATAACTGAAAAGCCTAGATAATATCTTTTGTGCTTGAAAATAAAACAGTTAACAGCAAGGTGCGTTTTCTGAGTACAATAGACTGAGTATTTAATATAGTATGATATAACCTGATTATGATGAAATTAAATGTATTAATGAATCATTTTATACTTTATATCATACCAAAAAATAAAATTAACAAAATACATACCTATATCATAGAAAGTTAATATAGAAGTGACGGGTACAATGGGCGGCGTTATTACTAAAAGTATTTTTTTCCAGGCAACCTTTGGATGGACTAAAAAGAAATTAATTTAGGAGTAGTGTGGGCTAATTATCCTTATGGAGTGGAAAGAAAATGAATGAAAGTGTAAAAGTTCCATTAGGAAGGTAGAATGTGAAGAATTATTTATTATTATTTATTATTAGAAAAGAATATTTTAAACAAGAAAAAGTATATGAGTATTCCGGCGAAGAGGAATATGCAGCCACTTGAGCTTAGCATGTATATGTGAGAGAATATTATGTATATCAATCTTATGCAAAAATTTTAAATTCACTCTAGTTCATCAAGTAGCTCTTCAATAAAATCTAGATAACTGACATCCGCATTTTCGACTATTAGAAGTAGATTTTGTGCACGAGCGATTTAGAGGCACTAGGCAGGAAGATGCGTAATCTTATTAAGGATGCTACTGAAGCGAATATTTTGCGAGTTATTTTTTGAAGATGTTGTTAATAGGTAAGTGAAGTTCACCAGGTGCATAAAGGTGGTAGGTAGAAATTAAAATAGCGAATAGAGTTAATAAAAAACTGAGATAAGCAAAGGAGATAAAACGACACCCTGCGGAACACCATCAGAAGTATAAGATCAAGATGAGAAAGTATCTTCATTGCAAATACGCTGCTGACGTCCATACAGGTGACTTAGAAACCAGTCAATTACTGTTGGAGATATGTTATGGAATTGAAATATTGTAACTAAACTTCAAACTCTAATAACCCGTATAAAAATAAAAGCTTTACTAAAATCAAGCAGGGCAAGGGCAGTTGGCAGCTTAACGTTTTCCATTCGCAATTATTATTAAAAATTCGTTGAGAAATAAAAGAATGTAGAATGCATTTCAACCAACTGTAAGACTTTTCTATGTAGTTTTCCGTTTTTATCTAAGTTGTTTGATTTCTTCTTATTTTTGTATACCTACATATTATTCTTAGCTCAATTAAATGTTTTCCGATGTACGTTTAACTTAAATTATGTAATCATTTTATGAGTCATGGTATAATGAATGAATAATGAGTGAAATAACTAAGCTCAATACAAATTAGAAGGGAATGTTTTCCGTTTTAAATTACAAATATTCAATTTAAATAAGTAAATCTTTTAATTGTAAATAGATAGTAGGTGTCTATCTAATGACAGGAACTTTCCGCTCTGTTTTTTTTCACATACGTTACAGTTGATCCGAAAATTGCTCTGTGTACATAGTATTGGAAAGATTCTCTATATAATAATACTTTAGTTTAATTTCAAAAGAGTATGGATTAATTAATTTAGTATTGTAAGAATAATACTTGAACTTAATATTTGTATTTAATCAAATAAAGTTTTTTTAAACTGTCAAAGTTTTTCTAAACGTGGCGCAGTTGCTAAGCTAATGGCTTTGATGCCAGGCTCGTGGCGTGGGCAATCCATATTTAAAAAAGATGACATAAATAATATAGCAAATCCATAATTTTCTTTCATATGTCATTAGTAAAGAGAACACTAAAACATTCTAAAATTTATTTCATTATTGGTAATGGGAGCATGGTGATAACTGTTAATTTCTTCTCGACTAACCTGACTATAAATCTATACTGAATTCCTGACGCCTGCCATTTACGAGTATATAACGCCAGTTGATATTATTTACGGTTTGTTTGTTTTCTTAGTAAATGAGTGCCAGGGTTTTTTTTGCATGCATTAATACTTGAATATGAAGCCTGACTCGTCAACTGTCACGTTGGTCTTAATAAGCTCCGGCGAAGTGTCATCTCATTAGGAAATGCGGTCATGAGGTTTTTTTTAATGCTAATGTTTTTTTTTCCACAAACTGTCTAGCCAATACCACCGGTAATTACTTCTTCAAGCAAGGTTGTTTGTAAATAATGTTAATGTTTGGGTGCATACGTACGTGTATGTGTGAGTGGAACCTTTCATTAATCAAATGAAATGATCATTCAAATAATTAGAAAATCTTGAAATATGAGCATGAATTACAATCCTATGGATGATAATTCCATGAACACGATATACAAATTATATATATTTAAGACAATTTTAAGTTTTTTTCTGTCTGTCTCTTTGTTCCGGCTAGTCTCCGAATGACAGAGGTCAATTATTTACTGTAAAGTATATATTATTATTACCTGAAAGTTATTCCCTAAGATCTCCCTTAATCGAGAGTTAAGGCCCATTTACACGATGCCATTTTCTTGTACATACAAGAGCAATAATTGAATGCAATAAATTGCGCGCAATAATTGTTAAGACCATTTGTTGTTTAGACCATTCAACTCATTTATTGCTTCAATTTAATTGTATACAACAGGCAAGAAACTGGCACCGTGTAAATGGGCCTTTACAGTCACGCAATGTAAATTGCATATGCTATTCAAATGTGCGTGTACGTAAATAACATGTTGTGTAAATGAAATAAGCATTTTTTTTAAATTTCACGCGGATGAAGCCGCGGCTAAGTTATGTAGTAAAATATTAAAATTCTGTAATTCATATCTTAACTACCACTAATACCAGAGCAATATATATTTTTTATTTTAATATTTATATATTCTAAGCACGCATTTCAAAGTATTACAGACCTTTTACGTTATTAACTGTCAATAATTCAAGTAACTGAATAGAGCGTAATGTAATCATAGTAGTCTTTGGAAAGAGGAAACTGAATTTCCACGAGGCAATAGTTCAGAACTTCCTGCAGGAAAATTGCTTTGCTGCATTTAGACAGGTAAGGTCGGCGTTGAAACGGGACGTTACGAAATATTTATAGTGAAATAGTCGAGCTTATGAAACGTGTCGGTATGGTCGTCTTAATAATTTAGGTACATCGGTTTTCATCGTTGTCTAAATAATTAAGACCCAATAGTTATTATTTATTACCCCTTAGTTATTATTAAAAATTCCACCGATTTCATCGTGTGTTTTTGTCACGTTTTACCACTTTGTAGAATTGACGGTTGCAACTGGAATTCCCGGATCGATGTCCATACAAAAACTCTCACTCAATAGTAACCAACACTGTCACCCGCTTGGAATTGTAATGTCGATCGTTGGGGATTATCACTCACCATAATTTGATAGTAAATAAAATATGTAACACATTATTTTATGACATAACTACTTACTACGATTATATATAATGTTTTTAATTTACTTTGATAATTAATTTTAAATTATTTAGAACAGTTGGAGAAATGTTTAGCGTCTATAATAGAGGACCTCTGAAAACGGTGACTTTTTTAACATTGATAATAATATTTTATTTTTGACGATATATATATAATATTTAGAGCATCTATTCGAACTCATGCACAATATGTGCAATTAATGGTTTGGGGATAATGTTATACACACCGTGGCGTTAAAACCGCCACAATAAATAAATAGACGTCTAACACTACTTGCCAATAATCATAAAAAAATATAAACGCAAAAAAATCCATAATTAAAAAAAATATTTTATAAACTAATTAAATAAAAAAGAAAAAAAAATTGTAACATTCTATACAACTACAAGTGACTGATTCATACTTTAAGAGACTTTATCATTCGTTGCCACAGGGTCGCATTACAAATCTCTCCTTCTAACAGTATGTTTTATCTCTTTTAAATTCATTCAACCCATTCATTTGCTGTGTGACCTATAAAAATGAAATTTACGTTACAGTTTTTTTACGTAAGGGTGTTCTAAAATTGTTCGTTTTGGAAAATTTAATAACTCGGTAAATATTTATGTTTAAATAATGTACATGTTTAATACAACTTTAATAAGTTATCCTCTATATGTGTGTTGATTTATGGTCGCGTTAGTAGCGATACGTTGTATATACCCCGTAAAGGTATCTCGAAGCCACATTGTTAAAGACAATTACGCTAAGTGAAACAATAACGCCGCGAAACACTTTATAATAAAGAATCAAGTTGTTGTGATCGGTGTAACGGCGTTGCACTGTACTTCGACATGAGAGCTAATTATATAACAACGAGAATCGTGCGTACTCCATCTCGCCGCTCCTTCGAACACATACCTGTTGACATCGAACGTTGCCAAAAATTAAATATATACATGTAATGACCGCACGAAGTGACTGCATTATAATATTGTGAACGAGTTATGTTGCTTGTGGTTACTGTAGGAGATGAACCATAGACAATATTTAAACAAACCAAAAAGTTTACATTGTACATACCTTTATGCAACATGAATGGTTATAGCTATTTGTTTAGATAGAACAGTTCAGTTAAAAAGAAACTTATGTTCATCCGAATTTCTATTTACTACTCAAATCTCTGTTATATAATTCCGAAATAACTCATTTGTGCACGCGATTTGAGTCCAAGATATTAAATCTTAAGTCAGATTACACAGCCATTGCTCTTCCCCATACTTATTACTAGACAATTGTTTCTGATCTCAGTGTTTGTCTAGTCGAAATTTTATGGAAATTAGCAGTCTCTGCAAACTAGTATGATTCTGTGATTGAAGTATCATCATCATCATAATCGTCACTAGCGTGCAGTAGTTCGACACGGGACTCTACTTCAGCACTTCGCTTAGGCCTTTCTACATCTGCCTATTACATCCCGTTGACACCAGATCTCTCTTCCTGGTCAAGAGACGTCCTCAATTGCACCCTACAAATGAGTTACGCAAACTAGAACTTTAGTTTTGATCTGGTATTTAGTTCGATTAAAGTTGAGCTAACTTGTCGACTGTCCACACGGTAATGGTACGCCAAGCGGCGCCGGCAGCTCCGCCGCACTTTCGTCCCGTCGCCGCCACAATACTTTTTTCACATGCGGGCGTAGAAAGCCAATTATTCGCTAATGCGGCCCCGGTCTCGGGAGCGAGACGCGGCGGTACCGGTTTTACCGGCAGTGCCATTTCGCACCGCCCAACGGACACACGCGGGCACGGACGCGGACGCGGAACGGCGCGGCTGATTTAAAATGTGCCTTGGCAGTTGAGCGGAGAAGCACGAAAGAGAATTAAGATACGAAAACAGACGTAGAACGACGTGCGCCTGTTGTGTCGAGGCTTACGAATCGGTGACGATGAACGCCACCAACGGGAACACCTGGCAGTGGTATAGGGATGTGGTGAGGTCGTGGCTTGAGGACCCCGGCGCGGAGGAGTTCGGAGGCCTCAACCTGACGTCGCTGACGATGGACCAGGCGTACATGATAGGGGTCTCGGACAGAAACGTCAGTGTTTACAGCGTCTCGGATGATTGTTTTCGAGTAAGTTTTGTTACAAAACTTTCTACACTCTTGTGATTTGTTCGTACTAAATTTATACATAATTTTGTTAAGACGTACGGTAATCGAGGACAGAAACGGGCAATTTTTCACCCTGTTACGATCATATCACGGATTAAGCTCGGTGTGTCAACAGGTTTGAACATTTCTTCGAACCAATAACCAGCCTTGTAATGAAGTTACAATTAAAAACGTGACACCTGTTATTCTATAAATACTCGTAACTGCACCGTAATGGTTCTTTGTTTTGATCTTTTGTTAACGCACTTAAGTCTTTAAATGCTGAGTTGTGTAACTAACGTAATCTGAAACATAAGGGTATTCACTTCTTATGCTAACAGTGATATTAATAAAACCAAACCGATATTCTCCTGGGTGGGACGGAATCGAGTATTTAAAGGCTGCTGTGTGCAATCTACAAAACCGGATTAATATAATAAATATAATTCTTAGATACTATAATTCTTTATTTCATTTAACATTATATATAGATTGCAATATTTTGGATTTCGGTATTTATTTTAATGTTGTCTTAGAAAGGGGTTATCCCAACATTATTTGTGTTGCAGAGGCGTTGCAAAAACAGAAATTATTCATTAACTGACACCAGAGCAATCAAACCGCTTCGAAGCTTAAGCCCTAAGAGCTGCTCCCCCCACTGAGCCATCGAGTACGAAGTTACGGTAAAAATATAATGTCACAAAGTGATTTACTGTGTACAGACTGCAGTGAACGTCTGTACACCAATTCGAAGGACGAGATTTGATAACTGGCTCATACAAAATAGGTTTGTTTTACAGACACATTGGATGTATATTGTCGGAATTATGAGTCAAATCATGAGAGAAGCAATTGAATATAAATATAAATAGTTAGTTCAGAAGTACTGGTTTTTGAAGAGTATTTGGGAGTAAATTTTTAGGAGGTTTCGCGGACTTTTTGTTATTATATCCATTTAACAAATTTTAGCTTATTTGGCAATTTTACATATTTCCATTCAAAACCAGCTCGAGTGTTATTTCTTCAGGTTGAATATATTGGACGGCAAAATCTATTTTAAATATTGACACACTAAAGGTGTACTATTTTCGACCGTTGTGTACGACTAGAAGTAGATAACAGTGACAGCCCGCTCGTGAGTCCAATGAAACATTCTACAAAATACGATGTCTATCAAGTAAAAAATTAGTGTTCTAATATTATATTAATACATTGGAGTTTAATTTAGGATTTATTACTATTTGTATTGAAATCTTTTTATACGGTGTTTCAAGATTCAAGTCACAATATTTTTTTTAATTTTATTTTTCTGTACAAGCCATCTCTTACGGAAATGAATCGTTTGGATGAGTAAAGGTCCTACTGTGTGTCACTGTTGTGATGTCTTTGTATATTCCGAGTATGAAATCTGTGAGTTAACTGAATGCATAATTGGCATTCGATTATAATGGCTTGTTTTCTTTGCAGATGTTTTGCTTAGCATCTCGCAAACTTTGAAAGTATATTTGATTTGACATTCTGTTTGACAGTTGTTAAAATACTCAAGTATATGTTTAATCAGAATGAAGGCCACGGGCTCACAAAAACATTTATATTATTATCTGTTTATATCCGAACTTGACTAACAAATAACATATTGCATTCGATTACTAGTTTTTGTTTTACATTGTCCACTGGATTTGTTTATGGCCGTTAGATAAGGAACACTAGCTTTGATAATTAGTTGTTTTTGTTATATTACTGACAGTTATCAAGAGGAAACTAAATAAAGCGTTAGTACGTACGTCTACCGCTGGGTGCTTTCTTTTAATTGTTTATCATTACACTTTCATTATGCGAATCAAAATCAAAAACATTGCCAGGAAAGAAACGTTAATATTATTTGCTTTAAGTACTTACTCGCTTTCAATGGAGGTACTCACTTGCACCCCACTTGCACCTAATGCAACCCTCTTTTCTCCTATGTTTTCATAAAATCGGGGCGGTAAGTGGAGTTTAAACAACCCATGACTTAACAACATTAAAGGCACGCTTAGAACCTTCACATATGGTTACCGAACAATTTTAATAGAACATCTTGAATCGGTAAAGGAGCTCTTTTACACATATATTATAAAAGTTCTAAGCACAAAAAAAAAACATAACACAAAGTACATAGAATAAGAATAATTATTTATGGATCATACAAATTTTTGTCTCGTGCGGAAATTGAGCCCACATTGGCGGTAAATGCAATTCGCGACGCTATAAACCATTACTATATTTACATTTGATAAATGTATAGTATATATGTTATTCAAATAAAATCTTACATATTTACTACTTTTCCCGTGGTTATATTCCCGGAGTTAATGTGATTTGTTTATATGAAAAAAACTTATTATCACCATGAGTATGAATTCCGGGCGGAGCGAATATTTTAATAACCTACAAATAATTTTTCCGAGTGGACTAATCCAAATGTATATGTAACATATACAGGTATTATCATACTATGTAAATGATAGGAGTATTTGAAAGAAATAAAAGCTTTGAGATTTTCATTATAGAAACAGGCGATTGTCCGCGGAGCGAGTTCTTTCGTTAGGTTAGGCAGAAAGTACGACTTGTAATCGCCTCGGCTCGAGAGCAATGAGATTTTTTAACCGTTCGTGACTGCGCAACGGAATGCACCCGCGTTTCCCATACGTACCTCTCTTAATTGGTACAACAGCACCTAGTTGGGAAACCCACGCAGCCGCTTTTACACCACGCCGTGTGAAATATGGAGTGGGCATGTGTCAGGCGCAGATCTAGTTTGGATCTTAGATATCGGAGTGTATCGGAGTTTCGACGTCAAATTGTACCATGAAAAATCAAATTTCTTCTGTTTTAATTGGGCAGTAACTGAGAGCTTTTTTCATAAGCCCAAGCTCTATAAAACAGGCAAAGATGATGATTTATTCTTGTCTCCTTAACTTACGACTTTATTGAAAATCTGCTCTCACACTGTAAATAGAAACGTTTTATTGATTATGATCGTATAAAGTGAATATCTTTATATATATATATAATTCGTACGTGTCTATGTCACTGAACTCCTCCTTAACGGCTGGACCGATTTTAATCAAATTTTTTGTGTCTTCTGGTCGATTCGAGAATGGTTTAGATTCACAAATTATATTTTTTTTACACCGGAGATACCAGTGATATCCTGATGTGATGATGAGATACCTCCGGCGGCACCAGTGGCATTGGTATCACCAATGTTAACCGCTGATTTATCTTTTACTGTGCGTTAAAAAATAACATCGTATTAAAATAAAATTTAATTTTAACTCCAACCTAGGTAGGTAATTTCTTCGTTTAATATATTCGTAAAACATACGAGGTTTAAAACTTAATTTCCTCAAAGGTCGTAGAAACAATGTCAAGTATCAACAAGGGTGCATTACATGATAAATTTGGAATATTATCCCTTATTTTATATCGCTTTGTGTTGTAGTTTAAATATCAATTAAGGCTCTGCTATCAAATGCCGTGAGGTATTTTACCAACGTTAACTACTTACTTGTTAATAAAAGGGGCTTACTCCAGCGTTGTTGCCGAGTGACGATAATTGAATAACAAAAGTCCCGCTACACGATACTGAATGAGCTAATCGGATTTCCCGGGGAAGAAAAGCCCGTGACAAGTCAATCGATGGTAATATCACGGGTCATTGGCTTACGTGGCGGGAAAGTGCATTGTTTCACATAATCGGTGAACGCGTTTACGATTAGCAATGGCGACCATATATTGCCGCACATTTGGGAACTTTTAAATCCAGCCAATGCAACGAGAATATCCTTTGTATTTAGAAATATAAAAATAATCGGTATTATTAGTTATTTAGTTTAGTTATAGTTCCAGAAATAAATAATAAATCGTAACCTATGTTGAATAGATTAAAAAAAAGTTTATAATTTTGACAACCGTCTTAGGAAGTATTATGTTTGTCAATGCAAGTGAATACGCACCTAATACTTCAAAAGCAAATATTCGGATCTTAAATTAGTATATTTCTTGAATTTATTAATGAACGTTATTCAGGACAAGCCTAATAACAGTTTCAGTACCGTTTAACCCATACGCTATGCGATGCCTATTCTGGGGAGGGAAATGTATAAAATTTAAACATCAATTGCTTGTATCGGTTAAACTTGTCTTTCATTCCAGAACGTTTCCATCGTTGTTTAATTAAATACAAATACAATTTCCAAGGGCCAATAACTTTTCAACGAGTTATGCGTGTGTTTTTGTTCTTCGTATTCTGTTCCTTGAAAGGTCAATAAAAGACTCAAACGCAAGTAACTCAACAGAATAATTGTACTTCGGAAATTTCGACCTCGTCGAGAATTTGCCATCGTTGCGAGGTCTGCAACCAGAATGTTAATAATATGACAATGCATAATCCCAACTATCATGTGAAGCAACAGAAACAATAAAATAGACATACTTTCACACACATCTTTGGGTTTTCGTTACCTACTTAAAAAACGGTAAAAGTATACACATCTTGCCCTATCAGAAAGATCACGTTTAATTTCGTTGCTAATCTTACCCGGCACCAAAATTTGTATGAAGTTAGTATTAGTGTAGATTTCTCTAAGGCTTTTCTGCTGGTGTAACTGCAGACTATTACACGAGAAAGTAGTTTTAAAATTCAAAGATCCTGTGAAAATTGTTATTAACGAAAATACCAACTCGATGGTGCTATATAAAGTGTCTACCCGAGCAGAAAGTTAAGAATTATAATAATATAAATTAAGTTTATATCTATATACAGATAAATAAAATTGAAGTGTCTGTTTGTAATATTAAAATAACCGCTTTTTACTAAATGCATATGGATGTATACACAGAACGTATCCTTCGGTGGTAGGGCCACGCAGCAGTGTTTGCTGTTGCTCGAATGGGCAGGTCCGTCCGGGTTAGTACCACGACCTCACAGAAGACCGGCG